AGGGTTGTTACAGTTCCACAGAATCCTTTCACAGAGTCTAAGAGAAGTATTTCCGGAATATTAGCCTTGTTTTGCCATCCTAGGCTTCATCAGTAGTACAGGCTCATATGTAATATTTCAGGATAGTGGATCTGATGAAGCCTAGGATGGCAAAACAAGGCTAATATTCCGGTGGAATAGACACTTATACATGTGTGGACCTTATGCATGAACTGACTAGAGAATGAATTGATCCACTGGGTTTTCTGCTTTTTTCCTTGAACTTTATGAGACTTCCGTTGAAATCTACAATTTGATACTATGAAGTATACCTTATTTATTTAAAAGTACATCCGGTTACGTCTTGTGTGTTTATTGAAAGATATTACAAGGCAAAGCTGATGTAATAAATGTGTGGTGACCATGGTGCCTACCTAATGAAATGAGTGGATGTCCTGTATATATTATAGCGGGGGAGAAAGTGCAGCTCTATATTTGTGGATTAGCTGCTCACTTTTCTGCAAACACTCTGATTGCAGCACCACTCCTTCTGAACCACGAAGAAGGCTGCCACAGCCAGGTTGCTCTCCCTTAAGCCTTGTGATGGCCTTCCATCACACAAGAATCGCCTGTGAAGTTATGTAGGAGAGAGTTCATGAAGGTTGTCTTCAAATCTTGCCATAGAGTCTGTATCCAGAGGCACCTTCTGAGCATTTATTCTCAAGGTAACCCAAAACAGTGCTTTCTCTCTTAAAGGGCAGGTTGACCAGCTAGGAACACGTGGTTTCTATTTTATTTCATTGCATTTATGTCTCTCCTTTCCTCCAAGAAGCTCAAGGTGGGGGTATATTCAGCCTCATTGGATGTCCCCAAGTTCTGATATTATTACACCATGCATAATGCTATAAAGTAGGGACGCGGGTGGTGCTGTGGTCTAAACCACTGAGCCTTGGGCTTGCTGATCAAAAGGTCAGCGGTTCGAATCCCAGCGACAGGATGAGCTCCCATTGCTCGGTACAAGCTCCAGCCAACAAAGCAGTTCGGAAGCACGTCAAAGTGCAAGTAGATAAATAGGTATCGCTCTGGAGGGAAGGTAAACAGTGTTTCTGTGCCCTGCTCTGGTTTCGCCAGAAGCTGCTTAGTCATGCTGGCCACATGATACAGAAAAACTGTCTACAGACAAATGTTAGCTCCCTTGGCCAGTAAAGCGAGATGAGCGCCGCAACCCCAGTGTCGTTTGCGACTGGACTTAACTGTCAGGGGCCCTTTACCTTTTTTTTAAAAAAAGTTATAAACCCCTATCACATCTCCAACCTTTTCCAGCGCTTCTTGAGGTGGGAAGACCAGGACTTGGACACCCCTGACTTAAGAGAAGTTCTGCTGGATCAAATCCAGAATCTTGCTCAAAGTTCTTATGAAATGACCTCGTGTATTTCTTATGCTGTTACTTTGTTTGGTTTTCTGGATTCTTACCGTGTTGGTTGGCTACCCTGGTCAGCCAAAGGATGGACAATGGCAAGGCCAGAGCCTATGCTCGATTTAAACAAACTTTGGTTCACGCCTCTACTAACGAATGGCCAAAAAACCCCAAATACTAAATTTTAGGTTTACATAATTGGTTAAAAATACAGTGGTGCCTCACAAGACGAAATTAATTCGTTCTGCGAGTTTTTTCGTCTTGCGAATTTTTCGTCTTGCGAAGCACAGTTTCCCATAGGGTATTAACGGTTTTAAGAAAAAGGAAACAAACTTGCAAGATGTTTTCGTTTTTCGTCTTGCGAAGCAAGCCCATAGGGAAATTCATCTTGCGAAGCAACTCAAAAAACGAAAAACTCTTTCGTCTTGCGCGTTTTTCGTCTTGCGAGGTACCACTGTAAATAAAAGAAACAGGGGGAACTGACTCCAACAGGGTAATCCTTTGCACAGGAAGCCAGTGTTGTTGGGGTAATATTGGGATATATCTAAAGTAGTATAAGGAACTGGGTTCCCGATTGCCAAGCAAGGTTCAGCTTGGCAGAGGGAAAACATGCCTTGAAATCGGTACTATTCTTTTTTAAAAAATGGGAAGTGCTGGTAAAAACTTGAGATATAGTCACGTTTGGTTTTTAGTTTATTATCAAAAAAAGTAACACAAGTGGTAAAATTGAGTTGGGCAAGTAAAGTAAGATATTTTCTGTTTTTAAAAGACTCACATATATATGCTAGCCCAATTCAGAGCAGCCCCATGAAATAAATGGGCATGACTGACTTAGGTCCTTTAATTTCTATGCATTCACTCAGAGCAAAACTTAGCTAGAGACAACTCTTGGTTCCTACGAGATATGCTAATATGTTTGTTGTTCCTTGAATTGTACGGTACAACTGCAATGCTGCCTAATTTTGATTCTTCTTCTTACTGATGTAATACATGGTGACCTTCGAAGGGTGGTGGCCATGGCGCAAATCTAATGAAATGAGTGGATGTCCTGTATATATAATAGGTGGGGAGAAAGTGCAACTCCATATTGTGGTTTAGCTGCTGACTTTCCTGCAAACACTCTGATATGAGGACCGCTCTTTCTAAACCATGAATAAGCTTTTGACAGCCAGGTTGCTGTCTCTCTGCCTCGTGGTGGTTGCCTATCACGTACCAGGAGAAGAACGTATCAAACTGTGCGGGGAAGAGTTTGAAAAAGCTGTCACCAATTTTTGCGGTGAGTTTTGTGGGTGGCTATCTCCCTTACCTCCTAATTTGGAACTATTATAGATTTATTGGTTTTGATTTGTTTTATTTTGATCTTGTCGTGAGCTGCGTGGAGAGAGGCAGGAAGACCTGTTTTATACAAATGTCACTGATGCCTCTGGATAGAAGTTGCTGGAAACTGCTCCGGCACGTGGGTTGTGCTTGCAGATGTCCCACAGGATGCTAAAATGGCCCATTGGCCTGATCCAGCCTTTGCACCTCAGAATGAGCTGAAATTCCTCATGCTGGCTGCCTGCCTTTGTTCTTGGGAATGAAGCCACATGGATAAGCAGTGTGCAACCTACAGTTATTTAGCACAATCTTTCCTAAACCTTGGGTCTCCAGCAGTTTATGGACTATAATTCCCATCATTCCCGACTGCTGGACTTGCTAGCTAGGGATGATGGGAGTTGTAGTCCAAAAACGGCTAGAGGCCCAAGGTTAGGAAACAGTGATTTGACAGGCCTGTGTTGCTTTGTTTATTGCATTGTGCTTAAATCCCTTTCTCTTCCTCCCCATTTTCATCCTCACAAAAAAGTTATGGAGGCAAGTCTGGTTGAGAGTGTGTGACTGGCCCAGGCAACCCAGTGAGTTTCATGGCTGTGTTTCATGTGAATCCTGGTCTCCCAGGTCCAACACCCTAACCATTAATTCCAGGCCTGCTCTCCTGTTTGCAAACCCATCAAAATCTCCCCACATTCAGCGCTGGAAATCCTAAATAAATAATACGCAAGAAATTTAACACCAACGAATTATTACTGAAATGAACTCAAAACGAAATGTTAATTTTAAGTTTATTTCAATAATCATTCATTGATATTAAAGGCCCACTGAAAAAGTTTTCTATTCCATCTGGCTTACACAGGCTCTCAAGATGGCATATTTCTACAGCTGTTAGCTGATTTCTTATTCTTATTTAAATGATAATAATATTCATTCATTCATTCATTCCCCACCCATCTGGCTGGGTTTCCCAGCTGGGCAGCTCCCAGCAGAATAGTAATAATAAGAAGAAGAAGAAGAAGAAGAAGTCAAAAACTAAAACTTCCACAAACAGGGCTGCCTTCAGGTGTCTTCTAAAAGTCAGATAATTGTTTATTTCCTTGACATCTTATGGGGTAGCGTTTCACAGGGCAGGCGCCACAACCGAGAAGGCCCTCTGCCCAACTTTTATATGGTTTTCAATGTTATGCCTTTATGTATAATAGTTGCAAACGGCTCTGATGTTTTTTATAGATAACAGTAACAAAATATGTTCTAAATAATTGGAAAAATACTTATTTCATTTAAGAATTGCATCCCATAAAGCACCCCAATTGTTGAATTACTAACAATGAAGAAACATATATCACACACACACACACACACACACACACACTTAACAATTTCACATGCAAAACAGGTGCAGACCGGGATCAAAATCTATACATATAAGGCTGAAAATATAACAGAGAAGGTGTCTATCTTCTCTATTATTATTATTATTATTATTATTATTATTATTATTATTATTTCTCTATTTATATTTACTTATTAAATCATTTCAAGGGCTGGGGAAATATTTATGTGTGTCTTGTACATCCCTTGCTGATACATACTATTTATTTAAGAAATGCTATGAAACGCTTAATGTTCAAAAAAAATCTCCACATCACAGACGTGAAACAGAGACATGAATTATCCAATAGAATACGTGTAAAATCAACATTAGGAACACGGTGATCCCTTAAGGAATCTGGGGCCAAGCTGCTAAGAGATTCGTGTACCAATGATAAACACTTGCAATTTGGCCCAGGATGTGTGTGTGTGTGTGTGTGTGTGTGTGTGTGTGTGTGTGTACACACACCAGACCCAAGGCCTATCCAGGCGCACCGACTTGGGCCCAACATTGGGGATCCAAAAACTGCCCGGCAGTGCTGGCGTTCGCCAGAGGTGGCGGGGGATGGCAGCCCCTCAATATTGGTGTGGAGGCTCAGCCCCCTGCCTCAAAATATTGAGGGGCCTGAAGCCCCTTGCGCCCCCTATACCCGGCGTCCCCGGGCCCATCTTGTCCAGTGTCCTGTTCTCACAATGGTCCTCAGGACCTGAGTGCAACAGTGCAGTCCACCTTTGCTTTGTTTGCAAAAATTCCCAGGTTCAATACCTGGCTGCTCCAGGTAAGGTTAGGAAACACTCCATTTCTGAAATCCTGGAGGGCTGTTTCCGGTCAATGTAAAGAGTCCAGAGCTAGATGGACCAACTGTCTGACTCAACATTAGGCAGAAAGTGTGGCAGACTTTCCACCCAAGAACAAACAACAGTGCAAACAAATCCTCTTTCCACAATGCTATTCCAACTATCAGCAGCTTTTATTCTTACAAAAGAAAACAAATTTTATATTTGTGCATGTTCGCACCCTGAGTAAGTGGCTGTGCCTTTTGTCATTTGAACCCCCTCTTGCCAAAGGAGACAGGCACCTAAAAGCCTTTGAACGGCTTATTACAATGTGCACACACACATGCACAGATCTGGGGGAACCTTAACAACTTAACAAAAGCGTCTGCAACAATCCATATTTAAGGTGCCCACGAGCTTCTTTTTCCTGTGTGCGTTGTCAGCAAAAACTAACAGAACCGAAACTTAATAAAGCAGCGGGGTGGGAGGAAACCAGCAGATTTTATCTACCAAGGAATTACCGTATTTTTTGCTCCATAAGATGCACCTGACCATAAGATGTGCCTAGTTTTTAAGAGGAGGAAAACAAGAAAAAAAAATATTCTGAACGAAACAGTGGATGTATGATTTTTGTGGTTCATGCTGTGGCCACAGACATGTGATCTGATGGTGAATTTGGGGTGACCCAATGCAAAAATCCTGAGGATCCATGTGGATCCGTGCTTTGTAACCACATTTTTGCGCCATTGTGGCCCCATGAAACAGTGGGTGCATTATTTTTTGGGTGCAGGCTGTAGCCATGGACATGCTATGTGATCTGATTGTGAATTTGGGGTGACCAAATGTAAAAATACTGAGGATCCATGGGCTTTTACCTCCCCGCTCCCAGGCAGCCTTTGCTAGCATCCCTTATCTCTCTTCCGATCCCACCGATCAGCTGTTTCCTTTCAACACTCCCTTCCCTCTTGTTTGCCTTAGTGTAGTGTCTTTTCCTTAGCTGGAGCAGGTTTTTGCTCCTCTTTTTCTTCTAATTTCTCTCCTTATTGCTTTAGTCTTCCTGTTTCCCCCCTTTGCAAGTTTGCTGTCTTTACCTCCCCCCTCCCAGGCAGCCTCCTTTATCTCTAGTGTCCCTTATCTCTCTCCCTGATCAGCAAATGATCAGTGGCTTTGTTTCAACACCCACTTCCCTCTTTAAAAAAAAAAAAAAAGCATGATCTGCTTTTTGCCCCTGGGCAATTTGGCTCCAGGCACCACGCATTCGCTCCATAAGACACACAGACACTTGCCCTTACTTTTTAGGAAGAAAAAAGTGCATCTTATTGAGCGAAAAATACGGTACTACTACTAGACACACTTTTTCCTGGGTCAGGTTAAAATATTCTGGAGGGCAGAGGGAAGATCAGGGAACGCAAAGCGGTAGTTGCTCTCCAGAGTCTGTTTGGGTACCACGCGCTGTCCTTCAAGCAGCATGACACTCCGCTCAGGGCCAAAGATGGCTGATACAGCAAAGCTTGGCAGAGGCAAGAAGGCAGGCCGCTGGAGGGCCGACCCCATAGCCCGGGCGAAGTCCCCATTGGTGGTGGTAGCGGCGGATGGTGCGACACCGTTCAGGATACCCCGGACGTCCTCCCGCTCCAGCGCATGGGCCAGGATGCCTACCAAATCGGCCACATGGATCCAGGGAAAAGGCTGGCGGCCAGAAGCGATGGGGCCTCCCAGGCCGAGGCGAAAGGGCCACAACATCTGGGCAACAGCCCCGCCCTCTCTGCCCAGCACCACACCTACAGGCAAAGAGAGGAAGAACAAATAAAAATTATTGCTCAGGGTGTGCAAGCTTACTGGCAAAAGGCAAACACTTATAGGGAAGCCATGCAGGTGAGTTGCACAGGGTTATAGCTTGTACAAGCTTATACAGAAGCATCTCCTGGGCTTGGCTTTACACAGGTCTGGAAGTTAAATCACACTCACAGAGAGCAAAGAGGAAAAGCGTGCTGGTCCTATCGGAGCCGGATGGCTGATTCAGCAAGAAGAACAGGATGCTTACCCTTCCCATCTGCCTTGAGTGTACAATCATTTGTGGCACATCCTTAATAGAATCTGGGAAAGGGGAATGAGAAGGTTCCCCATGGTGGTTTTGGTGGGGTTCCCATGTAGTCTTAAGCCTGCTGGGCTTCAGTGGGATCGCTGCATCTCGTGCCTTCAGACCACAGTTCGGACAGTTGAATTGGGGCGCAGGAGCCTGTAAGCACCTGGTACTCTCACCCACATTGTATGAATGAATATCAGCCTCAGAGGCAGACACACAGGCGCCGAGGCTATGAGAGCTATGATCCCACCCTTGGCCTCTCATGTCTCTGGGCTTTCACACGCCACATCCAAGCTGACCCCATGTCTCCAAAGATGCCCTTCTCTCTATTGTCGGCCCTTACTCCCCAACTTACCAGATCTCACTACCACCTGGCGTGTGGCGTCACCGGGGATTTTCGCTGCTGCCTCCCAACGGGTCACCAGGCGAGAAAAGAAATCAAAGTCTCCGCCAGGACTCTCTTCTGTGTATTCAGTGGTGGGGCTGGGTCTGTAGTACCCTGGGGTTGGGACACACCTTTTACCAATAGTGTGACTTATCTTATACCCGGATTTTACCTAACCAGCCAACCCTGAATAATTATGTCACAAGAAAGCTGTATTAAGGCTTCCTAAATCCCCATCTGCTTTTAACTTCAGAAGTGACAATCCTGAAGGGCCCTTTTGTTTCCTTTTATTTCTTTCCCAGTTTCATGTCTTTCTCTTAGGCTTCTATCTCTCTGACACATGCTTCACTTAAACCCTTCTAAAAATCACTTAAAATCCTTGGTAAGCCCACTCTGCCTCTAGCCAGCTCTGGATGTCGTGCCCTCCCAGCTTCCCTGCGTATGTGTTCCCCCCACTGCCAACAGCACACCACCCCTCCTTGTCCCCAGGTCCTGTGAGGAGTTTTCTTCACCCCCTTACATAACCTATATTCTCAGTCGGTCATTCTACTGTTGACACATTCACCTGAGCACACAGAATGTTTGTAGGCATTCCATAGCATCCCTAACATTAAAACAGGCTGCAGACGGCATCCTTCCTCAGACTCCTAGGTGTTGGCATACCATTTTCTTTTCATATTTGTAAAATTGCTTGTGGAGTCATAGGACACTGTATGTTCACAAGCTCCCAAGATGGAGGGGATGCGCTCTGCCCCCACAGTTATTTCGCTACCAGCAACCACCAAGTGGATAGCGAAGCTACAGTTTTAGCTAGCATGGAAGTAAATACCTACGCCGGTGACAAGGATCCAGGCAGAAGGTGGGCGCTCAGCTCCTGCAATGGCTTTCGCCAAAGTATTTGTGGTCTCTATCCGACTGGCAACCACTTCCTGGCGGAAGGACTCATTCCACCTGCAGCATTGGAAGAAACTACCCTTGTATCTCTATACATAATTGCTTTTACACAAGTCTCTGAGCAGCTTGCTAAGTTTTTCCCCACATGCAGCCCACAGTCTGGACCACCCTGAGTGGGAGCAATCCCTTCCACCCTCCACCGATCAGGTGGAATTGATTCTATCCACTAGACCTCTGACAACTGTCCCTTGGGCCTGTCCTATCAACCGCTTGTTCCTTCCCCTCGGCTCAGCTTTGATACTACAGCTAGGAATACAGGTAACAGGGTCAGCTGCAAAGTCGTATTAATCACCCTGAGTGATCTCATCCAGGGACCTACCTACGGAGGGGGTTAAGGACATTTTCTCCAGCTAGGTTGACCACACCTTCACAAGGAGGGAGCCCCAAGCGGGAAACTTCATCCTAGGAGGAGGAGGAGGAATGTGCAGCATTAGTCTCTCTAGCTACAAGCGCCTCCCCTGCCACTCAAATTTGCCCATCCCACTCCTGATTGATTCTCCCTACCGATATGCAACTTGGCATCCAGGGGTAGGAGTGAAACTGTCTTTTCTGTTTGTTCTACTGGCCCCAATACTTTATAGCTACCTAGCATATGTCTGTCTGGGATAGAATGTGGCCTCGGGAGAAACCCAAGGGCCTAACAGAGAACCTCAGAGGGCCACATTGTGGCTTCTGGCCTGAGGTACCCACACTTAAGTTAAAAGAACAACAAATAGCTAATTGTGGCTCCCCTCCTACCGCCTCTCTGAAGCCTGTTCTGGAGGCCACTTGTAATTTGGCTGTGTAATTTGTGCCTTTATGGTCACGTCCAGTGTGCCAGCATTTGGCCCTTGGAGGAGTTGGAATGTGGTGGTGTGGCCCTCGGAGCTGAAAAGGGTTAGCCACCCCCTGGTTAAAATCACAGCAGCAGGGCCAGGGAATTGTGGAAATTCTGCACATGCTTAAAATAAGCCCTCATCACATACCCAGGTAGTCCGCCCTTTTCCAGGATGGCGGGAAATCAAGGTGACATCATGCCCTCGGCTCCTCAGCAATTGGGTTAAGGCTCTGCCAACAAATCCAGTCCCACCACCTAATTTCAATATGAAAAAATGTAATTGCATTTTTTTTATATAAAGGATTTTATTTTTGTAAGTAATGGCTATATACAGAGAGATAATGGGACAGCTCACCAGGCAATCAGAGGAAAGGTGGTGGGTGACACACAAAAATTACTCCCTCCCAAATAATCAAGAGGCTTTACCTTTCAAACTGAGTAAGGCTGTAATCCCAACCCCATTTACCAAAGAGTAAGTCCCACTGAATTTAATAGGACCTGCTGCTGAGTAGATGTGCTTAGGAGTTAAAACAAACAAACAAACAAATAAACATACAAATTCTGTGGCCCAGTCCTATGCAGGTACAGAGTACCTCCTACCCTAAAAAGTAACAGCTTGTGAAATAGTGTGGGGATGCCTCTGATGAAGCATAAAGGGAATGTTCTACAGGACCTCCTCCATCTTTATATGTATGCATAAGATTACAGATGAATGCACTAGCTGTGTGAGTGATGCTTAATATCACGGAGAACCTGAGGCACACCAATAGCCAGGTGGGCAATGGAGATATTTTACTGCAGAATCACAGAGTTGGAAGGGACCCAAGGGTCATCTAGTCCAACATGTCTGCACATACCCCATGCAATGTGTCTGTTTCAGGCTGACCAGAACCAAAAAAACCCCTTCTTCTATAACCAAGCTTTGGACTTTAACTAATTGTGACCTTTTTGAAGTGGGTGAGATGCATGTCTTTTTCCTCTTGGTTTTAATGTATCTATTGTATGGGGCTGGTGTGGGGGGTGTTGTCTGCTTGTTTCCTTCACTGTAAATCCCTTTGGCCGACTAACAAATTTAATACATAAATAATAAGTTAAGAAGAAAGGTACCGGTAATTGTGTCCCTTTCATTCCTTCAGAAGCTGGGTAGAAAAGGTGGTACTGTAGTCTCTAAAACAAGCATTGCAGGGCAGGTGGAAGACGCTATTGTTCCTCACTTGCCAGGTAAAGACACTTGCCCTTTATTTAGGCAACACAGCTTTGGTGAAATCGTCAAGAACTCTGGGCATGGGGCTGTGGGTTCAGATCTCCACTCAGCCAGGGTGTCCATGGGCCAGAAGTTGTCTTTTGGACTAACCTATTTTGCAAAGTTGCTGTGAGGAAGAGGACCATGTCCACCACCTTGAGCTCTTTGGAAAAAGTATAACAATAAATTGAGCAGCCAGATCACAGAACTGTAGAACTGGAAAGGCCATTTAGTCCATGGGTAGGCAAACTAAGGCCCAGGGGCTGGATCCAACCAATTGCCTTCTATACCCAGCCTGCGGACGGTCCAGGAATCAGCGTGTCTTTACATGAGTAGAATGTGTCCTTTTATTTAAAATGCATCTCTGTGTTATTTGTGGGGCATAGGAAGGAGAGCCAGCAACATCCTGAGATAATGGACATGAAACCCACAGATTCTGCTCAGGGGTCTGCTCGCCTGGAGGAAGGATACGCTCTCCACTGGGTCCCGTTTGGAGGTGTTCATGCCCCTGGACTCTGCTTGCCTGCAACTCAAAGCTGGCTGCACATCACAACCTCCAAACAGCAACCCAACTCTCGGTTTCCTTTGCAACAAAAGCTATTCAAACCTCTTTTGCATAATAATAATAAATAGCAACAGTAACAAGGTCTTCTGGACCACCCCCACCCACGCTCCCCTCCCCGCCCAGGCCCCTTCCTAACTCACCCACTAAGACTCTCATAGCTAAAGAAGCTGGCTGAGCGCGCGTGCAGCGGGGAAAGACGCTCAACAAGCCCACGGATCAATCAAGACCATAGAGATGGAGGGGAGGCAAGCGGCTAGACAAACGAGCTGCCCGCACTTCCGGCAAAGGCTCGCTTACGAAAGGTAACCAAATGGTGCCGCTTTGCTCTTCGGCACCTCTATGGTGCCATCCGCGGAACGCGAGAAAAGCGGGTTAATGTCGACCCGCGAGCGTGAAAAAGGGCTTGTGTGTCTAGCGACGTTTTCCTTTTCTCTATATCTGGGGGGGGGCCCCGAAGCGTATTATAAACACGCACGCACACGTATGCAAAGCAAATTATTTTTACTATTGGAGAATCGTTTTCTCTCCTAAAGGGCGAGATGACCATGGGTTGCCATGGTTTTCATTCTTGGTGACGTCACCGGAAACAGGAACAGGAAGCGGCCGGGGCCATAGAGGCTGCGGGGCGAGAGCGTTTCCGAAGAGGCAGCGAGGACGTCAAAGGTAGGCGATCCTATTCAGGGTCTGTTCCGAGGGCCCAGCAGGTTTTGTTGCAGGGAAGGATGATTCTGATTTGGAGGGGGTGGTATTTTTGCCCCTCCCCACTGGCTCCTTCGCCTGAAGCTGCAGTTCCCCTCTTAGTGGCAAAAGCAACGAGTCCAGATATTATATCGTTCCTTTATCTTTTTCTCCCCCTCAAAATAATGATGATGATAATAATAATAATAATAATAATAATAATAGTTATTAATTAGATGGGACAATGCGCATTATTACTTTGATTCTCCCTCGCCTCAGTCCAAACCTCAAAGTGCTGCATGTAATGCCGATTATATGCTAAAAATGAGCTCTTCTTCGTGCTTGGAGCACCCTGCCTTTAGCCCTGACACCAGGCCTCCAAGCAGGCTTGACAGTGAGCAAAAGCTGATACGTGATCAACCCAGCAAGAATGTTATTTGGAATACGTAGCAGCGGTGGCTTAGGAAAGCTTGATGGCGGAAAGTATCCTCTCCCCAAGCCTTCGATGGGGTCTGTGGGTCAAGGGAAGAGAAGGAGAAAAGAATGCAGTCATGGGATGCATGAGTTGGATTGAAAGGAGGGCCAGGCTGGCCTAAGATGTTTTGCTGCAATCAGTAAAATAATAATAATTCATAATAATAAATCTGTAAGCAGACCCTGCGTGTTGCGTCCCCAATAATCATGGCATATAATAGTACAGCAGATATCAACAACAAGGGGCTGTCACGACACTCACAATAAGCTACTTCTGCCTAATGGTACTGACAATCCTGAGAAAGGAATAGGATCAGACTTTCATAACTGTTAGGGAAGCTGAGAATGGGGGTGCTTCGAAGGTGTCAGGGGAGGCCCCATGACAGCTCAGAGACTGTAGTTTGGGAGAGCAGACTGAATGTTTTATCAGGTCTGTAGGTGGGAGACAGGCCATTTATCGGTTTAAAGGGCTATTTGGTAAGATTCCTATGTGGATTGTGAGGGGCAAGTTGATTTGAGGATACAGAGAAATAGGTAAACGAGAAGCAGGGAAGTGTGAAGGTGGATTTGTTAGATGATCAGAAATACTATTACACAAGTGAAATGGATAGTTTTATCAGGGTGTGCAAGCTGTGTGGGATTGGGACAGAGAAGAGTGTCTTAGGCTGCTGTTGACATTTCATCCTGCATTCTATATGATGCACTTCACGTTGTTTTGGAGATAAGGAATTGAGGCTGAGACCTTGCAATTCATCCTAAACCACTCCGGGAATCTTTAGCTGACATGATCTACAAACCCAGGGTCCTCTTGGGTTCATTTCAGTGTTAGCCCCTAACTTGAGAAATGATTGTTTTATCAGAGCTGGAGATGGGAAGGAGGCAGGGTGCATTGGAGAAGCTTGTGATTTCCTGGGAGTCACTGGAAATATGTGGAAGGGTCAAGCTGCTTAGGTCTTCAACCTCTGGTTGAGGTTCTCTTTTAATGCCTGTCTACGCCTTCTGTTATCCCTTAGGCAGCGATGAGCACTCCTGGGGGGCTAGTTACCAACCGCGGACGGCGTTTCAAATGGGCCATTGAGTTGAGTGGTCCAGGCAGTGGGAGCAGGTATGTACTGAACTGGAGGTCTCTACATCGTCTCCCGGTGCAAGCAGTTAGCTTGATTCCAGGGGTAGCTCTGTCTCTGGCAGGTATCTGAATTTAGCTCAGATGTGACCCATCCCTTTCTCTTGCCAGAGGCCGGAGTGACCGGAGCGGTGGCCAGGGAGATACCCTCTATCCCATCGGCTACTCAGACAAGCAGGTGCCAGACACAAGCGTCCAGGAAACGGATCGCATCCTAGTAGAAAAGGTAGTGCAGTACAAGAAATGGGGGGGGAGGCCACTGGATCTCTTGGTTTTCTGTGCTGAGCAGAACACTAGAACCAGATACCCTCTTCATGTGAGTTTTGAAGAAGACAAGGTGAATATGAATAAAGTTTGCTCTTTGATTCTACTTCCTTTTCTCTTCCACCTTTTCAGCGCTGTTGGGATATCGCTCTGGGCCCCCTGAAGCAAATCCCTATGAACTTATTTATCATGTACATGGCAGGCAACACAATCTCCATCTTCCCCACTATGATGGTCTGTATGATGGCCTGGAGGCCCATCCAAGCACTCATGTCCATCTCTGCCAGTAAGTGTGTTTTTATCCCAAGCTCTCTTCATTTCTTGCCTCATGGGATTTGTCGGTGATCCCAGTTGAAAAGACTATGCATTCTGGGAATTTGAGGGAAATGCAGAATAGTCCTGTACACAGCAACAGAAGGGATGGTAAAACTGCTCCTGGTTTGGATTGCATCAGTGTACATGAGGAATTGAAGGATTCCTCTGGTGAGGGAGGGTTCTTGCACGTGCATAGCTAGACATAAGGGGCAAGGTATGGTGGTTTGGTGCAGGCAATGGTTATTCCTGTTTTTTCATACAATCCCCAAATGGTCCAGGAACAGTTGTGTGAATGAGGTATGTGTGCGTGAATTTATCCGCTAGAGATGCACAGGGTTGCTGCAAGAATAAATGTGGTAGGAATTTATGTACAGTATATGGCCCTGCAAACCTCTAGAGGATAACAAGTAATTAGGAGAAAGCAATACAAAAATGTACAAATGTACATTTGTAGTGGTTTGGACATAAAAGGTGCAGATCTCAGGGGTTCTTGCAAATCTATTATTGAAGTTAAGCAATCATCTAGTGCCAATAGAAGTGGAGAATGCTATGCACTGTGTAGTCTGTTTTAAAATGCTATACATAGGCCTGGAGAATTCATACGCAGCCAGTTTCATCTGAAGTGTGGGTGTTCAGAAGTAGATTCTTCAGTATAAATACCTAATGCTTGACGAACCTTCTGCTCACTAACTTTCCTCAAGGAAATGCTCACTAACTTTCCTCAAGGAAATGCTTAACTGGGTTCATCCATCTTCGTGCGACTGAAGGGTTAATCTCTCTACGGCAGAAATTCATGTCTAGGTGATATTTTCTGTCTCTGTGGATAGTTTTTCTAACATGCTAACGGATGTTAGTTAGTACCTTGTTTGACTAAATATTCAGAAGTGAAAACAGGCCAGCAAGCTGGGCCTGTGCTGCATGTTTGTGGTCTGCCTCTGACTTATTTTCTGCCGTCCCCACAGCCTTCAAATTACTTGAGAGTTCAAGCCAGAAGTTCCTGCAGGGCCTGGTGTACCTAATTGGCAACCTTTTAGGGTTGGCCTTGGCGGTTTACAAATGCCAATCAATGGGGCTGCTGCCAACTCACGCCTCTGATTGGCTAGCTTTTATTGAGCCACCCGAGGTGAGTATAAAGGGTCTGACATTTTGAAGAATACGTGTTTATGAATGGAGGTGATCTTCTCCCTCCCCAATCAGATGACACTTTTTAATTGTCCATGGTGTACTCTAAAAGGCTGGGGGGTGGGGATGTTTTGTACCAATTTCCATGGAACAAGACTTCAGTCCCTTCTGGATTCTTATTGCTACAAAATCTCAGTGCTTAAAACTAAAGCAGTGATGGTAGGATGTTTAACATTGTCTTACTTTGTCCCAGTGCTTGGGGGCCTTATTTTAAGGACAGCGAAGCTATGATGCTGCTTGCTCAGGTTTATTGACAACACTTCCTTCTTTTTATGGCCAGCGCATGGAATTCACGGGTGGGGGTCTAGTGTTATGACCCAACCCAGTTCCAGAAACCAACTGCTGCTTTAGATGTCTGGATTGCTACTGTAGAATACTCATCTGCCATCGCTCCTAATAAGACTACTGGGTCCTAATTACGTGGTGGTGCTATGTGGAATAGCAGATGAAGATGCAGACAGAATGTGAAAGACTGATGTTCTCTGCCAAGGGAGGAGCAGAAGGCTTATCCTGACATGCTCTTTTCACCTTCCCCATTGTGGTGAAAGCAGAATAAAAGTGTTATGCACATGTGTTTTAATGTTTACACAGCTTTCTTGAAAATGGGTACAGGACGCTCTACATGCTGATAAATCCAGCATTCATTTTCATGTTACATAATGTGTACATGTATTGATCATACTTTGTGATGGCATACATTCAGGTCCTTACACGCTCCATTTAGAAAAAGAGCAGGTGCCAGGTGAACTCTAGTGCTGGAGAGCCAAGGACAGTAGCTAGTACAGAGCTAGATGAGCTGGTATAAGGAAGGCTGCTTCCTCTGTTCCACATACCGTATTTACATGAATGTAATGCGCACCTGCGTGCTCTGGTCCATGGGTTCACGAAGAGTTGGACACGACTAAACAACAATGCACACCTTTTTGCCAAATTATGTCATGAAAATGAGGATGCGCATTAGATTCGATGGCATATTACATTCAAGTAAATACGGTACCTGACTCTTTAAGATTCCAATAATAATCTGGAAAAGGGCATGAGGCACTTGGGGTAAGTGCCTTGAAAATATTCACAATAAGGCACTATTGTTTCATACACAGCACATAGGGGGCCCCTTCAAATATTCATCAGATGAAAAGGTAAAGTATGTAGAAAAACCATGCCTTTGAGTACCCCACCTCTGCCTGCCAATTGTGCATAGTTCCAGCATCTGGAGAAAGCTATGCATGTAGAGGCCTGTGCAGAAAGGGTCCCTAACCTGACAGCAATATTGGGAGGGTCTCTGTGTTGCCAGAGGCATGGCCCTGCATCTCTTGTCTAGAACAGGCAGTCTCCCCACCTCCTATGACATGAGAACTCTGGACACAACACCTGTCTTCAGGATTAAGCTTCGACTTATTGCTCAACATCCAATCTGTTACCCGCTCCAAGCACTAGTCTAATACCTCAGCTGCCGCCTCATCCTGATGGGAGAGAGAGCTGTATGCTACATTGAGTCCCGTCAGAGAAAAAGATGGAGTATAAATAAATATAAAACTGTATTTGTAGTAAAAGAGAGCTAGGTTCATCTGCATGTTGATGATACTTCATTCCAGCTCTCCCAATAATGACCAACATCGTATAGATGTTAAACAGCATGCAGGTGAAGATGGAACCCTGTGAGACACCACATGACACCTCCCATGGTGCTAAACAGTACCCTCCCATAACTATCGTATTTTTCCGTGTATAAGACAACCCCTATTTCTTGGGACCCCAAATTAAGGAAATGGGAGATTGCCCAGAGTTGCTGAGCTATTTGGGGGGGGGGGATGCCGACAGCTGCTCTGACCGCCGCTGCCATTCACATGCATCACCTTTATTCTGGCAAATGTCATCAACCAGGTCAGCCAAGGAAGTTTCAGTGTCATAGCCAGACTAGAATGGACCCAAGAATAGGTATATATGCCAGAAGCTAATCAGTTAACAGATTAACGAAAATAGCGGGTATAGACTGAATGAATGCGACATAATGAATCATCACAACTTCAAAAAAAGAATTATATATAAAAAGTTTATTCTTTACATAATTCAGGAAGCAAAAAATCACACCCCAAAACTTGATGCTGTATGTAAACAAGGTCATCCCCCCCCCAATAAATTAAAAGACCTCCCCCAAAATAAGAGGTGAGGAACTTAACATGAACTTCCCTTTTAAAATAAAAGTGGAGGAGAGGCTGGAGCTGAATCTGCTTTAAGGCTACCCCCAAGAGGAGTGGTCCCTGCATACTATACTTGAGCAAAGTGGTGGGAGGAGGAGGAGAATTAGACATCCGTCATTGAAATTGGGTTGGACAAAACAGCACAGCACCTTTTCCAGTGTTTGCTTCTGTAGGGGTAGGAAGGACTTATTTCCCAACACTCACAAAAAACAGCAAGTTGTGGGTCCTCAGTATAGACACAGATAGGGTCACAATAGCCTTCTCTGGCCCAAGCTTGAAGGAAGAGAAGGTCAGCCACTTGGGAGCAGGGAGGGCATGTTACAAAGGTCAGGAGATATTGCTGCTCTGCTTCTCTTTCTATGGTTTAGAAAGGAGAGGCTGCTGTCTCCTTTTCCTCTCAACCTATAACAGCAACCAGACGCTACAGAGAAGGACCTGGCAAATTGGTTTAGCTTCCTTGCCCAGATAGGAGTGTGAGGACCATAGGGAAAAGAAAGTAGAACAGTTATGTATGTCCCTCCATCAATATGCCACCTGCAGCCTGGCTTAAGAGTCAGCTCTTCCCCCCACACCCAGCCAACAATTAATTTGAGTTTTGGAATCCCTCAAGGGATTAGGGTATGAGATAAGTACTGTAAGAGTCAGTTCCATCTTCCTAAATGCTGTCCCTCCCCTTGATTTCAAGGGAAATAAAGCAGAAAGACTTTGGCACTGACCAGAAGAAAGTGGCACAATGGAGGCTGCATCTCCCTCCCTCTAGGTCCTCCAAGCAGCAATCATTTCTCCTCTTCTTGATTCAACAATGAAATGTAACAGTCTCTGCAGTAGGAGGACCCTGTTGCTCCATTTTTGTCATGCCCACCAGAGGGCAGAAGCAGTAGTTAACTCTTAAGGTGGAAGCAACCTACGTTTTTGCTCTGTTTAATCCCTCCAAAGTAATACTTGCCTCACTAGTCCTACACTTTTTAAAGGGAAGATCCAGCCATCTCCCAGCCCAATCCAGTCTAATCTCCTTTCGTGACAAGCTTATGCAGTTTCCGGCATGTGCCTTTACGGAAGGCATGGGGAAATGTCAACTCTAGTCTCCAAATAGGGGAAATCGCCCCATTTGAAGAACCCCAAACTGCCACAGGGAAAAATAAGCATAGGAGGTGTGACACTGATAGCTGCTCTCCTTGGGAGATCAAGTTGCAGGTGGTGACAGGCAGGAAGCAGATGTCAATTTGACAGAACAGAGTCTATCAGGAGGAAGCCCTCCTCGCTCCCCTAGGAGTAGATAGTGATGACCTCGCTGCCACCACCCCGCACAAGCAGCACACGTTCCAGCCCCTCTGTTAGGACCTCCAGGAATTCCATATCTGCAGTTAGAAGGCAGTCAAGGAAATAGCGCTCTCTCTCTCTCATATACACACATACCCCAGTCCTGTTGCCACTGCCAATCCCTCTTGCATCCCCGCAAAAGACAGGACCCTGAAGAAAAGGATACAGTTCTCGTCACCATCAGGATTACGTGGTGGGCCTGGCATGTTGAGCAGTACCAGCTTGGCATCGTGGGACTTGTTGACTATGACCTCATTGAGCTTCACAGCTGTGTGCATACGTCTCACGTTGGACTGGTCCCTGGGTCGTAGGAAGGAAGAGACAAATTGTCACCAAGACCAGGCATGCCTATGGATGTACACTTGCAGGAAGCTTTGGCTCAGAGATCTGGCTTCTGGAAAACTGGAGAAAGCACTAAGACACATATGGATTGGAGGAGGGAATGGATACAATATGGCAGCTGCAGCAATCTAAGAGGCCAACAGGGTCTGGACCACACTGGAGATGGGAAACAAACAGAATGGCCTTATGCTGCCAAAATAGAAGCAGTGGAAATAATGTAACATTTGATGGTATGGTTATTGAAGCAGCTGGGAATGTGAAGAAGTATCAAGGACATTTTTCTCTTTTGACTCCTAACCCTAAAGAAAAGTGTCAAAGGTGGTCTTGCCACAGAGAAGCAGAAGTGTGGATGCTAGGATTGAACAAAAAAAAAAGAATAAGATTTGTTACTATCCAAAAGGATTCTGGAAGCCATAAAATGCAGGACAGAACTTCAGGAAAGAGTTAAGTGAACAGAAATGGGCTGAAGTGTCCTGGGACTTGGCAGATTCTTACGGCCGCATGTTGAGCAGATCCTGGAAGTTCTCCAAGGTCTTGGGTTTGTGCCCTCGGGATGCCATGTACTTGTCCTTGGTCCACGTCATGTGCACCTTTTCCTGGTAAGTCTCAGTCTCTTCGTCATCATCTGAGCCAATGCTGGTCAGCCGCAGCATTGAGTTTCTGTCCTTCACCAGCTGCGCCTGTATGGGGAGCACCTAGGAAGATCAGTGAAGAAGCAACTAGGAAGTGCTAATCTTTCAGCCCTTCCCTTCCCACTTATCCCTGCCCAGTTCACCTCTCGGTCCCGCTCCGTCTTTGAGAGACGCATTTGCCGCAGCATCTGGCAGCGCTGCTCCATCATCAGCGTGCGCTCATAGGTGTAGGCAGAAATGTCGCTGTCATGCTGTTGGGAGACAAGAAAGTGTAAACTCATACACAGAGTGGGGCCAAGACGATCTGTCCTCTGGCCAGCTTTGGTACATTCAGAGCGCACAAAAATGCCCAGATTTCTTCCTAGTGCAACAAAATGGCAGAACGGGATGCATGCATTAGTCTGTGTGCCTTTCTCTAGGAATCTGCACAGTTGTAGATATGCTCTGAGCAACAGAATGTTGTGGCTTACAAAGCAAGAACTAGTAGTTTCTTTGAAAGGCAGAGAACAAATACAACAAAGATCTGAGTAGCTACACCCTGTTACTATGGAGGGGAGGGCAGGGGAGAGGTGACAGGAAGACAATTCACAATTTGCCTGAAGTTACAGGTGAACACTGAAAAAACAGGGGGCATCAGGGTATGATTTCTAGTAGATAGGGAAAAGCTTCTTACATCCAACATATGTCCAAGCCCTTACCTCATTTCTCTATTAACCAATCAATCTTCCAAGTCCTGCCCTTGACTATGGGACGCCTAACTTGCTGACCACAGGAAAAACAAAAACCAACTAATGCCCCTAACCCCTCCTGGCTTCCTCTGCCTGTTTTGTCTCTCACCATTTCCACCACTTCTACCTCTGCCTCAATGCGGAGGTGATAGAGAAAGGTTGCTAAATCCTTCTTCATCTGGATGCTGTTATCCTCCAGCTGGGCTACAGTGAAGATGCGGATTTTGCATTTACGCCACACCTTTAAAGTGGGAAAAGAGGGTTAGCAGCCCCATCTACCGGTTTACCTTCCCCCCTGATTCATCTCCCCCAGTGATACCCCCCCCCCCCGCCAGCACCTTGTGTTGCTTGAGGAGGAAAGGGAGTAACATCAGCATCCCACCATCATGAACAATCCACCAGACATCAATGCTCCCCTCGGGGAAAGGATCTGTATTGCTAGGGAAGAAGGACACGTTCTTTGCCACAAGCAAGGCGAGGTGAGCAGCTGTAGTCACTCGGACAGTGCCTGCAGGGTAGAAAGAGAGAGTAATGCAATATGGATCCCTTGACCGAGGAAGCCCTCCCTCTCACCTCCCTATGGGAGAGGCCTTACCAATGAAGGTTTTCCAAGCACGGGCATCCTCACTCTGGCGCCAGGCGTTGGGCCAGCCCATGACAACCGTGTTGTGCTTCATGCCACCCAGCCCACAGGACTGAATGAGGTGGGAGATGCCCTCTCGCACTTTGGCAGCCACCACGATTTGGCAGAAGCCTTTCACCCGCTCTGCCTCCATCAGATGCTTGATGGTCTGAAACAAGAAACATTAAGGCTGCTAGAGGGCACTAGCATGGAGAGCTCTTTGTGCCCCAACCCGGTGAATGCTTTGCCACAGTGAAATCCTGTGTTGCTGAACTCCAACTCACTTAAGTTGGTTAAGTATTTAAAAGTTTGACCTTCAGGGTCGAAGGCATTATGGAGATGGGATATTACTGAGGAAATGGTCTCTAAAATCAATATACTGGAGGTTTCTGCAGCAGGAACTAATACGGCAATGGAGTTCAATCCTAGGTATTTCCATGTAAAGCAGGGAGAGATCCCTATCTATAACTCTGGAGAGTCACTGCTAGTCAGTGTGAATGATACTGAGCTAGAGGCAACAATGGTCTGACTAGTACAAGTCAGCTTCCTACATTTCTTGCATCTGCTGAATATTGGAAAGGAATAATCCCATTTCATTAAGCCTGAATGACCACAACTGTCCTCTTCATTTAGGATCAGGAAGTAGGGCTTCTAAGTATGATGGCCTGACTACCAGATCAACCAACCCCAGTGCCTACGCCTCTTATTTGACGTATGAAATCCAGTGAGTAGCAGTGGGCTTCACCTGCTCGGCAGCCAGTGCATCACTGTAACACTCCAGGAAGTTGCCCACCATGACGGAGCCTACGATGGTGAGGCCCTTTCCAGCTTTCAGCTGAGAGGCAAAGGTGAGCAGGCGTGGATGCTTCACGTGCTGATCCTCATCCAGCTTTAGCAGCACCAGCAGTTGTGGCCTAAGAGAGAAAAGAAAGTCCAAAATGCACATAAAAGGAGCAAAGTAGCAGGTGGGTTCAGGCTGCCACCCAGAAGAGCGTATTTGTGTGCATGTTTGGAGCACTCCACAGCACATGCACACAAATACAGGTATGCATGCACAAGGTCTCTGCATGTGGCACGCACAGCCCATGGCAAAATGAAGCAGCATCAAGTCTCTTCCTACCTCCAGTTCTTGGTGTGGGGTGGCCCCTCCTCAAGACGCAGCAGGGCGAAGCGGGCTGCGCTGAGGGACAGGCCACGGATGCCATCGCCCCACTCCTTCTCGGCCCTGGGGGATGAAGAAAATGTTCAGCCAAATGAGCTCAAGGAGAGCCAAGTCACTCAGTGCCCCTCCTTTCCAGAAGCATTGGCAGAGGGGGAAATGCGGCCAAGGCAATCATGCAGGAGGCAGGAGGACAAGGCTGCATCACAAAAGAGGTCAGGTGTGGTGACTTCCAAACTCAACATTCAAAGAAAGGGATCATGATTCCAAGCCTTCATGCCCTCTGACCTGCATTTCTCACAAAAAGAAAACAAAAATCCTGCAACTGAAGGTAAAAGGCCCCAAAACTTCTGGCTGCAATCGTTTATTTCCAGAGCCTGAGCCTCAGAAACCCACAACCGAACCTTCACCCTCACGATCTCAGCAAAAGTTCCAAAAAGGAAATGATTCCGCTCTCACCCAACTGGAGACTGAGTGAGTGAGTGAGTGTGGTTGCAAGGAATTCCCCCTGCTGTTCCCCGGCTGTGGAGTAAGAGGCTGGATAAAGAGGGCTAGAATGCTAGAGCTCTGGAAGGTTACAGACACTCACCCATGGTACTCAATGTATTTGTAGATCATTCCAGCTATCACCATGGCAACAATTGCATAATACCAGGAGGAGATGAACATGAGTGCCACACAGATGCTCATGCCCATGAAGGAGAGTGCCCTACAAGAAGAGAAAGGGGGAAGGGAGGAAAGCATGCAGACTATTGTTTATTTCGTTTGCTGTTTAAAATGTGAGCCCAGAGTCTCAGGGTGCTGGATTCCGTTCAAGAGAACCTTTTGTACTTGTCAGCAGACATACCAAATACACAGGCCAGGAGTCCAGCCCCAATTCCCTCATTTTATGCTAACCCCATTTTGTACAATAGGACATAGAACTCGGGAGTCTGAAATTGCACCCTCTCTCCCCTCCTCTGTTTGTAGAATTCGCCAATGTCCCTCCTCCTCCAACTCACTAGGTAGTGTGGCCCTCTTACCAGTGATAGTACCGGAAGCGGGGTCTCCAGTTGGGGCTGCGTAGCAGAGTTTGTAATGCGCAGGCTAGGTTGACAAAGAGATAACACATCAGGAAGAACCTAGGGGAGAACAGAAAATAGTCTCAGCTGTGTACAATTCCTAGAGACTCCAACCCATGATAAATATGGCACTTACATGGAAAGGATGGGTGCTACCATATCCAAAGAGGCAATGAGGATCCCCAGTTCTGCAATGCCTGCTGTTAGAAGCAAGGCCCACGTGGGTTCTCCATTGGCTTTTCCATGGCCAAATACCTAGAGTGAATAAGGAAACAGATTACTTGGGACAAACCAAGGATTTTTTCAGCAGCAAGTCAATAAGCGGTTGTCACTCTTACCCGCAGGAAGGGTATAATGTTGTCCTTGGCTATGGCTTGTAGCAGTCTGGGTGCGCCGGTGAGGCTCTGCAGCCCAGCTCCACACGTGGAGAAGAATGAACCGATGACAATGACCCAAGGGGAGGGCCAGGACAGGGTCCCGACCACCAGATTCCCTTTCACTGTATCACCAAACCTATCCAATAGAAGCAAAAGTGAGGCCATTAGGTATCTGCCTAAGGGCTAATAGTGAGAAGTACAAAGATCCAGCAGAAACAAATGGTCCAGCACATAGAAAAATCAAAAGTTGCAGGATTGGATCCAAACTATGTTAGTTGCATTTGTTCCATTGGTTTCAAAAGGAATAGATGCCACCAACTTAACAGGATTCAAGCACAAGAGCACTCTCCCATCTTGTGGCTTTCAGCAACTGGTATTCAAAAGCACTGATGCCTACAGCTGTGGAGGCAAAGCACAGCCATAATAGCTAGTAGCCATTAATAGCCCTCTCCTCTATGAATTTGTCTAATTTGATTTTAAAGCCATTCAGGTTGGTAGCCATCACTGCCTATTAAGAACACAGCTTAAAATTTGAATCCAAAATTGAAATTTCACGTCTGATTTATATCTGAGAACTGTGGCACTAGGGAAAGTTACTACTTACTTATCTCTGAGCACGACACCTTCCACACATGCCCCAAACAGCACTACGTTGCTAAGATCTGATGTGTCAAATGGTCAAGGAGCAGTAAGATGTTCTTGCAAGACAGCAAAGGATGCAGAAGGGCAGCCATCTTTCCCACACAGGCACCAACTCCCTCCATCCCACCCTTATCCATCCCTTGTTTATTTGACCCTACATTTGCCAGGAAGGATACACACAAAGGAGGTGGTGAGAATAGCCAGGATGGTACCAATGGGAATAGATTTCTGGGCATCCTTCAGGTCTCCAGAACGATTTGATCCAGCCATGATTCCTGTGAAGACAAAAAAAAAAAAAAAGATTTTCTGAGGGCAAGAAAACAAAATTCTGTGATAAGGAGGTACTGCTAAGAAACTATACTGAACCTTTGAATAATTTTGCATATGATCTATTACCCTGATGTAAAAGAAGATGATATTGCATCAAACTGGGCCATTAGAGGGGAACAGCAGCAACAAAACTGCATCCAGTCCAGCTCACAGCTGAGGCAATATTGAGTCCTTACTCCTAGGCTGAAAGAGGGTGCTTTGCTGAGAACTGCAAGAGTCCATAGACAGACCTGTGTTTTAAGTATAAGCATCCCAGATTAAAAGTTGGCTATCTACACTTCTGGAACGGTTTGCCTCTGGAGACACCTCTGAACAATACATAGCAACAACGTAGCTCTTACCAGTGACTGAAGGGAAAAAGATGCCCACAAGAAGAGTAAAGGAAGTGGTGATGTCAGCCAGCACATACTGCTGATTCAGGCTTCCCCACACATCAGCTGAATGCAATGATGGTTTCTCAATTATTTCGCCTTTCACCAAGTAGCTGCTCCAAAGATTCTCTGCAATTATCAATACCATTATTATTACCACCAGAACCACCACGATTATTGCTGTCATCATCATCTCACCCTTCCTCCAGTGGTCTACAAACTTCTTCTTGCTATCCTATGAGATAGGTTAGGCTAAGAGGTGGTGACTGTCCCAAGGACACCCAGTTGCTATTTATGGCCACTACACAACACAGGCCCTGAATTAGGGAGGGAAGGGAAATAGCTGTTTATCTAGACAGTGTGTAGGACACCTCATGGATTGTCCCAACATGAGGAAAACCAAGTGTACTGTTGACAGGGAAGGAAAGGTATCTCTCACCAGTGATAATGCCACTGGCCAGCCCTGGGATACCCTGGATAATGGTGACATTGTTGTGCTGAAAATAATCATCACAGGAGGCATTGTGGTGCTTGGTAGCATTGCAGAAAAACTCCCAGAGGACAGTGTGCTGGGTGATGTTGTCACGCTCCACCGTCTTGGCACAGTCATTAATGTGGTGCCGGGAGAGAGAGCGGTTCCCCAGCATGCACACGCTGAATGGAGAGGAGACACAAAAAGATGAACAAACCCGTTAGGCTATAAAGAGGCCAAGGCATGCACAAACAAATTTGAGAGTCCCAACCCTTAAGTTGCCCAAGGGCATGGGAAACTTATCTAACTATGGAGAGATGGTTGCAGTCTTGTAAAAAACTGTGACCAAAGATCCCTAACCCTTCACCAGAACAGACAACTCTATGCACATTCACAAAACTACATATTCCAACAACTTCTCGTAGGATCTGCGACATCCCAGACTGATTAAAAGAGAAGTCACAATGAATCATATCCAAGTATCACAATTAATCATATCCAAGCATGCTGATAACCTACGGGAAGTCGGGAGGTGCAAAAGAGGACTTGATGGCACCAGCGTAGATGGCCAGGATTGAGACGATGACACAGGCAAGGAAGAGAGAGGCAAACTTATTCACGTAGCGTACACCCACGAACACCACCAGCACCATAATCACTAGAAAGGCTGAGCCATACACCCGCATGTTGTTGAGCATGGCTGCTGGCTCCTTCAAGGGATCCTCACTATGGAAGATGGCTGCCTCAGGGGCAATGTACATCTGAGAGAGGGAAGAGAGAGACACATGTCACTTTTAGAAAGGTCAGCAGATAGAGGGGGAAAACATGGATTTTGCAAGATTAGCAGAAGTGCTCACTCGGCTCAAGGCTGTCAGGCTGCTTGGAAGTGGCCACAGCTGTGTGGAATAGCACCTGTTTCACAACTATAGAACACTGCATCTCGTTAATTTTAGGGGAGTAGAACACTTACTAGGAAGATTTCAATGGCTCCCAAAATGTACATTGCAGCAGCAAAGGTGGTGCCCAGATAAAAGCAGAGTCCAACGGCTCCTCCAAACTCAGGCCCCAAAGCTCGTGAGATCATGAAGTATGAACCCCCAGCTGTGAAGAGGAAATAAAGCAGTGGGTAGGAGGTCAAGAGACTTTGCAGATAGGGAAAAGGGTTATAATTTGCACTTCCTACACATCCTAAACATCCGCTTGTAGAGGAACTTTTTATTTCTAGAATTTGCAGCACCCAAATGAAATTAAACAAACCAACAGGTTATGATCAACTGAGTTAGACGATGAGTAGCACAAAACAAAGCAGTGATTTATGTGGATCTCAAATACTATAAGAAGGCATTGTGTTTTTATGGCAAGATGAACGTCATCTGACATAGATAGCATTGGTATCTGGTGAACAAGTTTAAGGAAAGAATTCCACCATTTGGGCACCACCTCAGAAAAGAACCTTTCCCAAGTAGTTACTTGGTTAAGTTCTGATGGTGAGAGCACTCAGGGCTGCTTTTGAAGATGAATGTATTTGGTGGGCAGGGAAGTGTGGGAGGAGATGGCTCTTTAGATATTAAGTACTCACCAGGCACAACTCCATTGGTGGCAATGGCACTCATGGAGATGGCTGTTAGCAGAGTCTGAGGAGGAGAAAAGACCACAGGAGGATTTAGAAGAAAAACACACAATTTTAAAGGGCTTTCATTCATTAGGTTGTGCAATTATACTCTTGTTAGATAGGACAATAGGCAATTTCCCATAAGATACAACTACAGCTAAAGAAAATCTGGCAAGTTGTGGAAATAAAATCTATCACTGGCCTCATGACACAGCTGGATGCATGTGGGAAGAAGGGTAATCTTATGACTTTTACATTAGGATCTCAGGTGTGGCCTGATAAAGTCACAAAGTATGATTTAGCCCCCATCTCCATGCTGTGGTCCAGACTGCTCACTCCTATCTTCTTCTCTAAGACATTAAAACCCCTAAACCAGGACATGATTCAGACAGTAGGAGAGAGGAACTCACACAGCAACAGCACATGAGGACAATGGCAAAGGCTTGCAACACGCCGGCTGTACCCACCACCCAGGTGAGCCGTAAGAAGAGAATCACCCCGAAGATGTTCTGCAGGCAAGGCAGATAGACTCCCATGAATGTGCCCATCTGTGGAGACTGGAAGGAAAAGGACAAGCTCTCAAAACCAAACCTACTCCACTTCGCTGCCCCTACCTTGCTCTTCATCCTTTGCATGCATGATTTAAATACCTGCGACTTCTCTGCTACTTGGTCTTCAGATATCTTTCTCTTTGACAACCCCATCCCTTTGTCTGAATTCCCAGACAAACCCAGCCACCAAGTGCAGAGCAGGTAACAGCACTAAACTGCACATATAGTAAGTCATATTAAAAATCAATTGCAAATAGGCAACACATAAAAACTAAAGCCCTGCTTACAGGACTAGGGAAAAATCCTGGGTACCTGGTTACTCAGATACCTCAGAGCTTGATTTGGTGGCTTAGGAATCTGAACATTTTGCATAACTCTGAGCAGGGCTTTTAATTGATCTGATGTATTTATTTTTTAACTGGCTCCTACAAATTTCAAACAAATGTCAAGAAATCAAAAATATTTTTTGAGGTTTACCTCATGCTGCCTTAAGACCAGCGGCTAAAATCCATGTCAAACAAAAAGGTGTTTTAAACTTCAAGAAGCACAGTTTTTTGTTCTGGAAAGTCTCCAGGAAAGGGAAGCCCCATGCTTGTAGGGCAGCCATGGCGAAAGCATCAACTCCTTTCAGTTTTGGACATCAACTCATTCACTACCTTCAAATACTTACTACCTCTAACTGCCTACATATCTCACTATCACCAAGCTCCTTACCTTAATAGCTTTTTTCTTGCCTGGAGGGACATTCTCAGCCTCCTCATGTTCACGGGCTCCCTGCATCAAGTTGGTGTAATTGGCCATGCGGTTGAGCAGGGAGGACACCTTGGGCCGGGTGTCCATCTCCTCCTGCAAAGTGGAAAGGATGGCAGTAAACATTAAAACTTAATATTAAAAATCTCCTAAGGCAAAAAACCACTAGTCATTAGCATGGTTATAGTAATTTGGGAATGAAGACATAGGAAAGCAGAATATGACAGAAATGGGTTGGGTACAAGCAGGCTAGTGTAACCTTGGCATTAAAAAAACCCCCACAACTTATACGCCAAGAAATTCTGAATTCTGCAATCTGTATATTACATTTTGCTAAATTAGGCAAATTTGCGATCTTTGATCAATTTGCACCTCCTTACTCTGCCACAGAGGTGGGACAACTTTCTCCCCACACCCTGTGGGCCCACCTTGACAGGTAAGCAGGGCCACCCTTGTCAATCTTCTGACATTGTGATGCTGTGGGGTTGTTAGCTATTTTTCTGATTTATGCAGAGTGATATAGAGGTTTCACCCTCAAAGCCCTAGGGATGAAGTAGACTCCACACACAATACTCTGAAGATGACTCTTTACTGGCAGGATGGCCACTATTACAAGTTACTATACATATATACTGAGTTGGATGCATTGTATTTCACTCTCTTGAACCCATGAGAGGCTCTTCTTGCTTCTAAAACTCCTTTAAGCAGTGCAGAAATTATAGCTTGTCTGTCCTTACCAACTCCTCCAGCAGTATGTTGTTGGAGTCTCCACGCTCAGCAAAGCACCCAACCTCCAACTCCCACCCCTCCTATCACTACCATAGACACATACAGGCTCACTTTTAAAGGGAGTTAACCAATTAACAAAGCAATGATTCAGCGTTTCTGTGACCTTAATTGGAGTCACAAGTTTTTGCAGCTGTTATATTACATTACATTACGGTACACCCTCGGGTTACGTTACTCTCAAGTAACGTAAACTTTGGGTTGCGAAAGTGGCAAACCCGGAAGTATTTTTCCGGGTTTCGCCACTCGCGCATGCGCAGAAGTGCCACCTCTGGATACGGATTTTTCAGATTGCGCATGGACCCCCTGAACGAATTAAATTTGTATCCAGAGGGTCCACTGTATATTGGTTTTATTTTCTCCAGCACAATTTAATTTTTTTGTAAAACACATCTTCTAACAAATACAGTAAAAATACTAAGAAGGCCATCCTACCTACCTGTCAAAATCAGCTTGGGGCTGGTGGGGAGGGGGATTTGATTTGCCAATGCATTCAGTCTAGTATGACTCAATACTCTGATTACCAGTGGATGAGCAAAGGGTTGTATTCTGCTCTCTGCAGGGGTCTGCTTTGCCAGCTCATTCCCCACAGGGGTGGGGTGAGAAGTCTGTATTGCCAGTGCATTCATTGCAGTAGAGTGAAGCAGCCTCCATCAGGATTGAACCTCATCACCCAGTAATGTCAGCTGATTGGCAAGTAGGTGCAGCTTGGGGAAAAAGGTCTGATGGGCCAAATTGGACCCTCTGTGGGTCAAGATTGGCCCATGGGCCAGAGCACGGGTGCACAACCTGCAGGCCTCCAGATGTTGTTGGACTACACCTCCCATCAGCCCTGATCACTGGCTAGCTGACTGGAGCTGATGGGAGTTGTAGTCCACAAAAATATGGTGGGCTGCAGGTTGTTCACCCCTGGGCCAGAGATTTCTCACCCCTGCCTATACATTTTCAAGTCCATTGCTGCAGCTATGAGAGTTAAAAAATAACCTTTAAAAAATAAAAAAGAGACGTAAGATTTCCAAGATGCAGTTTCCCATGTCACAGTTCCCAATCCTTTGCAACTTTTTCTGTGTTTTTGAGGAATTAAAAACAACAACCATGCATAGCCTTGGGAAACAGAGCAGACATAATAGCAGCTATCATGAAAGGCTATAAGGAAGGATTTAAACCAGTGTTCGTAACTCCCATTGTTCTAGGTGCATTTTGCAATAGGGAATTTCATTAAAGCAGGCAGTTTCTGATCTCTAGGCACAGCACTGTGCCTAAGATTTCAGATTAAAATTGCTGAGTGGAAGGAAAAGGACCTTTTTCTGCCTCCCCACTTCCAGCTACTCTCTGGAAACTGGAGAAGAGACCCTCTTAAGAATTATTAGGGAAGTGGGCAGGGGAAGGACTAGACCATGTGAAAAATGAACATAATATTTTAGCTGCAGTTTATTCATTTTTAGTTTTGTATTATTGTTATTTAAAAATCGTGCCTAGACATTCCATAGTTGCGCCCATAACCTAGGTTTAAGGTGCCATTTAGCTCCTAGTTTTCATATCTGTTTCTAACACCGATTAATACATATATGGACACATATAGTGGAAGGAAGGAAAGCAAAAGGCAGGAAGAACTAACCCACCAACAATGATCTCACCTCAAAAAGTGCCAAATTCTTGTCAAAGAATTCATCGCCATCTTCGTAGTTGATATTGTTGAGATAGGCATTATGAGGATCCTTCTTGTGACCAGGATCTGCAACAAGAGAGAGATCAAATGGAAGGAAAGGAGTAGTCCAGCAAAGAGTTAGTGCTGTGCATACATTTAGATTATTGGAGCTCTATCTGGGCAGTGGGAAAAGAGAAACACCCTATATCAAGGCGGTCCATCACTGCCTTTTTGGTGGCCTACACCCAGCCACAGCCCTTGTGTTGCCTTCAGAAAGCAGGTAAGAAAGGTGGTGGGCTTTGGGAAGAGATGAGTGAAGGTTCAAGGACCCTGACAGGACTTTGTGTCCCCTTTCCACAGCCCAGCGCCTCACTTAGTGGGCCTTGGGAAGGTAGCACGCACAAGGCAGTATGCGGCTTACTGGTTCCCTGTCAGAGTACTCTGGCAGTCCACTTGGTATGAAAAGTTGCTCCCCCCTCCTTACCCTAGATCTTTTCAGATCATGAGCTACTTGCCTGCTCAGTTGCTGACACTATTTTTTACCACAGGGCATTTACTATTGTCCCCATATGAGTGGGGTCTGTGGTGAGCAGCAGGCAAGGGGTTTAGGGGAGAAATACGCTACACAGAGATAAGGAATCTGAGGCTAGAAAGATCATCTGGGTAATACTGCTGTCAAGCTTTCACTTCTCCTTGCCTTATACCATTGCCAAGACAGAAGGGATAGGCAAGGGAGTCCCATGCAGCTTTGGAGGTTCTTTTCCCCCCTGGTGTTTGGAAGGGCAGACAGACGGGCAAGCAGCCAAGTTTAGCAAACTTACATGCATGGTTGTGCTACAGCCTCATATGGAGGAAAAGTTCCCTCAAATGCAATAGTTTGAATTCACCAGTAAGGAAAAGGCTAACAAGCACCACGACAATGGCAATTTGCATATTTAAATTGCATGTACTTGAAAGCTGTTTGCCTGTAATTTTCAAGAACAGGGTATGTTCCAAATTAAAGAGGGGCACACTGTATTCCTCCTGTAATGTTCTTATAAGTGCTTCAGGTGTGAAAAGCTGTACTCAGTCATTGAATGAAGGTTAAAAATCACAGCAGTTTTAAATGCTAACAAAGTCTGTGTACACATCATGTATCTAAAGCACATTTAAAGCCACCCTCCACCCTGAATCCTGGGAACTATAGGTTACCACTCATAGAGCTACAAGTCTCAGCATCCTTAAAACCTATGGCTCCGATTATTTTTGTGTGTGTGGAAGGTGCTTTACATGTATGTTGTACACGTAGCCTAAGCTGACCTGCCTCTTTATTTGTTTACAGTCCTTTTTGCAATTTTACCATACTTTCCAAACTTTATGTGCAACCATGAAAGCTAAAAACTATACCAACTGTCTCAATGTTTGAGAAAAAGGAATTCCAATCTCTACTTGTACCCTGCTTTACTAGCTGCCTTCATTTCTCTCCTTCCCCATCAGATCCATATATCCAGAAACAGAACCGCAGAGACCTGGTGCCCATTCTCTAAACCATCAGCATATGCTAGCCCCTGAACTCTAAATCTATCTGTGCCACGTGAGAAAACATCCCTCTCTCCCCTCCAGCTCCATCTCACAGAATGCAGATATGTAAGTGAATACTCTAGGGCTGGGTCCTCTTTAAAAATTAGTAAATCATAAAGACAGGCTTGTCCGCAAGCAAGGAACCACAACATTTATTACTGGGGCCTACCCAACAACCCTGAGGCATGGAATCTTGGCATCTGGCTGGGCTGGATTAACACCCCACCCTGTTTCCCTCAACATTCGGAACAAAGCGGATAATAAAGCTCAGGAGATGTTTCATCCAGTTCTGGCTACAGGAGTGAGAAAGCACTGATACAAATCATGGCAACAGGCCAGCTGTGTATGGGAAAAGGCAAATGAAATTAATGGAAATTATTTCTGAAGTTTTCTTTAAAAAAAGATGCAGAATCCATTATTCAAATCAAGTGTGAGGCTTCTCTGAATTTTTATTATTAGATAGCATCCTCAGTGTATAGGAACAAGGAGTTCCTGAGTACTTCAGCAGCTTACCCCTGCTTACTATGTCTCTAGGGTACCTTAAATGCACTAACTATGACATACCAGAGATAACAATCCTGCTACTACTTATGCAACCGGCTATTCTAAGTCAAGAATCCTTGATCTTTACAAAGATCATTGGCTGTCTTTAAACCATCAAGGATCACTTCCTCAAATGTATAAAATACAGCAGTCAGTTCAAAGGTTGTTATTCTGGAACAATCAAGTAAAGCAAGATCCCTGTTAGGACAACACTTCTTAGTGTTAGATGTGATACAGGTCTGAATTCAATGTCACCTCGATCTTCAAACAAGAGCACTGTAAACAGAGAGACGGCTACCATCCCTTGGTGAAAAGAATTTAGGCTGAAATTAAAGGCTATAAAAATCTAGTTTGAACAAGAGCATTCCAGGAAGGTTTTTGCCTAAAGCAGTTTTTCAACAGCCTACAAAAATTACCAGCAAGTCTGTACTTGCTAGCAATTTATGGCTTTTAAACAATAACTTCTGTGAAGTGCCCTATTCATCTGGATAATACTTGCCACAGGCAACCAGTAGAGTGGCTATCTACAGGTCTGCCCTAGAGCACACACACAGGGACATTTGTGCCTTCAACATAAGATGGTTACACACATATACCATTTTCTTTATTAGTCATTCTTTCTCACACATGCATTCACACAGAGAACTTATTTTTCATCTGTCCCCTAGCAATGGGGCACATACACCTTTGTCTAACAATGGGCAACACTGATAGACACAGGAGACATATATACTGCACACACACAAGAGTCCTGTAATACTGTACCTAAGAGCTGATACTGTTCCCCTGTGACGGAAGATTGACTCACATCTGAAAAATCAAACAGAAAACGGGAAAGAAAATGAATAGCAAAATAAAGGGAGAATGAGGGAATAAAGTGATGGGCTAAAATTTCTCTCTCCCACTTCCCCAAGATTCAAAAATGGCTTTCTTCCCCCGCAATCACAATCAGCAACAAAAATGGTAAGGAGTAAAAAAATAATAGTCTTAAGCTGTGATTTCAAAACAAGAATAGGTGCAACGGGGTGGGGGGAGGAAATGTAGAATATTCATAAGCCTTTCAAGTAGCATAGAAAAGTATTTATCTCCTTTCCCTCCCACACACCATTGAAAACACTCTGTAACTCAAAGGGGAGAGGAGGGTTTTTTCCCCACCGGGCTTTTTTCAGGCTTTATGGTAATGGACAACTGGGGAAAGGGAGTAATTTTTTGTGTTGAGAAGGGAAGCCAGCAAAATCAACAGGACAGAATCATATCAATATCTCCCCCTACCCTCTACCACTATTAAGATATGTTGATTCAGTCTCTGTGAATGAGCTTTGTATCATGTGCATAGTGGTTGTCACTTGTGGTCACTAGCTAGCATCCTCTCCCCTCCCTAGGACAGAGTGGTTTTCTATAGCTTATGACTTGGCTGGCCTGCTGGAGTGATCAGATTGTAGGGGTGGGGAGTAGTGTGGCCGAAACTCTGGGGTCCTTCAATGTTGTGAAAATGGTGGTGGGAAAGATCAACAGCACTCTTATTACAGTTTAGACATGCAAGATGGGTGTTGACTTCTCCCCAATATCTTCTCCACCTCTGAATTTGATTACTGTTGACTGGGCTATGGGGGAATCTCTACCCACCCTCTTTTTTATTCAGGTAAACATCATTCTATGTATGTATGTCCTTACCTGACACAGTAATTAATGCAGGAGACTAATTCCCTACTTTTGGTTTTATTTTCCAAAGTCTTCCCTTAAATTAAATAAACAAATAAAATAAAATAATAAATAAAATAAATTCCATTTAGGGAATGCCACACTGTCTCCCTTCTTTATTGATCTGCCTGACTCTGTGACAAATTGAGCCTCAAATTCTCTAGAGAGGTTTCTTGTAATAAAAATGCAAACACCCCAGACCCAGAAGGCAAAGATTTGGTAATATAAAGGTGTAGCGGTGTCAAACCTATTTAACAATGAATTTTTGAGGGGGGGAAATCACAACAACCTGATTTGCTTGAATCATTTCATTTTCCTACCTTAAAAACAGATTGTGATAACCAAGGGAAGGAGACTAGAGACAGCACAGTGCATTTTAGGGTAGGCATAGGGTTTCCATCTCCAAAAAGTATATGAAAAATCGGGAAGGGGTTAAAATTGACTTGAATCCTAAAGGAAGACCCAGCAATTCAATTTAGGGGATAGTTGCAGTGCTTTTGCATCAATCCATTCACGCCTTCTGTGTACTTGCAAACAGCAGCACAAAACCATTCATAAAGTAATTTGAAGGGACTCCCAACCTGCTCTCCCAAGGAGGACACAGGCCCACTCACTTTTGAAATTTTTTATGTTTCAATAAGTTTTGTTAATACAAGTGTGCTGCTGTAGCTTATATTGTTTATTATTTTGATATTTTATATTGCTTACTGTTTATGCATGTTTATACCTTATGCCTTGTGGGTGGGCCTGGTATTGGCAAAAAGGTGCAAAATAATAACAAGGGAAGGTATGGTAGAAGCAACTATTTATTTTTAAAAGAGGAGAAAGGGGTGGGGAGGCAGTTACATGTTTTCTTCAAAATGTAAAGACATGTACAAGGTCCACATGAATAGAGCTCCAAATGGTGCCTTTGTCTGGGGCAACATCATGCAGTGAGGAACAGGGGGATGAAAGGCCATGGGTCTAGCTGGAGGCCAGCAAATTCAGTGAAGTGCATCACACCTATCAAGGCCTGCAAAGTGAACATGTGGGGGATGCCAGAGTAGACAGCAGATCATTCAGAACAGACAGATGGAAGCAAAGTCTGTTGATGAGGGATCAAACACAAATGATGTGTTTCTGTTCAACAACCTATCTTTGCTCTTGTCAGCCACCCCAGTCTTGGCAATTTCCCCAGTCCTGTTGGCACCATTCAACTTCCAGCAGCAGAAGCATCCTTTGTTTGTTGAGTCTGCACTCAGTGCCCTACACAGAAGGCATTGTTTCTGTTCATTGTCTGGATAAAGGGATTCAAACTGCCTGGGATAAATAGAGATTATATGGAGAATCCTGGGATTTGGACATTTCCGACCAGGAAGGATGTGTGTACATAGTCTAGGTCGGACTAGAAGTGCACTTCTGTTTTTTTCCATCTTGATAGCAGTGCAATAATGAGCAAATCCTTTTAAGACTCTGGTATTTTGGAGGGTCAGAAAAAGGGTTTGAGCTTAGGATTGTCATGCTGAGGGCATGCGATTGCATTACTCAGCCTGGGAGGTCTAATGTTAAGAGGCTTGTTTCTGCCCTTCATATTCCATTCCAAGGTTAACTGTAGCCCCTAAAATAGCTATCCACAGTAGTTTTTAACTTCCAGGTTTCAAAAAGCCCTGCCCTTCAATTCTGACTCATTTTACCAAGAGGTGAAAGACACCATTACAATGCTTTAAGGTGTGCCACAAAGAGGGAGTTTCTCAAAGCAAGCTTTTGTGTGGAATGACAACCTTAATCTGTGCAAATGGCAAAAATTATGGATCCAAGGGCTGATAGTCAGAACCACTACATCCAGAATAAAAAAGTGATTTGAAGAGTACACATTTTCTCCCTCTCTGTACGCATGGTGAAAGGAGGTCTTTATGATTCTTATTTTATTTAGAGGGACAGAACAATGTTATTTGCCCAAGGTCAAAGAGGTGCTCTCTCTGCCAGCTCAACATCAGTTTGACATAGAACACATTTTCAAAATCCCAGTGAAAAGGCAAAGGACATGGGCTCCCTCAAATATAGTAATTGTCAAGTTTGTGCGTGTTCAAGATAAGAGGCGGGCTCTTGTGCAAATTCCGCCAAAAATCAATAGAAGCCCCAGTGAAGAGGGAACAGAAGAATATATCTTTCTTTCTGGACTTTTCCAAGGATGTGATTTAAGCGCGCTCTAAATTTGTTAACGCAAATGGCCTTCCTAGAACAAAGAATGTGAAATACTACATTCAGTTCCCGGCAAAGTTTTGTATTTCATATTCAGGTCAAACTCACAAAGCTTTGAATTACTCCCTTAACTAACTAATAAGAGGATACACTGTTGAAGATATTGTTTTGCTAGTATGGGCATTCTGCCAGTAGATTGGGGTATAATCAGTCAGCAGTGAAAATCAGAAAGAACATTCTATATCAGGTATAGGCAAACTCGGCCCTCCAGATGTTTTGAGACTACAATTCCCATCATCCCTGACCACTTGTCCTGTTAGCTAAGAATGATGGGAGTTGTAGTCCCAAAACATCTGGAGGGCCAAATTTGCCTATCCTGTTCTGTATCACCTGTTTATTGACTAGTGAAGCAGCAAAAGTCACCACCGCTTTTGAATAAAATATTAACAAGTCAGAGTCAAGCTGATAGGAAAGGAGGAGGAGGAAACTGAGCTCAGCCCACTCCAGAAGTCATTCTTTTTCTTTTTCCATTTGGATTATTTTTTCTGTTTTTATTTTCAAAACTAGTTAAATTGGATAATCTGTTTTTTGTTTTCGTTATGTAACACTAATGTGGTAGGGGATTTTTCTCTGTCTCTCCTTATTTTTGTTCTGTTTTTTTGTCTTCACTTTTTTATTCTTTCTTTTTTCCCTCTCCTTTCAACAACATTAATAATGAAATTGCTTGGTTATGGCTATTATTATGTATACAAAGCCAAATTATATAGAGAGATGTGTGTAAAGTATTTGAGGTGTATGAATAGCAGGCCAAGTAGGAAGCCAAGCACCGCATTTTTCGCTATATAAGACGCACCAGACCATAAGACGCACCTGGTTTTTGGAGGAGGAAAACAAGAAAAAAAATATTCTGAATCCCAGAAGCCAGAACAGCAAGAGGGATCACTGCGCAGCGAAAGCAGCGATCCCTCTTGCTGTTCTGGCTTCTGGGATAGCTGCGCAGCCTGCATTCGCTCCATAAGATGCACACACATTTCCCCTTACTTTTTAGGAAGGAAAAAGTGAGTCTTATACAGCAAAAAATATGGTAGGCAGTGAAAACAGCACACCTAGGATGACTCTCTTGTGTCCGTTTAGCAGTTGCTAAAACCTACTATGAGCTCTTGGAATAAGCTGGAATATAAAGAAAAGTCTCTTCTCCAATGTGAAGGACTGCCCACCTGCACTTCCCTCCCTCCTGTGGGAATGCAGGATCAGGTCCTTGGTCAACAGAGATTGCTGGTGGAGAACGGTTGGGAACTAAGCCAGATAGGGAACAGATGGGAAAGGTGCAGCTGTTGGCAGGATGGTTCAGAGTTCCTACTAGCTGCAGAGGAAAGGTGGGGGCAGATAGGGCCTGACTGGAGTTTCAATTTGACCAGAAGCCCAGAAGGAAGAAGGGGCTGGGAAGGAACTCAAGGCGCTGGCAGGCTAGAGGGTGAAGCGTAAGGCATCAGACTATGCCCCGCTGATTCTTCAACAAGGAACTGCTAAAGGGCATTCACTGGGGGAACAGTGTGTGATGTAACACCCTGTCTCCAATAAAAAAACAGTAAACTGAACAATCCCATGGTTGTAGCTATTTGTGCGTATGTAGAGAGGGACTGAGCACACAGACACCATGCCTTTTGATGAGTGAGGCAGCATCAGAAAGATGAATAGGGTGGGCACCAAGAGTTTATTTAACCTGGGTTGCCAGATCACAGTCAGCTCTCTCAGACAACCTAAATCAAATCATCTGGGCCGTTGTGCAGCAAAAGAACCTTACCCACTGTCAGTACCAAGAGCAAAACCACAAAAGCACATGCCATTTCCAGGCCTCTCAAACGCAGCAGCTGGTTTTGCAGACAGCAAAATGCACAGCCTTTAATTACCATGGTCATTGACAAAATCTGAATGATATTTTCATGAATAGGGCTGGTATCCAACTACAGTGGTACCTCGGGTTACATACGCTTCAGGTTACAGATGCTTCAGGTTACAGACTCTGCTAACCCAGAAATAGTACCTCGGGTTAAGAACTTTGCTTCAGGATGAGAACAGAAATCGCACGGCTGCAGCGCGGCAGCAGTGGGAGGCCCCATTAGCTAAAGTGGTGCATCAGGTTAAGAACAGTTTCAAGTTAAGAACGGACCTCCGGAACCAATTAAGTACTTAACCTGTATGTAGCTGGCAGATCAGTAGCACTGGTACCACCTCTTGTTCACATGTCACTTTCCAATTGCAACTGTGTATAATTTAAGTACAATACATTTGATCACACAGAGGAAATATGAACACACAAAGTAGGTTGCTGCCTATTGCCAATCCTGTAACTAAGAAATTCCTAACTGACAAATCTACTTGCCACTTTATTCCTTCCTAAATAAGAAAAATGCCCAGGAGTCTATGTTCTTAATTTTCCATCTTCTACAGCCTGGAGTCCTGCTTCATTCTAGGTTCAAATCCCTACTCTATTAGTATAAGAAAAATCAATGGGTGGCATTAAGCAAGCCGTTTGTCCAAGTCTGTAAAATAATAATTATTTATTGAATTTATATACCGCCCTATACCCGCAGGTCTCAGAGTAATTCACAGGATAAAATCAGAATATAAAACCACAAAGTACATAATCAAAATAAAAACAACAACCCAATAACCCCCAATAAATGGGAATAATAGTGAGCTACCTTTTTGGGTGATAGGGAGAAAGAAGGATGAGACAGACCACTTTACAGATCAATGTTAACCATTTCTAGACCAACAGCAATATTATGTGATGAATAAATGCTTGTTGTATTATGAACATCATCACATCCACTTTGTGTAAGATTCCTTTCATTCTTTTATTCATCCATTTTATATACCACCTTTTCTCCCAAGGATCGCAAAGTGGTGAACATGGTTCTTTCCTTCCCATTTTATCCTCACAAAAAAACATGTGAGGAAGGTTAGGCTGAGAGACAGCCCAAGGTAAGCTTCATGGATGAGTGGAGATCGAACCTTAAGTCTCCAGGTCATTGTCCAACAGTTAGAAGTAAAAACCACAGCCAAAACCAGTGAGACTTTTACAAAGTGGTTTTAATCCACATAAAGTGGTTTTAATCCACAGAACAAATAAGAGACAAAGTTGTGAGAAAAAACTTTAGTTTAACACATCAAAGGTCTTGCTGGTGCTGAGAGAAGGATAACACTTTGAAGATAAACTATTCAGCCCAATTCCCACCCAGCAAAAGCAAGGCCTTAGTAATAATGGGATGGAGAAGATAATGGAAAAGAACAGATATACAACCATTCTTAAGCTGGGACCAATAAGCCCTTTCTTTATTTCTCAAGACTCAAAGCAACAACAAAACATGTGGATCCTTATGTATCTAGAACAGTACCTTCTGCAGAGGGAGCTATCAGCAGGCTTGGCAGAACTCCAAGGTTTGCAGAAATAAATAAATAAAATGGGAATGGGGGGACACACCCAAAATGGCTTAACAATGACATGCTCAGTTGTCATAGAATGCTAGCTGACTCTTGGAGGGGCAGGGATGGAAAACCACCAGTCAATAAGGGTAATAGAGCAGAGTATCTTGGCTGGAACCCTAAAGAGAAGCACTCCACAATGCAAATGTGTTGTTGCAATTCCTACTCATACAGTTAAACAGGAATCACAAGAAAATTGATACTGGAAAGCAGAAAGACAGTGCAGCATAGAAAAGAGTGTAAAGACAGCAAGGTGCCTGGCAAACCTACTCTAGGAGAAAATGTTACACAGGTATCACCTGTTTGGAACGGATATTTGGCCACCAGCTACATGCAACATTTGTGAATGCTAGAATGAATGCAATCCTAAAGAGATAAAGAAGGGGATATCCTGAAACTTTGCTCAGAAGGTGAGATGCAGAGCAGCTTTAAGGGTTTATTATGGTACTAGAAAATGTTGTTGCTCAATTCAACGTTGCTCTGACGTCTAGATGATATTCCTAAGATTGCTTGGGAATCAGAACCTATAGTTTCCCGTTGTTCTAGACAGCTTTCCTATCCGAGAACTGAAAATAGCACCTAGGCGTCCTGGCTTTGTTACTACTGCGTGGATCCCCATTTCCTTCCGAAAGTGGGGCAGAGAGCTCAGACCTGGCGCCAAACCTCAACAGCCTCCCCTAACCATTTGATTATATTTCTGTTCCACATCAGTAATCAGCCCCCTGGCATTCAGTTATTATTTGACTAAAGGTCAAACCAGAGAATTCTAACAAAGAGTCTACCATTGGATAGAAGGTCAGGTGGGAGGAATGTGAATTAAAGCAACAGAGACAAAATTAGAGGAGTCACAAAGGCTGCCTACTAGCAGACAAGAAAGGGAGAGTCTAGTAACACGGACTAAACATTACTTCTTTGTATCAAAGTTTCCTAAGTAAAAAGTTGGGGGGGAGGAGAGAGAAGAGGGAGAAATCTCAAAGAAAGAGATCCAAACTAACTTGCTTACCTGACCCGGCAGTCTCATTAGGTTTCCAGATCTGCCCTGTGCTGGCTCTTTTCTGCATGCCTTCCTGCACTTCCCCCTCATCATCATCTTCTACCTTTGTCACGGTGAACTGAGGCATGTTCAATGCAAAACTTTCTTCCCAGGCCAGAAACGGAAGAACTGAAAGCGTTGGTAGATCAGGTGACAGGCAACCCCTGAGGAATGGGAGGGATAGGGTGTGTGCTGGTTTGTGTGCGTGTTAGAAAGACACACCTCCACCAGTATGTGAGTGGATGCGTCCTGGTGTACGCATGCCAGAAAGCATATTTACCACATTGGCGCTAAGAGGATTATACCCTCCTCTACTGCTGCCTTCAGTTCAGTGAGACAGGAGACAGACAGATCCAGAGCATTGATTTGCAGTTACCTTTAAGCTAGGGCAATGAAGTAGCAGCCACACAGAAACATTTCCATTGTGGGCTGGGGAGGAAATACAACATGCCTGCAGGCGTGAGAGCTGGTTGGCAGCTCTACAAACACCACACACAGGGTACTAGGTAAGGATGAAGCTGGGAGGAGCTGTAAAGGTCATGTAACAGAGGGCCAGGAACCAGCATGTACTTGAAGAATCCAACTATGAGTAATTATCAGTTATAAAGCAAAGAATAGGAGTGACTGAGGTGTAGCCATACTAGTGGTGCCTGTGGGACAAGAAATGTACTCTACAAAACAAATTTAAGCACTTCAGCAAAGCAAGCCTACTCCCTACCAGAAGACTGTCTAATCTGGGCAAAATGCCTTCCCCCAAAGCCATAATGTGACTCATAGTGCATATGCCTGCATGACAATGGCAATTGAATGCAGAGGGGTCCCTAGTTGCTTTTAAATATTCCCAGAAGCATTGAGCAATTAGTACGGGGAGAAAATCCTCCCAGGTTATAGAAGAATTGTGGGCAGTAGAGAATTGGAGCTGGTGTTGTGATGTTCCTGGAACAGCATTTAGATGGTTGAACCAAGAAAAAAATATCTGGGAGTTATAAATCCTTGGTAGAACCTCCAGTTCTCGGAAAAGAGTAGAAAAAGAAGAATAGAGGGGAGAGAAGAGGAGGAAGAGAGATAAGCAGTGTTTCTTTAACTTGGGTCTCCAGCTGTTGTTATACAATTCCCATCATCCCTAGCTAGCAGGACTAGTGGTCAGGGATGATGGGAGTTGTAGTCCAACAATAGTTGGAGACCTAAGTTTGAAAAACACGAAGATAATGGAATGGGTGGGTGAAAGGTTAAGATATTTTTGCCTCTTCCCAGGTACAGTGGTACCTCGGGTAAAGAACTTAATTCGTTCTGGAGATCCGTTCTTAACCTGAAACTGTTCTTAACCTGAGGTACCACTTTAGCTAATGGGGCCTCCCGCTGCCGCTGCACCGCCACCTCGCAATTTCTGTTCTCATCTGAAGCAAAGTTCTTAAGCCGAGGTGCTATTTCTGGGTTAGCGGAGTCTGTAACCTGAAGAATCTGTAACCTGAAGCGTCTGTAACCCGAGGTACCACTGTATTTCAAGATACAAGTTTTCAGCAATTTTTTAAAAAAATTATTCTTCTTTTCTGACTCCACACAACCACCTAGCAGCCATACCTGTGGTTCACAACCTGCTCTGTATAATTGATGTACATTTTAAGTCCACTGGACAGAGACTGCAATACTTGTATATCTTTATAGCCTTTAGCACTCTAAATCAGGGGTAGGCAACTTAAGGCTCGTGGGCTGGATCCGGCCCAATCGCCTTCTCAATCTGGCCCACGAACAGACCGGGAATCAGCGAGTTTTTACATGTGTAGAATGTGTCCTTTTATTAAAAATGCATCTCTGGGTTATTTGTAGGGCATAGGAATTTGTTCATATTTTTTTTCAAAATATAGTCCGGCTCACCACATGGTCTGAGGGACGGTAGACCGGCCCAAGCCTGAAAAAGTTTGCTGACCCCTGCTCTAAATACTCGTTTAGTAAAAGTAGCCACACTCTAGTGGGCTAAAATAATTCAGGCAGGCAGCCAATCTAGAAAAGTCCAGTTGTTCCAGTTCTACTTTCAGAAATCTCGCCCAAACTATTTATACCTTCAAGATGCTGAGATTAGGACCAATGCCATAATCAGCTTAAAAGACAGCTAAACTGGGAATGTGAGGCCAGTACTGCAAACACTCAACCCAGCACAAGCACTACACTTGGCAGGATCAGTGAGACTGGAATCATCTCCATCACTCATGGCTTTCAGAATGGATTTAGAGAGAAATATTTCAAATTGAAAGATGCCACCCAGCGAGTGGGGGTCGGAGTGGGGAGCAGAGCACTGTCTTTGCCAGATGTCATTGGTCAGAAGCGTGGCGTGGCGTGGTCACTTCCTTTGAGGTGATAGGGGTGAACACAATGAACCAGGTTTATTTATTAATATTTCAAAAAAAAAAACCTCAAAAAGAAAGAAAGAAACTCAAAGCAACATACTACAGCATATATATATACACACCATGAAATCAAATTAATTAAATGAATTAAGACAACCATCAGAAAACACCAACATAGTGGCAACCCAAAATTTCCAAAAGCAACAAAAAGCAACTCGTAACTCCCAACCCTCAAAAAATAATTAAAAAAAAGAAACCCCAAAGTGAAGGCACAAAGAAAGTTTTTTTGCTGAGGTCCTTCAAAAACACTCAGGCCAATGCCTAAAACCATAAAGTGTCAGGATTTGGCAAATCTCAACTGTGAGGGCATTCCACAAGGTGGGTGTCACTAGCAATGTGTGCCCTACTTTTTGTTGCCATCTGCCAGGCCTTGGGGAGTTGAGGAATACAGAGAAGGGCCTCGGATTATTAAAGGAGCATGCAGGGAGGAACACATGGAGGGTGGTGGTCCTAAAGGTTGAGTTAAGGACTGCAATGATGAGCTTCATAATTCATTCCAGTAACCAGTATGTTAGAATGCAATTACTCAGGGCAAAACCCTTGCTACAAATTACTCTTAAAATCTAGCTTTTGCTGTAAGAAATGTAGTCTGTACCTGAAAAGGGAAGCTCTGTTTCTGCCTCAAGAGGCAAAGGAGCCTCTATTATGGAATTCAAGCTCTAGTACAGAAGTGACAGTTGCAACAATGATTTTTGAACTTGAAATCCATAAGGAAGGCTCCATCTTTGCCTCTTGAAGCTGAAACCCAGCTTCCTTTCTCAGGTACATGCTACAGTTTCCTGCTAATTCTACTGATTGCTGTCTCCTCCTCTGTAAATCTTTGCCATCCTGTCATCCCCCTATCACTTGTAAACTCCTTCTGGAAGTGTTAAGCCAGGAGATAATCAGCTAAAACGTTAATGAAAACTCCTCCTTCCTTCTTCCCTCAACTAGCCAAGATGTTTCAATGGCTTGAGGCAAAATATATGCTACTTGGCAGTGAGTCCTGGAAGATCTGCTTCCTTGTCTTGCAGGACTTTTCCCACCTGGCTTGGGTGGTTGGGGCCCTGACTGACTCCAGCTACAAAGCTGAGGCTGCAAAACAGTCTCCCGGGCTGGAGTATTGTTTAGGGTGTTTTGTTTTGGGGGTAATGGTGCTGCTGTTATTGATATCATTTTTTGTATCTTTATCTTAGATCTTATGGTTTAGGTGGGAATTGTTTAATTTGGTTGTGTACTTTTTGATATTTTATTTATTGTTTATGCCTACTTTTATTACATCAATAATTATGTGGTGTGTTTTTTCATGTTGCAAGCCACCTTGTACATGGTTCTAATAATGGAAAGGCGGCATACAAATACAATGATGCATGTATGTATGTATGTATGTATGTATTGTATGTATTGTATGTATTTTCAACCAGCCAGCCAGCAGGCAGAAGATGTATTTTAGAAACCAATTCTCAAAAATTTAGAACAAGCTCTTCCTGGCTGGCAGTATTTAAAAAAAAACTTTGAATACTATCATATGCAGCCATCAGGAAGACAGGATTTTATCCTGGCCTCCCATGTCCTAACCTGACAGTCTAAGAACACTATACCACACTGGCTCTCATGTGCTCACAGTCCATTTCATGTCTTTTCATTGGACTTCTCACCAGCGCCAAAGACTATTTCTCTACCCTTGCCTCAGCCGATTACTTTTTCTCTCTCCACTATTCCTATAAAGTCAAAAAGCTCACATTGCAAGCTGCTTTAACACCTTCAGAAGCCAACTCTTTGCCAGACCTTTTCCCTGTTCACTTGATAAATGAACTTTGTTCATTTATCAATATCACCAAATTGGATTCTTTCCTTCCCCCCTTCCTTCCTTCATTCACACACACGTGCACACCTGTAGTTTTTTGTAGGATGTCGTGCTCTTAAAGCAGCTTTTAGAATCATTACTCTTTATCGTTTTCTGCATATTCTAGTTTCAGAGAAAATTCTGGCTGGTTTTCTATCCATTTTCCTAAAAAATTTCCCTTCATTCCAGCTATGGTATGTATTTCTATGCAATGTTTTATTTATGCTAAATCTTTGAAACTAGCCTATTGTTGGTGGGTTGCTTATGAAAGCATGTGCCAATACTTTTTAATAGGTATTCTAATTCTCTTTTTAATATAATAAATTATTTGAATTTTATCTTTCTTGTCCTTTACTGCATTAACCCTCGGAAGCCAAATTCCAGAGCACAGCCAGGTTCAATGTCAAAAGGTCAGAAAACTAAGCGTTAAGGTTGCATGTGAGAACCGTAGACTTGCATGTACACTGCACGCTTCAAAACATCCTTGTCACATGCCAGATAGAATCTAGAATGCCTGCAAATAAGAATCCCCTCTGACGCTATGATGGTTATAATATCAGTGCCATGCATCTTTGACAGGTTTGAGTCCCACACATCCCCTCTTCTTATAAAAAGTAAGCACTTGTTGAAGATCAAAACAGAGCTCATCAGAACTGGAGGAAAATTTCATCCTCAGAAAGCATAAAGGAGTCAGAAGTCCAGCTTGGAGACTAGAGCCCAAAATATATCTCCAAAAGAATGTTCTTTATTCAGAACTCATAAAGTTCCTGTGATCCTTTGGCAAGTTATTCTAACCAACCATTTGCAAATCACTACATATACCCTCTGATTATAATCTGGCTGTATCTTCTTCTGCTATTTCAGTGCTGGCTGTTCCAGTTATTCCTCCATTGATCTTTACTCCAGCTCTATAAGCATGTGGGTCCAAGCTAATGCCCTGAAGTGGAACGAAAGGAGACTGAGGTCAGCATGTCACATGCTGAGGGGAGCTATACTATACAGGTCTGAGTAAGTTCTGCCACTGTATGGAGTTCAATGACCCTCTTAACTCTCAGGACTCAAGGAAGCAAGGGCCAGATCCTGCTCTTTATTAATTACAAATTAAATACAGAGTCACCACCATGTTTTATGTCATTACCTCCAATTGCTCAAGAACCATGAGTTCAGCAAAAATTAAAACAGTGGGCTTCAAAAATAACAAAATGTTCTAATGTGCTGTTCTGTTTTAAAACTCCTAATTATGGTTCTTGTTTACTGTTTTGTAAACATTTGTCTTTATTGCTGCATCTGTTGAAATTGAAGTCCCCTGTGGCACAAATATATTTCCACTGTGCAGCAGGAATGCTGGTCTGCAAGTTTCTCTCCCGTTGCCTTCTGTATTTATATCTGTGTAACCATAAATAGTGTAAACCTTTGAGAAGAGACTCTGAAATGTTTCCTCACAATTAGTTATTTTACAACCACTTCTCACTTCTGGTTATTATGTTTAATGTGTCTCGTTTAATGTTCTTGTAACATCAAAACTGTATCGGCAAATACTGAATGCATTGTCATAAATTAATAGCCTATATGTTGGTAATACAACAGGAACCTATTTATGGTGCAGGTGTTCATTCATGTTGGCAGTCCCAAGCACTGATCCCTAGTATTGCTCTACTGAACTTTGGATAGCTCTTTGTATGGTTTGTTGTTATTTTATTAACTTTATTTTGTAAACTGACTTGTTTTTACAATGAAAGGTAACTTATTTTAAATAAAATGCTTAAAATCTGGTCATGATGGTACTTTCCCACTTGCTAAGAACACTAACATACCTGGCAATAACTACCGGTAAGTCTTGATGATAAAAAACTTATTTAAAACATCTGTCCCAGATCTTTGTTCACCATATCAAAAATATTTTCTTACAATCCTACACGTTTGCCTACCCAGAAGGAAGCCCCATTGAGTTCAGTGAGACTTACTCCCAGGTAAGTGTGTATAGGACAGTACCTTTAAAGAAGTAGATGTGCCAAGTTGTTCCACAACCTAGCATTGTCATCATTTTACTCCCACTAATGACCTGGCACAGTTAATATAGCAGATGGAAATATTCACATGTGCCAGCTCTCTTTCCTTAACATTTTGCTGCAATTTACTTGTTTTTACTCTAGACTTGTTGTTTTATATGGAAAAAAATACTATATTCAGTATAATGGATTAAATAACATCTCTCTGTGCTACTTTTATTAACCTATTTAGAAAAAAAGAAATTTAAGAAAGATGTTCATTTTTTGCTATAGAAATACTTGGTATTTTTAAAATTGGACCATCTTCAGTCCAATTCTACACATTTCACTCAGTGGAAATTATTCTCAAGTATGTATATAGAGGACTGTAGCCACAATCAGTTTTTTGCCTCAGTTTAGCAGAATATCAAACTATTTTTATCTTCTCTTGCATATCTTTCTTAATTACTATTTTCTTCATTTTCTTTTCTTCACCTGTGTATAGACTCAACAGCTCTGACACATCCCATCTCCTGACAACATTTAAAGTCCTGAAATGTAGCCATTAATTTTTCATTGATAATTTAGATATTGTATGTCATACACTCACCAGTGCATAGAGCTATTTTCTATTATTTTCATTTATTAGATATGAATATGGCAGAACTTTAAAACCGGCATCTTCACAAAGGCTAAATACCAGCGATGAAAAAGGGTATTATTCTCTTAAGTTGAAAAGTTTTTGATAGTTGCTCATTTACCTCTATTCCTGTCAAATGTGCACTGTACAACAGACCTATCCAAACATGTTACCGTTATAAAAATAGTTTATCAATTTGCAACATTTTATCAATACCTACTTTCTCCTTTGTCACAATTCTCCTTCGTTTCCCTGCTATTGGCACTCATATACATAAATACTGTATGAATGCCTCCCAAGTTACTTATCCACACACACAAAATTACTAAGCTTGTCTAAATCTCTCAGAGTCTACAATTGTTAGGATTAATTTTATTATTAAACCACAACCAGAGTTCTCCATTCGGTTTGGACTGCTACAGTTGATGAAAAATGTTGGAAAGCTAGAAAGGCTAGATTAATATGAGGAAAGACTAGAGCAGTGATCCCCAACTAGGGGCCATATGGCCTTCTGGGGACTCCTGGGATATACTAAGGGGGACCCAGGTGAAAAGTGTGTAAATGGGGGGCAAGAGGCTAGGAGGCCACAGAGGGAAGTGAGAAGTGAAGGGGGGAAATCCTGATTGGCTGGCTACCTGCTTGGCCAGTCATAAGTGGGTAAGGGGCTAGCCCACCAGGGCCTAGCACTCCTCTTTGCCATGTACATTTTCTTTGAGCAGTCCTGGTTTGTTTCCAGCGGGAGAGGGTGATCGCTGAGGCTCCCATTTTGATCAGTAGAGCCCATGATCCAAAACCCCCAGGTCAGGCAACTGCGGTAGTGGGGTAGCAATGGGTAGGGCTGGACAAGCCAGAGCTGCTTCCTGTTGCCGCTAGTGCTGGGCCCGTTGGGCATTCTACCCCAGCACCTAGTGGATCAGCACCTTTGGATGTTGCTGAGGGGCACAGGGCCCATCGGCATCGTTGGCCTGGCTCTGCAAGGCGCAAGGGGAAATCCACCCCAGCGCCTAGCCAAATGGGGTCGTTTGGTGCTGCTGACTTGCATCTAGTAAATAATGAAGTGTCTAGTTAGAAGATAGCTGCACTGGGTTCAGTGGGTCTTACTCCCAGGTATGGATATGTGGGGCTATAGTGTTTTATCTAGGCAGCCTAGGCTCCTCCAGATGACAAGATCTTTTTTCACCAGGTCAGTGAGGACCACTTGCTTTAAAAAATTCTCCCATATATACAGAACTCCCTGTGTGCCTTTTGGACTGTATCTGTACGTTTCCCCCTCTGTGTCAAGTAACTGGGGTCAAATAAGTGGTTTACTTTTTATAACATATGGAAAATGGATCTCCTTTGGGAGGTTCTGGGCTCTCCTTCCTTGGAGGTTTCTAAGCAGAGGTTGGATGGCCATCTGTCATGGATGCTTTAGCTGAGTTACCTACATTGAAGGGGGTTGCACTAAAAAGATGACCCTTGGGGTCCCTTCCAGCTCCATGATTTTATGTTTTTCTGCTTCAACAATATTTCATTATGTTCCTAGAATTTTATATAATTGTATTTTGTATAAATTATAAAATTATAAATAAAGCATGTTCTATTTACAAACAAAACATTTAAATAGCCACCTTTCTACCAGTTGGACGTGGGGGGCAGGGTATGGGCATAGGCAGGATTTTTGTTGGGGGGGCAGAATCTCAGATTTGTATTGATTTGTACTTATTGGGGGTACAGGAAAGAAACAAGGTCGGAAGAGGGCCATGGTCAGAAAAAGGTTGGGAAACACTGGACTAGAGCCTTTCTGTAAGTTTTGGCCACAGAAGAGATTAACCAGGATGAAACGCTAAAAAGAAGAGATGCCCATTACAATTTCCTGAGTGTCTACTGAAGTCAGTCTTGTCTTTTGTCATTTTGCCTATTTACCGGAACACTCAAACATCAACATGTTAACAAAATGGACACATTCAAGAGTACCTGCTGTGTGCTGTGCAGTGAAATCAGTCTGTGACACAAACAAGAGGGGGGGGGAATTCACTCACTCTAGTGAACCATGACACTTGCATGACTGCTTCTCCATATATATTTGCAACATTTCCACTTGATCCACATCAGCCAATGTATAGCCCTGCCACTAAAACTGCTGTACCAATCACAAGCTATCATGTTATTTGTTTCATTTGTAACAATTAGCTCAGAGTGTTGTTTATCAGAAGAACCCTGTAAATTAGGTTAGGCTAACAGTTACTTCCAAAGGATGTCAAGCGTCAGATTCACAGCCACTACATTGTTCATGTATTGTTTTGCATCCCCAGCCCATGCTATCCTAGAAATGCAGGTACATTTGTGATTCTAGTTAAGATGGTAGAATTTTAGGCGTAGGCGTAGGGTCATTTTTCTGCTTGTAGAAAGCATTTGGATTTATAGCTGCCCATTTATTAATGATGAAACAACACTACTACTGTTCAGAAGATTAAAAAGCTCTTTGTCTTATCTATTTAGTTCTCCAAGAGTCTTTACAGAAAGCATCAGACTACTACAAAGGGCCCTGTATTTACTGCTGATTGCAACAGGTGAGCTTTTTGTTCTTACTAACCCACGGGAATCCTAATGGCTCAACAAACTAGTTTCCTAAAGTAAATACACAGATGGCCACCAAATGTTTAAGTGTCCAGTTTCAGTTTTGTCCTTCCAACTTCCCACTCTGACTAAATCTGGCTAAATCCAGGAGCACAAAGACCAAAGGCAAAGCCAGGACAGAACTTACGGTAATCTTGGTTCTTGGAGAAGTCCAGAGTAACTCATTTACTAATGACCTCCCTGAGCTTAAGTGCATCAGCTGCAGCACATCAGTTACATTAGAGCAGAGGCATCAAATGTAAAGCCCTTTAGGTCACCAAATGCATTCCAACCAATTCAGTAATTTGGGGGACCAAAAAACCACAAATGGAGCTGGTATACTTACAAGGAAATCCAGTTAATTGATTTCAGCTTGCTATTCTGAGGCAGGCAAAACAGAAAGACAAGATAGTAAGAAAAGGAGAAAGCTCAGGCATGGGGGGGGAGGGGGTCAAATGTAGCCTTCTAGGTCTCGTTATCTGACTCTGAGCACTTTCCTCAGGCCATGCCTCCTCCCCAAACCACACCCCTCACAAGTTGTGCTTTGAGCCCTCCTCAGGTGCTTTCGCCTAGCTGCAATGAACCCTTGAACTTGATAATGTATCTTGCTTGCCTGGATGGAGAGATGTGTGCATGTGTTTAGGTGTGGAAACTTCTGAATTTTGTGTGGCTGGAATGTGACCTACTATACAAAAGTCAACAATTGGTCTGCCTGCGTTTTATCCCTGTCTCCACCCACTACTACCTCTGGCCATATACACCATTGGTATGTGCCCCCCCCCCCTAAAAAGGTTCTCCATGAGGGAATGTGACACTTGGAATAAAAAGGATTTCCTGCCCCTAAGGTAGTATATTTTGACAGTGGATACCCTTCAAAGCATTAAGCCTATACTACAGTTCAAAGGCAGTATTATGAAATTGAAAAAGATTCAGCTGTGAAGATGAAAATAAGGGTCTACACAGCAGATTGTATGAGAAAAGGCTAAAAGATACAGCTTAGGGAAGCAAAGTCTGTGTGTTGGGGAGGGGAGAAGGTATGCTGAATTCTCAAAACAAATATTTAATAAGTTCTCAGGGAAGGGATTCATTTTTCATTCAAAACATGTTGGGAAAAGACAAAAAGCCATAAAATATTCAAAGACAGATTTAAGTCTAATATTAAGAACAATATCTTAACTATACCTGGATCCAAACACATGATACGCACATGCCAAAAAAGGTGAGGCACTGTTCTTACTACTAGAGAGACAACCCTTAACTGAGCAGGTTCAAGTATAAAGAAAAGCAGCCCTCCAAATTACACGTGTTTTCCCACCCACGCAATCCTCCCAGGAACATCATCACTTCTTTGCATCCTATAGTTAGGAATCTTCAGCTGAGTGTGAGCTTTGTCCCTGCATACTCATCTTCTAGCTTCAAAAACAAGGATTTTGTAGATCCTTCTTCCTTAGGTATATAGCACATCATCATACAGTCTATTGGACTTGTTTCAATTCCATAATTTTGAAACTAGTTCTTTTGTGAAAATCTAGATGACATCTAATGATAGACAATGTATGGGAAAGTGAAATTATGCTGCAACTTGCATACATTTACTCAACAGCACCATATTCATATTTCACAAAAGGAATCCATTCATCTAAGAAGTGTAAGATAGGTAAGAGAGAGAATAAAACAAACATAAACTTCTAAGGACATATTCTCCAAGTTACTAGGGGCTGATGGGCTAACCTTTCATGTGCTTTGAATACTTCTTTATCCACAGCTCACAGGGATGTGGCATTCCCCTCACAAGAGGCGGCACCAAAGGGGCATGTGAACTCTCTGATCTAATGGTAGGGATTGGGGGCTAAAGTGCACATCTAAGAAACAACAGCTTTCTCCACTCTGGGGTTCTGCTGAGCATATGAAATGAAACAGGCGTAGGCAGCAGCAGCAGCCAAAGAGCTTCTTGTTACAGGATCAAAGTGGGGGAGAAAACAAAAATGGGGGAGGAAAGCAGATTGTTATCTGGCATAAACAAAGAACAGAAGAAGTACGGACACCAGATGCTATTGTCTGGGAAATCTGTGTGGACATGATTAGGTCATAGACAAAATGGCATTTAACATGTGAGCTAGGCAAATAAGCAGAATTCCAGCTTTCAGATTTAATAAAGAAAGTTAGCAGTTATCTGTTTGCACCTATCTGCCATGGAGACATATTACTGGAAATGGCACTCTCCATTCTTTCCCAAGATGTCCACTAAGATAAAATTAGTACTGCCTCTCTAGAAGCACAACGGGGTCCTCGGGGTATTCCAATATGACTTCCCTGAACACAAGCCATCTTGTGCAGAGAAAATGGGGAGTATTATGGACCAGAATACAAAAAATAGTGAGCAATGGTAGGCTAAGGTGTTTGCTCATGACAGAAAAATGCCCATAGAAATATCCAGTGCTGTACCTAAGTGCAAATTAAGAACAAAAGTAAACAAAGCAACCTTTACATACAAATTTAGAAACCTGCATCTGGAAACCTGGGGGTCTTTGTGTCCTGAAAACCAAGCTTTGCAATGTCTGTGTGTGCATGTGCACAGCTTCCCTACTTGAGTACATATGCTTATATAAGTTATTATATGTTAACCAAATTCTGCATATGTAAATAAGTCCCAAGAGTATATTTTGGGTGTGTGTGTGTGTGTGGAGCTGACAAATGTAAATTAAGATGTACTGGGGCGGTGGGGGGGGGGGGAGAGTATTACTCAACCAAGACTAAAAAATTTGTTTTCCCACCTACATAGAATATGGCTTTCTTTTACACACATCCTTGACTTGAGGAGCCATCACCCTCATTGCCAACCTCTACAAATCACAAATATTCTCACAACAAGGACACAGCAGCAGAGAGCAGTTTCCCATTTGAAAACGACAGCCGGTATCTCTGAGGAGATAAACCAGCCTAGGCGGCAGGGACATGGAGTCCCCAAAGCACTGTCTGGCTGGCTATACAACTTATCTAAGTCTGATACATGTGCATGTGGAGTTTGGGGGAGAGAAGGCTTTCTGGCTTCATTTACAACTTCAGAAGGGTTGGGTCTCCAATGATAGGGCATTTAACTAGAAGAGAAAAATGACAAAACAGCAGGCACTCTGTCCATTAGGGAAAAAATGCAAAGAGCAAAACATGTTTTTTGCAGGATGACCTACATTTACAGCGTGGGTCTGCATATAATGTCAACATGATCTGAAAGGAAGAGGGGGTAGGAGTATAAATGACTGCTGTAAACTGATGCCTAGGAAATCAAGTGTTTGGGTGGGGGAGGAAATAGTGATTGGCTGATGTAGTACCGGCAAATGATTCCTTAAACCTGAAGGGTTAGACTTTCTGAGACATTGTCAATATGCAGGGGAGAAAATGTGCACATTAATGTTCAGCTAAGGTAGAAGCAAAAGCTGGTCCACCAACTTTCCCTTGTTAACATGCCTCAAAACTGTTTACAGCCCTAACCTAAATGAATTTACCTGTGGAAAAAAATCCCAAAGATATTGCAATTATTGCAGGGCTGCAATAAACTGGAAAAGGTGCCCTCAGCGTTCTGACTGCAATAGAAGGTGAGGTACACGTTTTCTAATAAATAAACAAAACCTTAAATGCTACCTTGTCCAATGCTTCAAATATAAGTCAGGACCATTTACAAGTCATGTCAATGCCCCTGCAACCTATGACACAACGTTTTAACCCAGTAAAGAAAGAAGAAGAACGAGCAAAAGAGTATAAGAGCATCAGGCAACTGAAATGAGCAAGTAATGGGATTTAAATTCATTTAATTGTCCTTAAAACACACCTGCAGAAGCTGTGAGCCACCAAGCTGAACACAGCCCACCAGTTATGCATTGAGGGGGGTCATTAATCTCCTGTTTCTACTGCTAGGATTTCAGAAAGTGGGGAAGGAGATGCTGAGCATATGGCAGGCCACAATACACATCTAGTGAGCTGCATCCAGCTTTGTTGGGTCACAAGCTGTGCAGGCCGAGCTTAGAGTCACAACCTAAAACACCATCAGCTATGGAAGACCTACTAAAGCATCCACATGAACCTGCATACATGCACGTAGGTCCACAAACTAAGCTTCCAGACTTACAGTAATGCCCTAAAACCGAAGGAGAGGTGAATCATAGAATCATAGAGTTGGAAGAGACCACAAGGGCCATCGAGTCCAACCCCCTGCCAAGCAGCGAAAGCCCACATACTATTTTGATATTATGATGAAGCCAACCCTTAGATTTGATGGGAATGAGTCCAATTGTTTCCTGAGGTTATTTTAGATCAATTGCTTTTTTGCAGGTAAGATGTAAAAAAGCAAACTACAAAGCAAAGAATGATGCATAGAGATGAGGCATGGTATAGTGGCAGAAAAGGAGCGAAATTGGCATGCATATACAAAGAACAAATTACAGGTTGCATTAATTACAAGGGTTGCCCTGAAGTGCAAGTTTTTTCTTTCACAAGCATGGTGGAGCCATCAATCAGCCTAGGATAATGGTTCTCAATTACCCGAGGACTCCGTTTTTCAAAACTCAAGCCATGGGCACCCTACTTTTGACAATGTTATCTCTATGGTAGCAATGGACCCCTGGTTGGGTTATGTGGAGCACTGGCCTAGGACCATCTGGAGAGGCCTTAACCCACAGTGGTGGGCAAAGGGTAAAAGTAATTTATCTTCCCACATCAGGGCCCCAATCTGCTTGCATCTCCAATGGCTATTTGAGAAAGAAAAATCCTGCATTTAAGGTAAACTACATGACTAATGCAATGTATAATTTAGCCCTAACTGCTAAGAAACAGAAACTAAAACCTGAAAGCAGTGATGCTCCCCTTGGGGGGGATATCAGTTCTAATAATAGGCAAGGGTGTGACTAACCAAGTCAGGATGCTACTGTGGAGCCCAAAGTAAAAGTCCCATGGTTGAGACACTAATTCCCATATTTCCCTTCCCCTCAGAGACACATGATAAGATAGGAACTGAAGGGATTCCAAGCCACATGACAGACTAGAATCCTCCTGAGCCTAGAAGTCATCAGCTCAAGAAGAGCCAATCTCACACCTATCTACAATGATTCTGGTAAAATATACTGCAGTTCATGAAATCTTTTGTTGTTGTTTAGTCGTGTCCGACTCTTCGTGACCCAATGGACTGGAGCACGGCAGGCACTCCTGTCTTCCACTGCCTCCTGCAGTTTGGTCAAACTCATGTTGGTAGCTTCGAGAACACTGTCCAACCATCTCGTCCTGTTACAGTAAATCTGTTGTCTTTAAGGGGCCATAATAACACCCTTCATTGTTTTATATCTCTGTCTGTCCACTTTGTGTTAAAGGCACAAGAGCACAATCAGTAAAACAAAAACAAAGACGCCACCAGATATTAAATATTCTTTAGTATTGACTCCTGTGAGTTACTTTTATAACCATTGATCTTATTACCATGCGTCAGCAGAGTCACAGATTCCCTTGGTTTTTGCCTACAGAAGCCAGATGCAAGGTAGAGTGCGGGCTTTTTGCATATAAGACATGTACTGCATTCATTTCTGTAGAAAAGAAGGAAACAGCACAGAGGGTATTTGAATGGGAATTTGTTTTTGTTCTTTGAATAACAAGTACGGTACATCTATGGAAGAAGTGTGACTATGGTGTGGAAGGATAGCTATGGGAAATAGTTCTCCCTAAGAAAGTAATCCTACACACAATAAGCTGGTGTAAAGTTAAGGCAGGATAAATTATGTGTTAATTAGTGTTTGATTACATCACCCTTTTGTCAGCTTAATATATGCTGGGTAGCCAGGTCATGTAACTGAGCTGAACAGGTTTAAGTTCCAGTCTAAGTGCCCCCTTACCTTCTAGTCCTACCCCAGAATGCCTCGTTTTTTTTAAGGCTTTTGCTGGCTTAAGATCCACTAGGCCTGGCTCGGCTGAACTGGGCCCTGGCTGAGCTGGGATGGGAGATATGCCAGTGTACGTTTGGCTAAGCCAAGGATGGGGAGCAATGTCAGCATAGCCCAGCTGTCCTGGGAACCTCCTGACTCCAACTAGAGATCCCCTGGATCCTAAATCCGCTCATTCCAGTAGATCTTGTTATGATTGCTGCCTTAATCAAGAACATAGGTGCAACAAACTAGGACATTTAGCTGGGTAGCTAAATATGGATAAATAGAGAGGAATCAAATTTACAGAAGCTTTCCTACCAAACTGCCCCGAGGTCATTCTTGCTAATCACAGCTGAGCAAGCAAATTGATATTTACAGGTCTCCCTCCACCTATGGTATATTTTACTGTATGTATATCATTTTTAAAAACTTTCCCATCCCAATTTACATCAACTGCAAACAACTTTATTATTTCACAATCCAGTGAAGCATTTCTTCATTCTCATCTTCAGTTTTTTGGGGGGTGGGGCCAAGATCATGCTACTGTCTCACAACCAACACAATCCAGAATAAGGTAGGTGTGTGTGTGTGTGTGGTGTGTGTAAATTAATAGAGTGTCCTATCAATGCCCTTTTATGTGCACGTATCTCAAAAACAAAAAAACAAAAAGTTTCTCTGAAATATCTATCACAAGATTAGTAAATCTTACGGATCAGAATCTGGCGGAATCTACAAAGACTGTTGATAGTTCAATGTTGCTATTCATAAACTCCACAGTAGAAGATGTGACTAAGTCAGTGGTGATAGAGCAAAGACCAGTCTGACCTCAGACATATTCTGTCGTTTTAAAATGCATGAGACAAGGAAATCAACAAGATTAGGGGAACTGAAATTCTCCAGAGTCATTTCCCATGAGTCTTGCTCAGCAATTCCTGGCACAAAAAAAACAACAACAACAAAACTGAAGAACAGATAATCTGAAAAGCTGGACAAATCAGAAGCACAGATACCCTCAGAAAGAAACTATGCCTGGGGGGAGGGAATTACTTTGCATGTTCCCCATTTTAGAAAATAGGAAGCCAAGAGCTGTTCCCAGCAAGAGGGATGAGGAAATTTTGGTAGTGAACTATTCTGTCTGCAATACAGCCAGGCCCTTGACATAAAAGAAGGGGCCACATCAAAGTTATGTATTTTGGAGAGGTGAATAAAAAAAATCCACTGATGTCTGAAAACATCATCTGCTAGAAAGCAGTTGATTCAAAATGCATGCATGAATTGACAGACCCACAGGAATCCCCCTCCACCTTCAATCCCACCTTGCATAACCCAAATCACAGAAGATAGCCTTTCATATCTGCAGCACAGCCAAGATTTGAGCAGTACTTTCTGGAATGTCTAAGCTGTAAACTCTATTTAAGCTTTGTGCACCTCCATCAAGTCCCCAAGGCGGTAATAGGTAGAATTCTCCATTAACAAGGTTGCCTCTACCATTCAGATGTCCCCTCTCCCACCCAATATGCCAAAGACAACCTACCTTCAGCCGCATCTGTGCGGGGATTGGTAGTCTTGTCAGTGGCCGGCTCAGCTGCTTCAGTGGCCAGTGAACTGGTTGCTCTAGAGAAGTCACTGGCACCCTCACTGCGGGTTGTTTCAGGGACACTTTCTCTGGAGCTGAAGCGGACGCGGGAGCTGGAGCGGGAGCTGAGGTCTGGGCTGGTATCTGACAGGCCTGGGATATCATCTATTTTAGTGGGAGTGACCATGAACCGGACAGAAGCCATCTTGACAGCAGGAATGGAAGGGGGGAAATAATTACTTCCTTGGTGACTTTAATCAAGACTTGCCTGGAGTGCTAAGCAGGAAGAGGAAGAAGACCACTCAAAGAGCATACACCAACAGGGTTACCAAGTGCTCTCTCAAGAGAAAGATTCATGTCTCACATTTATTCACAAATGGTCAGACACAACTTTGTATCTAGATATCAATGATTATCAGATGTATTTTCCACAAGCAGAGCTGAAGACTTAGTGAAGATGCTACCTAAGATTTTGTCAAGACAACAATTTTCATGAGTGATTAGTCTGAAGATTCCCATTTATCAGGCAAGTAAGGCAGTTTCCTGTTCAGAGGGAGCCTATGGATCTAAAGAAACGGTGACTGTAATCTTTGTCTACCAAAGGGTCGCACTGCAAAACTCCTGGCATTAACATGAGTTGTAACAGACCGTCTCACAGATCCCGGTTAAGTTTTGTTTATGAGGCAAATATCTTTTGGCACAGCAAAATGCATAGAGGTAATTTCTTCCCGCCTGGGAAAATCTCAGTGCAAAGATCTGCAAAGCACACAAAAAGGCTAGAGGGTTCCTTGTGAAAGTTCAATAATAATCCACTTGTTTTCCAGTGTGACATGCAAGGAAAGAGGGTTTTCTTCATTGCTAATATCCCTTAGAATTCCGGCTTGGAAACAATTATTAAAGAACCTTCATATCTCAGTCCAAGGAGAAGAAATGTCCCAGTGCAAGAACTTTGAAAACAAAAACAAAAAGAAAGTGCTGTTATGATGTTGTCCCTTGTAAAAGTAATGCACAATTACTTCACAGGCTTCTGGTGGCTTTTCAAAGGTCCTGGTATGAGAAGATAACCCCTGGATGGGGCCTAGTACAAGGGTTTGCAGCTCCCCAACAGCGTGAAAAAGAACGTTATGTTTCTTAGGTGGTCCTGGAGAAACAGAGTGAATATAGATATAAGTCTAGCATCTTACACAAAATTGAAACTGCAGGGATGAGTCATTTCCACACAGGGACCCCGTGGTGTGTATTGCGCCAATCCCCCAAAGTTCCCACACTTGGGCACACACATGCTATCCCATAAGGGCTCAGGGGCAGGTTCAAGACAGCGAGAGCAAGACTGTTCCCGGAGAGCCAAGTTTGGAAGCATGCATGTGCCACCCATTGTAACTCCAGAGGCAAGAGGAAATGTCAATTTGGCAGGGCCCTCAAGAGCGCAAAGGGGTGCGCATCTCCTGACGGGGGGGAAGGGGGGGATGCTCTGCGAACCAACCGAAGAGGCAAGCGCCTCAGAGAAGGCACCCAAGGACTGCAAGCAAGAGGGTGGTGCAAGGCTGAGTAATGCCAAGGGCAGAGAGGCAAAGGGTGCGAGTGGCAGCATGCAAAGACCTCTCCAGCTTGCGCCAGGTGTGCAAGGCAAGGGTAGGTGGGGCGAGGAAGCTCTCCCTCACCCTAGCAAGCAAGCCTGCCCCACATAAATTATTAGCCCCCCCACCCCCAAAAAAGCTGAAGTGTGAGCCACTGTGAGAAGGTACAATAACTCTTGGAAAAGATGGGGAGGGAAAGGAGGTGGAGAAGAGGTGTGCGCTCCACACCTGCCCCGGTCACTGTGCAGAAATTGGGGAGGGGGTGATGTTTAAACTGCGCGTGCGCAGCCCTGTCTCTTTCGCCACCGCCACCACTAGCCCCTGGGTCGATGGGAGCCCCCCGAGAAAGTAAGAAGCGGCAGTTAAGTGACCGTTAATTGTTTACCTCAGGCGCGCGCTCCGCTGCTGCTGCTGCTGCTCTCGGAACGTTCCGAAGGGTCCCTCGCGCGCGTGCGCTGCCACCTCGGCCGCCGCTGTTATGATCGCCGCTGCGGTGGCGCCGGCGGCAGCTTGCAGGCAGCTCTAGCTCCTGCCCGCGCGCGCAGCTCCACTGCCGCTATCTCAGATGCCGGCTCGGAGGAGGAGGCGGGCAGCGGGCGGGCGGGGGCGGGGAGGTGGGGTTGGCGAAGCGTGTAACTCTCCCCGCTTGTCCTCATCCTCCCCCGTGCCCCCCTCCTCGTCCGTGCAGTTGATTCCCCGCGCGTGCGCAGGAGCGAGCAGCGGCTGCTGTTGCTGGGCTTTCATCTTCTCCTCAGAAGAACCGGGGGCGGGAGGGAGGCGGGGAGAGAAATAATAAAAATTATTACAAAAAATAAATACTTTTTTGTATGGCTAGCCCTGTGCAGTGTGGCTTCAGGGCAAGACTGCGCCTTTATACACACACACACACACACACACACACGCACAAAAAAAAAAACCCAACACAATATATATATATATACAGTGGTACCTCAGGTTACAGACGCTTCAGGTTACAGACTCCACTAACCCAGAAATAGTACCTCGGGTTAAGAACTTTGCTTCAGGATGAGAACAGACATTGTGCAGCAGAGGCGCAGGGGCAGCAGGAGGCCCCATTAGCTAAAGTGGTGCTTCAGGTTAAGAACAGTTTCAGGTTAAGAACGGACCAACAGAACGAATTAAGTTCTTAACCTGAGTTACCACTGTATTTCCACATGTGAAATATGAGGCTTGTGGCACCTTTAGAGGCAAGTGGCGTATTTTAAGCTTTCATGGACTGCTGCAGTTGTGTGAATTTGAGGAATTGGGCTGCACACCACGAAAGCTTTATGCTGTAAAATATTCTTTTTTGCTGTCTGTCGTTGAGATGCCGCAAGGCACTTTCCAGTTCTCATTTAATTAATACTTATTGCACCTTCTTTTTCCTCTCCCAAGGATCTCCAGGCGGTGTGCCTGGTTCTTCCCTCCCACCTCATGTAATCCCAAACAACCCTGTGAGGATAGATTGCTACTGCAAATACAGTTGCTGGTTGGTTGGTTGTTTTGCTTAGTACAGATACCCACGCTGGAAAATGTAAAATATAAGCGCCAGTACCCATAAAACTGATAATATGCATTGTTCTATCGCCTTGTCAGAAGTTCAACCATATCCAGTTGTTGACCTGTATAGGATTTCCTTGCGATATTGAAAGTATAAGTGGGGAGAGGGAGGGCAGTATTTCATAGGAGGGATATGAGAAGCTGGCAGGGGAGAAAATTAAGCATGGCCACCAATCTGGATGGCTTTAAAAGTGGTTTAGCCATCAAGGTTAGCTAGCAGTTAGGGATATGTTCTGCTTTCATTGCCAGAGGCAGTTTCCCTCTGAATGCTACTTGATGGGAAATGAAGAAGAAGAAGAAGAAGGGTGTGGTGTGCTTATATGTGATCCACCGACACACACGTGGGGACCAGGAATCCCTGCATGAAATGGTTATTAGATATCAAAGTAAAAAGTTCTTCTGAACACAGAATGACCACAACTTGTATAAAAAATGTATCTGGAATAGACACAAAGCAGGGCTTTTATGTCAGTGATGCAGCTCAAGCCCTGAAACCTCTTAAATAACAAACTGACTTTTTGAGTTCTTTATTATGCTTATTTATTCTACCTTTTCTCCAAGGAGCACAAAACAGCACAGTTCTCCCCTCCATTTTATCCTCACAACTACTCTGTGAGCTGGGTTAAGCTGAGAGTGGTCCAAACGTACTTTGTGGGCATTAAGACTGGCTGGGGATTTGAGCCTGGGTCCTGCCCAGTGGAGTCCTATGCTCCCCGAACCACTGCACCACATTGGCTCGGAGTATAACCCTAACTGGGTGTTAGGGGAAACACGGAGAGGGATTCTGCATTTTGGACATGGTCACATGAGCCTAAGGAATATTTCTGACTACGGTGGTTCCCACCCTGCAGCAAAGTCAGTCATGTGCATTCTGCTTCTTGCACATCCCAAGCTCACGCTATGCATGCTTGAGGTTACAAAATTATTTCCATTTACACACCCTTGCCAGGAAAATGGCTGAATCAGCCTGAACAGCACAAGAGAACTGTGAGGCTGGGGGCTGATCTGGAAATTGTTAACTCGCTGTGCACAGCCTCCATTCAGCCCTTCTGCTTTTTGAGAACAAACAACAGAAGGCTTTCCATTTACAGCTTTTTGATTGGTTTCCCCTACTTCTGCTGTGGTTTCAGTGGCAGGATGTGAGCGAGCAAGAGGCATTTAAAAGAGCTGCCCTTGGGCTCTGACCAGCTGTAAACATCTCGGCTTTGAGACGGGAAATGGAGTGAGGCAACACAATGGCAGAGCATAAAATTCATAATGAGGGAGAAATCTTAATATTCCCCCTCTGAATTCCTGCTTATATGTTTGCTAACTAGGAGCAGAAAATGTGTCTCAGCAGGAACATGTGGCTAACTGTCTCACCAAAGCACAGGGCCTAAGCCTAGGTGGTTTTCTTCCTGAGGCTTCGTAGCAAATGGTGTTGCCAATGTTAAAATGCATAATAAGACAAGTGAAGTTATTTTGGCACCTGGCACAGAAAATCCCATAAGTACCCCTTCCCTTCCCACAAAAAAATGCAGTAATAATAAACAATAATAAACAAATAATAAACGATACCCCAAATTGGCAGCTGCCAGGACTTGCCCTACCAAAGCACCTTTGGTGTTCAACTATTTGGCAGCTTCTATAGGTCACTCCATTTTCTTAGGACAAAACCATCAAACCCTGACCAAAAGGGCTAGCATGGCTGAAAGGACGGTGATGAGAAAGGGACACTGTGTATTTGTATGTAAACCAGGAGTGGTTAATCTGTGCCCATATAGAGGATGGTAGACTGCAACTCCAGTCATTCCTGACTATTGGCTATGCTGGCTGGAGGTGAAGGAAAGTGAGCCTAACATTTGGAGGACCACAGATTCCCCCAAGCTATGTCCAAGACATATAGCAAGCAACGAGGGAGAGAAGCTCATCAAAATTACTCATAGAATATTTTTTCCAGCATCCCACTCTCAGGCAATATTACTTATTATTAAATTTACATCCCACCCTTCCTTCCAAAAGGAGCCCAGGGCAGCAAACATATCAGTGCAATGAAAACATCTAAAAATCATAGAGTTGGAAGGGATGCAAAGGAATGCAGTGCAGGAAACCTGACCCAGGCTATATGGGTTGAACCACCAGCCCATATAGCTGCATACTGGGAGAAGTCTACAGACTGCCACCAAGCTTATGCTGACAATTAATAAAATATCATTCGGCAAGAGTTAGTTCATATTTTTTTTAATTGTATGGTTTTATGTAAAGGATTGTTGTAAACTACCCTGATCTTTTAAATGAACAGTATATGTAAATATTTTTATAAATCAATCTACTTAAAAGGCTTCTTCAAAGAGGAACCATAGAATCAAGAGAGTTGGAAGGGGCCACAAGGATCATCTAGTCCTACTCCCTACAACGCAGGAATCTTTCACACAACACGGGTCTCAAACCTACAATCCTGAGATTAGTAAGTCTCATGCTCTACCAATTGAGCTATTCCTCAGGTTGTCTTCAGTAATGCCAAATAGACAATAGATGGTGCCAGTTTAATATTTAACAGGAGGTAATTCCAAGGAGTAGGTTCCTCCACTAAAGGCCCTATTCCTATATCATATTGAATGAACCCCTGGATGCTATCTGCAAAAAGTTGTCTCCTGCAGAGTGCAGCAATCAGTTGGGTATATAAGGTATAAGAATACTGTAAAGAGAAATAAGGGACCTTTTTCATATGTGGTGGTCCTGTAAGATTGCAAAAGCCTTATGGGAAACGATCCATAATGAATGGGGGGAATGTTGAAAATAATCTGTTAAAAAAACAGTAGCTTTTCTTCTTAGTATACAGAAAAAATCTATTTCTGTATGCAGCCACGGTTGCCCAATGATATATGCCCAAAATTGGAAAGAGGAACTGGCCCCCAAAAGAGATGATTGGCAATTAAAATGGATGGAATATGCAAAGATGCCGAAACTTGCTGGAAGATTAAGAGATCTAGTGATACTTTTTGTAACAGAATGGGGGCGGGGATTTATTGAATATATGAAAACAAATTGTAAACAACTAAAAACATTAGCAGTATTAATATAAACATGAGCAGTAAGAAATTTAAAGGAATTATAAAGGATAAATTTGTAAAAAGGTTATTTAGATATGCAGTAAGAAAATGACAGAAAAATAAAAATCCGCATAAGGGGAGGAAGGGAAGTTGCAGAAAATTTTATTTGTGTAGATTTATATTCATTGTTGAGTGCTGTAAAATCAAAAATAAAATAGGTTTTTTTCCCCCAAGCAATCAATGAGAGTAAATGCAAAAAAGGGAAAAATGATTAAGAATATTATTTTAGACACCCTGGTCTGAAGTTGTTTGGGCTTTGGATACCAGCACCATGAATTTAGCCTGACTGCTAATAAGCATCCAATTCTTGCTTAATTTACATCATTAGACTTCAACTGGTGAATAAACACCCACTACTGTATCGTTGCCAGACTGAAGGTTGGTTACAGCAACAGCCATAGAAATAGGTGGTAAAAAAATAAGAAATGGGTCCCAAAATGCATGTTTGGATTAAAGGTGAGCGTGGGTCTGGAAAAGTTGAAGCCTGCTGTCTTAGGAACTAACCCAGTCATCACAATCACTATAGGCAAGCGGTTCTGAGACCTCTTGATTAAAATGCCATACGAGAGATCCTTGACCAGATGCTCTGACCCTAATAATTCCCTTTCTGCACATGTTCCTTTCCTAAGACTTTTCTGATCAGCAAGAATTCCTATCCTCCGATTAGAAAGCGGTGTCCAGTAGTACACAGGGAGCTAGGAGACTGGATCTCCTTGCTGGATTCCCCACTGTGACTGATAAATGAAACACAATAGCTTACATCCAGCCTATAACCCAATGTTGCCTAGCAGCTATGTAAGTGACCTGCCAGGTGATTCATAACCTATTTGCAATCCCAGGCAGACAGCAAACTGGGCTTAGTCCCTTGACAGACATAGGTAGTGGAGCGCTATTAGGCCCAGTTATGTTGCCAGCCATGCAACCACTCAGTAAAGAGGCTGGTATTGTCTATCTGTAGGAATCGGTGTCGTTATTCTTCTCTGTCAGGCAAATAAGCTTGTATTTGATCTTTCAAATTTGAGCCATCACTTTCCTTCACAGAATACCAATGCTAATCAGTACCGGTTACATACTGCCTCCCAGAGGAGAGAGCAACAGCTTGCTTAAAAGCACTACCAAAAGAAAAGGAGACTAAGGAACAGAAGGCGCAAGAGAACACACATACAAAAACCCAACCAGCATGTTCTGGGGTTGCGTGCTTCATTTCTTTTCTCTTCATCTGTTGGGGCAAAAAAGTCTGTCATGCACACATCTAGTACATCCATCACCAACCTAACACCCTGAGGGTATTTTGGACTGCAACTCCCATCAGCCTCAGGTAGCACATTGGAGCTGTAGGCCAAAAACATCTGGATGGTGCTAGGTTGGCAAATATTACCCTAATACAGGCATGTCCAAAGTCTGTTTTGGGGGCCTAATCCAGCCTGCCGGTCAATTTAATCCGGCCCCCGAGGCAGTATATGTCCTGGGGTAAAATCCTAAAAAAAGCCCAGCTTTTTCACTTCATCAAATCTGGCCCTCTTTGAAAAAAGTTTGGGCACCCTTGCTCTAATATCCTACACTGAACATCTGTGATGGATCTGAACTGTTTGTGAGGCGTATCAGTTTGCTCCTTCTCCAAGCAAACTCAGCTAGTGAGTGCTGCCAGGACTGTAATCGAAGCAATGTTAATGAGAAACAAGACAGAGCTATTGGCATGGTTCAGAGAATCCAGATGTTTGCAGCAGCACATTTTTGTTTTAAACAAACTAGGGGGGGGGGGGATCTTCTCCAAAAGAGTCCAACGAGTACAGTGGTACCTTGGGTTATAGACGCTTCAGGTTACAGACTCCACTAACCCAGAAATAGTACCTCGGGTTAAGAACTTTGCTTCAGGATGAGAACAGAAATCGCACACTGGCGGTTTCAGGTTAAGAACGGACCTCCAGAACGAATTAAGTTCTTAACCCGAGGTACCACTGTACTGGCTATAGAAAGGAGATTGTAAAAGTGGAAGAGGGAACAGAAAGAGAAGTGGAATGCCTTCCTAGGAGAGACCTTGAACATGAGCACTCCTCTTGGGACATTTGGAGAACTAGTTTCCCCACTTCTGAGATATATAATTGCTTCTTCCCTTTTCAGATTAGAAGCCCCCCTCTGCTTTGTGATCCACTACACAAAATGACCCCCCCCCAATATCAGATGCTTTGCTAGAACCAAATCATTCCAGGTTTCCTACTCAGACAACACTACCAGCATTCTTATGTTAAAGGAATAAAATGAAATATTTCATTTGCTTTATTTCCAGAATCAAGGGGGCAAGCAGGTGCAACTGAAGGAATTCAAGCTCATTTGAAGATTGCAGGAGTTCCCTCGCACATCATTAGTGGCTCTCTAGAAGTCCGAGTGATAAAGTGGAATGAAGAAATGCAGATCTGGTGCTTTTGTTTTCTGTGTCAACATCTTCGAGGCTGCTTTGGAGCTGGAAGCTTGTCTCATCTCCATGGGCTGCAGAGGTCCCTACCAGAACAGATGACAAGCAGTTTACACAACGAGCCGAGGCTGCTGGGTCATCAAGACTCCAAAGCGTTTCTTGATGGTGATCCTGTGTCGGGAATATTTGTCATCTGGAGAAAAGCGAGCAGGATGGGCTGAACACGTTGGCTGGCCAGTGGGATCCGCCTTCTGCAAAGCAGGGAAGAGAAGGCACAGCAATTTGTGAGCATACAAGTCTTGGTTTTAAATATGTATGTGTGTGTGTGTGTATATATATATATATATATATGTGTGTGTGTACAGTGGTACCTCGGGTTACATACGCTTCAGGTTACACACTCTGCTAACCCAGAAATAATGCTTCAGGTTAAGAACTTTGCTTCAGGATAAGAACAGAAATCGGGCTCCAGCGGTGCGGCAGCAGCAGGAGGCCCCATTAGCTAAAGTGGTGCTTCAGGTTAAGAACAGTTTCAGGTTAAGTACGGACCTCCGGAACGAATTAAGTACTTAACTCGAGGTACCACTGTATATGTATGTGTGTAAACATTGTCAGCTGACATTAAGAACAACAACAATATACCACCAATCTTGGCTTAAATGTGTATGTTAATATTGGCAGTCTATATGTGAGCAACTACAATCCTAGAAAAACCAAACCAGCCCTAAAAGCTACACATTCCATCTTAAAATCACTTTTATTTTCTTCATGTCCAACCTTTCTTCCAAGGTACTGAAAAGGACATACATGCTTCTCCTCTTCCCAATCTGAGCCTTGCAACACTCCTAGAGTGCCTTTCATGAAATCAAAACAAGGCATTCCCTACCCACGTGCTTATATTCTAAGAAACAAACAAGTTAATAAAAATACAATTTTTCATGATCGCGAGAACTCCCCCATGTCTCTTTTCTTAAGATTTCAACAGACCACTTAGACCTGTACTGTACAATCTTTTTCCTCCTACACTCCTCCCCAATCCATTCACGAGACCAAAAACAAGTATTTAATTAACTGAAGGGTGGGGGGAATACACAAACGAAAGCAATGCAATTACCACAATGTTAAATTATGATCTGGGTATCAAAGTAGCATGCAGATTTTGCACAGATAATTCCACATTTAAACCAATGACGATCTTTAAAAGAAACAATAGGGAAAGAAGATTAATTGCAGCCAGATATGGGTGGCTAGGGCAACCCAGCCATATAGGTGGGGTATAAATAATAAAATTATTAGTGTATTAGTATTAGATGGAGCATAACAAGAATTGATATGCATAGCATCTGGATTTGGGGGGCATCAGGAAGAAGAAAGGGACTAAGAATTTGGGGGGGGGGGCGGAGAGACAAAACGCCATTAAAGTAAAATCCTTACCTTGAGAGTGTAGACCCTATTTCCTTGTTCATCGAGGTAGTACTGCAGAAACATTGCTGCGGGTTATGAAAGCGTTAGCACTATACCTGCAGACGGATTAAAAGAGCTTCCTCCTCCCGATATACACGCGCTTCCATACAACCCACGTGCGCATTAGCCCCACCCACTTCCTCTCCAGCAGGATGCCTTAATCTGCCAATGAAGGAGCTCGTAAAGAAACCGGGCATTCTGGGAGTTGTAGTCTTTCGGCTTCAGAATTCCCGAGTCTCATACAGTACAGTACTCCGCTCCAGGAGTCATTGTTGGTTAAATGCATTGTGGGAATTGTAGTCTATCTGCTCTAGCCACACACACTAGACTCAAATCTAGAATTATATTGTACAGTTGGAAGGGACTCCCGGTGTCATCTAGTCCAACCCCCAGCAATGCAGGAATCTCAGTGGAAGCATCCATGGCAGATGGCCATCTAACCTCTGTTTAAAAACCTCCAAGGAAGGAGAGCCCACATCCTCCCGAGTGAGACTGCTGCACTGTGAAACAGCTCATACTGTCATAAAGTTTTCTCCTCAGGTTTAGTTTGGGGTTCCTTCCTTGTCATTTGAATCCATTGGTTCCAGTCCTACCCTACAGAGCAGGAGAAAACAAGCTTGCTCCATCTTCCAAGTGCCAGCCCTTTAGATATTTGAAGATAGCTATCCTTTCTCCTCTCAGTCTCCTCTTTTCCAAGCTAAACATACCCAGAGTTCCCTGTTGAAAGTCTGCATCTTTCTCTACTAAAAGCACCTCTACAAATAATGTGTTGACTGTACCTCTGTAGAAGGGGGTGGGCAGGTGGGTACACGTGCCTGGGGGGTAGGGGTGGGGCAGGTACCCAGAGGGCCCTGCCAGAGGCCTGCCGGACTTAACACTGTCATGCCAAAAAAGCTCTGTGCCTCCCAGCTGACTGGGGACTCCTGCCCAGGGCCTCAGACAAGCTCTGCATGGACTTCTTCAGGCTCAGGGCCACATTACCTTGTGGGCAGCCTTCCAGGGGCCGTATGCCATCAGTGGTCAGGGCATGAGTCAAAAGTGTGCAGAATAGTAAATGTAAGGTTTGCATATTTAAAGTAGAATTATTTTTGTACCCTGTTCTATCCTCCCTCCAGATATCGTCAGAGTTCAAGGACACATACCTGCGAGGTGAAATCACAAAGAGGGTGTTAAGCGAGGACAGGTGTGGCCTACTGAGACAAGGAGCACCTTGGGAGCATTCATCCTGATCGGTTTGCAAGGAGGTTAGATCACGTTGCTTCAAGCAATTGCTGTTCCCAACCTTTCCTCTGCATTTCCCTGTCATGACAAACAAACACCTCGAAGGGTCCAAAGGCAAGCTGAGTAGCCTGATTCTAAGTGGCCAAGAGGCAGGCACAGGATCCCAGCAGGAGAGGGCAAAGGAGGAGTTTCTGAAGTCCTGGGATCTCAGGGTCGTGGGTTTGAGCCCCATGTTGGGTAAAAGATTCCTGCTTTGCAGGGGGTTGGACTAGATGACCCTCGTGGTCACTTTCAACCCTACATTTCTTTGATTCAAACCAGATGTTAAGCATGGGGTATAAGCAGGAGCCCATAGATGGCCAAACAAAGTTTTATGTGCAGAGGAGAGGACAAGACATAGGCGTAGTTGTGGGGATGGCTGTATGTCAATGGGGTTCTAATAAGCCTCAGAGCCAAGCCATATAGAATAGTTAAACCAAAGAATTAAGAGGGGAGATAAAACAGGAGACGGTAATTTAAGAAGGCCTATCAAGTTCTCATTTGGGGATTTCGAGCATGGTGGCATCTGTTTGCTGGTGATACCTGCCTGGGCTTCTCTTTTACATCTTAGTCAGGTGTGGCTGTGCCAGGTGTGGCTGTGCAATTCTTGCATCGTTGCCTGGATGCAGTCAGGGTAAATAACCTGAAACTGAATCCCAGCAAAATGGAAGTCCTGTGGGCAGGTAGTTCACGTGTCTGGGAATGGGAAAGGTCTTCCAGAACTGGACAAAGTTGCACTCCTTGAAAAGGAGAAGGTATAGTCTGGGAGTGCTCTTCCATCCATCTTTATTGCTGGAGGCACAAGAGGTCACAGTGTCTAGGAGGGCCTCCAGACCTAGATAAGGATAGCCTAGACAAGGATAGCCTTGTCATTGTGACTCATGTGTTGGTAATGTCAAGGCTGGACTGTGGTAACATGCTCTGTGAAAGGCTGCCCTGAAGGCCAATCCAGAAGTGCCAGATGCAGCAGCTAGGATGAAGAATGGGGCATCCTATAACACCGACTTTACTCCAGTCTTGAAGCAGCTGCACTGGCCAATAATAATATGCTGCTGGGCAGGTTTAAGGTTTTAGCATCGACTTAATAAAATCCTCCCAAACGTTGGACCAGGCTGTTTATCCATATTAGCCTACCCAATCACGAAGCGCATTAGGGGAGGGCCTCCTGGTTGTACCGTAAACTGCAGAGATTTTTACTGAGGAAACTAGGAAGACAGCCTTTTCAGTTGTGACACCCTCTCTATGGGTCAGTTCAAAGGGTTTGCTCTGGAAAGAACTTGCTTGGATACAATTCCTGGTTTGCAGAATAAAGCAGAAAACACACACACACACACACACACACACACACACTGCCCAGGTGAAACTTCTGTCAAATCATCAGACCCGAGAGAGAATTCTTCTGGTCTCTTCCAACTCCCCAGTTCTATGATTCTCAGATTCTCAGTACCTTCTCAAAACTTTTATTTCCCAAAGTTCCACAGGGGAAGCCATGGCAGTTAAACAGTTTCAAACTGGTCAAGATTTGTTGCTTGTTGCCCTCAAGTGGCATAACCCTGTGCTTGCATCTGCTGCCCGATGTCAGAGCAGACACAAAACAAGTCAACAGGCACCTCACAAACAACTACTGTATTGCTATTTTAATTTGGGCTGGATTTGGGCAGGTAGCACCTCTTGCATCATTTCTGGGGACGTGGGTTGGGAGAGGTGTGTATCTTTGGTGTGGACCAATGCTGGTCAGATTCCCCCTGTCGCTTTTTCATTTTCAAATGTCTATAGACAGAGGTAGGATGATCAATTGATAATCAGGAAAAATCATGCCCAATCTTTACAACAACAACAACAACATTTTTATTTATAATAATAGGGTGGGTTGGAGACATCATCAAGAGAAGTGTTTTGCCGCATGGAGATTGTCACCTGTTTGTTATCTCTGCAGATCCTGCTGTTGTTAAAGACCCAGGAGCGGGAGCCAATAGAAAGGTTGACAGCCCACATTGGAGGTAATGCTAAGATCGAGTGGAACACCTGCTCCTTGTGGAATCCATTAACAGCCCTTGCACATGCGGATACTCAGGAAACAGTATGAAGATGAAATCAGACGTAGCATGCAGAATAGAGATCAGGCCTGCAGGTTAGAACTTTAACTTCCTCCCCCTTATTGGAACCCCCAAGGTGTCTAGGTTCTGGAATTGTTATCCTTCAACCTTCGCACCTAGAGTTGAGTCAACAATGATGGATCTTCTTGGAAACCAAATGGCATCATTGTGAACTTCCCAGAAGGACCTGTATCCGATTCGTTTCCGTCAACGATCCCACAACAGGACTTCACGGAGCAAACAGAGACAGGGCCCCAGTTCCTTTGAACAGCTCTCTTTGATCCATATTCCTTCTCCCATAGGGCCATGGCCTCTCAGGCCCACACCCCGGGCCCTGCCCCACCTTCCTGCCCACCCAGCGCCCCCTCGCTCCTCTTGCCCGCCTTCCCTGGGACGGCTCTGCTCGTGACCTCAGCCGATGCCCCGGGGAGCAAGCTGATCATCAAGTTAAAAAGAGAAGGCCCAATGATGGGGGGCGCTGAGGAAATACCCCGGACCCAGACTTTCTTTCTGACAGGGATGCCACTGGGCTGGGCCACCCAGCGTCGGGATGGGCCAGCAGGCCCCGGCATCCGCACAGTGTTGCTGGCGAAAGCTGGCGAGGAGCCAGGTGGTAGGAAACAGAGAGTGCCAGAGGCCATGCCATCTGCCCGAGCGCCCCCTCCCAGTGATGCCTCCTTTGCCTGTACCTCCAAGGGGGTTTATGAGAATTATCGGCGTTGGCAACGCTACAAGGCCTTGGCCAGACGCCATTTCCCTGCCACGCCTGATGCCGAAGCTCTCGCCTGTTTTTTCATGTGAGGGTCTTGGTGGCAAGGATCATTTGGGGATAGTAAGCAGATAACAAACTGTGAGGATTGGCAGGGGGATTGGTCAGCCTTGGGTTACTATTGATTGAGACAGCAAAAGCATTGGTACTGAGATGTGGGATCCCACTGTTTTCTAAAGGCACTCAATCCAACAAACACAGACTGGTTGAAGTTAGATGGAAGGCCATGAGTCGTGAGCAAAATGAGTTTGGTGGCAGAACTCTGCACACAAAATAAGGATTTGGGAGTTCTGAATGTTTCTCTTTATGAACCCTGAAGCCCTGGTTGAAAACTGAACACTTATCCTAACTTTGCCAACACAGGACCTCATGGCAATTCCCATTTTATACCCTGGGGAAATTGTTGAAGTGCGGTATCAACTCACACAGCCATCATCTTAAGGGCTAGTTTTTCCTGTTTATCAGCAGAATCAAGAAGGAACCCCCCACCTGACCACACTGCACTTGAATATGCATGCACATTCCCCTGTGTAAAACACACTTCAATTAGAGTAGACATGCATTCCAGGACCTGCAACCTGAAGTGGTACAATTAAAACCAGGGAGTGGGGTGAGGTAGCTTTAGCACTTAATTCTGCTCATTTCATAAGCTGAAAAGTATTGACAAATTGCAATCAGAGGTTGCTACAACTGCTCAAAGTTCCTCCGTTGCAGAAAGGGTGCTTTCCAAAGTATTCAAACCCATGTACCGGTGTAACAACGACAACACTCCTTGGCACCTATTTGAAGGTCGTCTCCTCGTCTTCTTTTAACCACTAGGCTATACTGCCTATAAGGGATGCAGGTGGCACTGTGTGTTAAACCACAGAGCCTAGCACTTGCTGATCAGAAGGTTGGTGGTTCGAATCCCCGCGACAGGGTGAACTCCCATTGCTCGGTCCCTGCTCCTGCCAGCCTAGCAGTTCGAAAGCACGTTAAAGTGCAAGTAGATAAATAGGTACCGTTCTGGCGGGAAGGTAAACGGTGTTTCCGTGCGCTGCTCTGGTTCACCAGAAGCGGCTTAGTCATGCTGGCCACATGACCCGCAAGCTGTATGCTGGCTCCCTCAGCCAATAAAGCGAGATGAGCGCTGCAACCCCAGAGTCGGCCACGACTGGACCTAATGGTCAGGGGTCCCTTTACCTTTTTTATACTGCCTATACTGTCAAGTGAGGTTAAGGAGCTAAATTGGGGTTAGAAAAGGCTCCATAAATGTCATGATGGTCAAAGTTGTGGGTGGTTGTGGTGGTGAATGGCTATGAACTACACCCAAATGTGTAAGCACATTTAAAGCACATGGCTTCTCCCAAAGGAACTAGGGAACTGTAGCTTGTTAAGGGTGTGGGGAATTGTAGTACTGTGAGGGTTAAGCTACAGTTACCAGGATTCTTTGGAGAAAGTCATTGCTTGTTGGGAAGCAAAAGATATGGTAAATAAAAAGAAGAATTCCCTGGATGCCTAGATCCAAGTTTGGAGAAATTTAAAACCACATAAGTGTGGAAATATAGGTTGCTTTAAAATATCCCCTTCTAAGTTGCTTCCAACATCCCCCTCTATCATAGAAAGAGACGACGTGTATGGTAAGTTTTAAAAAGTTTACTTATTCAAAGGTCAGATTCATGTGCTTTCCCATACAGCAGTAAGAAAACACAGGCTGTCAAACTTAGTTTCCAAAGTGGTGAATGATTCTAATTTATTTGCATAGAAACACAAAGATGGTTTGCTTCAGCCATGCAATCTGAGCTTGGTAACCCTTCCCCAAGGTGAGGGGGGCGTGACCTATCTAAGCTTGACAGCACATCTTACTCTATGGTCTTAACCCCTTCATGAATTAGACTTAAGCATGCTGATTATATGAGGACAGTTATGCCACAGCCATGTGTGTTAAATGTGCTTTAGATTTTTGGTGTGGGTATGACCATAGAGGCAAGGATTGCTGTTCACATTTTAGAAGCTTTGCTCTCACTGATGTGACATCATCGTCCTGCCCCTGCAGCCCCGTCCTCCGCTCACTGGCACGCCTGCGTCCCGACATGACCCTGGAAGATGGGGTTCCCCGTGCCGTGCAAGAATGGGAGCACAGCAGCAACTTTGAGCGCATGATCTTCTATGAAATGGCAGAAAAGTAAGAGTTCCCTACTCACATATGGGCTTACGGGCGGCTGGCGGGTGAAGAGGGTCCCTTCATTTTGACTTCGCCCTCCCTCCTCTGCCCTTCCCTTTCTCAGGTTCATGGAGTTCGAAGCAGAAGAGGAACAACAGATCCAGAAGATGAAGCTCTTGGCCAGTTGCGCTCAGTTCCAGGCCCCAGCTCCCAAACCCAACAAGCCACCTCCATCCCCTGCCCCTGAGTCTGGGCAGCAGCAAGGTAGTGTCTTCCTCCCACAATCCTCTGCATTTTGAGCAAAACCCTTACCCATCTAGACCAACTATTGGCCAACAGGGGTGGCTCCTAGGAACTAGTAGGGCAGAAGGCAGAGATTTCAATGGTAGGTGGAGGCAGAACCAAAGACGGCAGAGCCAACCAATTCTAGTGTCTTCCTCCCCACTTCCTCCTCCCTGCTGAATTCTACAAGGGGCAACTCAGGGGCTAAGGAGAAGGAAGATGGCAGCTTGGGCCACCCGCTAGATTGATTGTAAGTCAGAAGGCAGGCAGGTGAGGGCTGACTGAAGGCAGACAGAGGTTGGTGGGGCAGTGCCCTGTTTTGACCTAATGGATCAGCATCCAAGGCCAATAGGAAGAGGACATGATGGGGAACTAGTATGCAAATGGCTAATGAGCTCCTTTTCTTTCCTCCCAATAATAATAATAAATTTAATTATTTATAGCCCGCCCATCTGGCTGAGTTTCCCCAGCCACTCTATATTGCTTCCCTGTCTGGCAAGTTTTCACCCCAGGCATCCAGTACGCCTTTGATCATAAAACCCCACATGGAATTGACTTCCTGGTTCATTTTACACACCGTCTCCATGTGCTAATTCTTCCCTGTGCCCAGGAGACTGTGTGGTGCTTATTTTAAAATCGCAACTCTGAGCCATATTCTGCTGCAAGAAAACCTGACTTTATGCAGATTTCAATACATTTTATTTGCATACATATATATATGCAGAGTTAAATACATTTAACTCTGTTTGCTGTGCAATTGATTCCGGTTCCCTTAGTAATGGGATGGAGCTCTGCAGCAGCCCTGAGCCCACTTAAATCCTTGCTTATGCTCCTCTCCCCATGAGCCTTGCCTTCTGAGACACCGTCTGGCATTGCCAGCATATTTTTGAGCACTTCCTCTTAGCAAGAAGATACCGAGAGCAGGGGTCACCAACCATTTTAGGCCTGTAAGGATATGCTGGGGGGTACCATCCCCTCTCACTATTCCAGGCCTAGGCAGAGATCAGCTGCTGCAGGCCCTCTTGGCAAAGTGCTAGCTGTTCTCCCAGTTGCCAACCCAAAGGCAAAAAAGGGTGGGTGGGGAAAGCAGGGCCTGATGGCAGCCCATCTCCTCCCAAAAGTGGAGTAAACCTGTACCCATCAGGAAATGGCTACACTCCTTTTGAACTACTGTGATAGGTCAGCAATGAGTTGCACACGCCATTCGAGTTCACCTAGCCCAGTGTACTCATGTAGGATTGACTTCATGATCTCCATGCTTCCCCCAAAGTCTACATCCCCAAGAAGTCAGCTTCCAAGAGCCGCCAGCCTCGGCGTCGCCAGCGGCGTCCGCCCAGCACTTCCACCCCAGGAGCGCCCAGGGAGATCCCTGCCGAGGCGGTGCACCAGTATGCTGAGATCATGGAAGGCCTGGACACGAGTTGGGAGGAGGAAGAGGACGAGAAGAAAGAACAAGGGGTGTGCAGCAACCCCCAAGAGCAGGAAGAGGGGGCCTTCCCAGATCCTGCCCTGCTGCAGTATATCGATCAGTTATGTGATGATGAAGAATTTGTATGTAAGGTAAACAGCAGTGGTGTTTGCTTCATGGGAACGGAGCAAATGTAAATCTTGCAACCCTTCTCTCAGCCCCTCTCCAGGCTGTTGGTTTTTTTGCATGTATACTCTGCAACAAGTCACTAATACAATAATAGTGCATTAATGGCAGGTTGATACAGGACTGCCCACACATCATTCTGATTTATTAGTTGTTCTACAATCCTTCCCCAGTGTTACTGCATTATTGCTGTCTAGAGGGGCACCACTTGCACTGTAGCGGAACGAAAGAAGGACAACAAACAAACCGGAATATTTGTAGAATGAAAAAGTTACAGGATTTCAGGAGGGCCATGCACTGATGAAGGAGTATGTCCACCCAGAAACCCTTTTAGGTACAAACAACATTGATAGCAGAATCATGTATGATGGCCTTGATACCATCATGGGCACACATTATCATGAATGCACCATAAGAAAGGATGCCTGGAGGGAGCCATAATACGATCATCATCATCAGGGTAAATCCTACTAGATGATAAAAAGGTGGCAGCCAAACACACAACAAACACATGGTTAGCATCCAGCACCAACTTTGACCTTTGCGTCTTGTAGCTATAACAGCACAAGCCCAGCTTTAATGCACTACTGAGTGTTGCTAAGCAATTGTCCAATGGAGCTTTGTATTTTACTCCTCCCTTTATTACTAATCTCTATCATAAACAGATATTTGTAGTCTTCCTCCAGCCTGCTGCCCTCTAGAGATTCTTGGACTGCAGCTTCTATCATCTCCAACCATTGGCCATGCTGTCGGAGGCTGATGAACGTTAGAGTCCTACACATCTGGAGGGCACCAGGTTGGGGAAGGCTAGTCTAAATCCACACCTGTGCCTTGGACCACAGCATTCCATATGCTGAGTTTGTCTTCCTTATCCATTCATCAAGCCACTTCCTTTCCCTGCTTCATGTCTCCACCACCTGAACCTGACCTTAGCTCCACTAACCCTTCCCCTCTTAGAATTCAGCGGTCTCTACCCACCATTTTGGTCTTACCCATCCATGGCACGTTGGAAACTCCTCTGCTGACAAAGCCTCACTTCCCCAAAGCCTGCATATTACCCCTCTCTCTGCTGAGTGATGGCAAAAGCCCATGGGGTCCTGGGCACACATACAGGGTCTGTGTCCCTTTGGAGAATAGAAGACACAGTGGAGGCTGTTGTGCCTAAAGAAATATGATTTATTCACCTATTTACACTTCCAGTCTGTGTGGCGAGAGTTCATATCTTACTGCATACACATTTCCATAGGCAGCAGCGCAGGGAACCTTCAGGGAACCTCTCTCCAAGATCGATCTCAGCCCCTTTCTCCCCTTTTTCTTCCTATAAAACCCTTCCCCGCCCCCTCCAGAGTTACCCTGGCAGCTTCCCCAATCCCTCTGTTCACACCTGGAGGGAAGAGGTTAATGGCCCTTTAGCCATATCTCATCTCACAAGATTGGTTTGCATAAGTCAGTCCAGGAATTCCCTGCAGTTTATGTTTTAATCCATTTCCCAATGAATCAAAATCCTAGCATTTCTTCATTCCTAGGTTTTAGGGGGATCTCTCCCCTAACCCAGATCTTTAACAGTATTTTTAAACAAATGAGTTATTACATTATCTCTTGGGTGAGGATTGGGCATGCAGACTTTTGCTCCTTTTCAGCCAGGCTCAATACTACAAGCCATGACGCTTCCCCTTCCTCTCCCCAACAGGTTGAAGCTGTCATTCATCCACAGTTTATGGCTGACTTGCTGTCTCCAGAGAAAAGCCAGGATCCTCTAGATCTGATGGAGGAATTGGCAGAGGAGCTAAACTTAACACCCAACCAGGTAACGCATGGAATTAGAATGGGGTGGGAATCGGGACACGTGGGGAGTTTCAAGGCTGCAGCTTGAGCCTGCTCATGTGGCCAATTCAGACCACGGCAGCCGTGGTTATGTCAGCTTCGCCACTGTGCCTTCTAGCCACAGCAGCCTGTGGTTTGGAAGTCTTGCGCAGAGAGGTGTGTGAAACATGTGGAAAAGACAAAGAGGCCTCGTTTCCTGTTTCCATTTGAAAGCCGCTGTTTGGTCAGAACGGCCATGGTGCAAATTGGAGGACTGTCTCCTCCCCTTCACCACTGTCAAGACTGTCCCAACCATTTTGTGTTGGTTACTACCCATACAACTGGAAACTGACCATAACACTGAATGGGGACATAGCATATTTTCCATCATGCATGGAATCCTATTTTTGCCACATCAGTGCCCATAAAGTGACATTGGCAGTGGCCTTTGAAAGGCCAGACCAGAACTCATTCCCTCCAAAATAGGCACATCCTATCTCATGATGATGGTGGTACTGTGCTCATCTGACTGGCCCAGCCACTTTGGGTGGCTTTCAACATATTTAAAACATAATTAAATATTTAAAAACTTCCCTATAAAGGGAATATGTCTTCTAATGGCCTTCAATGAAAATAGGGACATCGTAAGGAAAAGTGGGACCTTCTGGGGTCAAATCAGAAACCAGGATGGCTTCTGTAAATCCGGGACTGTCCCTGGAAAATAGGGACACTTGGAGGGTCTGAACCTGCACATGGCTGTGGAGGCACAGAATTATCCCACTACGGGGCTGAGCTGAGAGGCAGTGCTGGCAAGACTTTCCCCATAGCTACTCTGAATTGATCCTTTTTCCTTTCTGTCTACAGCTTACAGAGAAGAGACTCCTGGCGCTGTCGGAAGAAGAAAGGGAGCCCTCTGTCTACCCTACATCCCATTCTGACTCCACCCCCTCGCAGTCTGAGGAAGAGGACGAGGTCAGTGGTAATGGAAAAGGAGAAGATGCATCATGCCATGCCCTGAAGAGGCCTTTGACCAGCAAAGTCATTAGAAGCAACCAGCCAGAATTGCCTGTGCCGGCCACCAGTTCCCCACTGGCACATCATTCGCAGCAACGAGGCTTTCCACCAAAAGTGGAGAGTTCTCCTCACAAATGTGGCATCCAGGACTCTCAGGAAGCAAACCTGCTACTCTCCCTGAAGAGCACAGTTGAAGAGGAAACCCAGAACTCACAGGGACGAGGCCAGGTTCAAAGTCATGGAAGCTCTTCTCATAGCCAGTGGGCCACACTGGAAGCTACTCCTGGTATAACAGGAAACGCCAGCATTACTGGGAACTTAACATCCGAAGGGGACAACAAAGCCAAGCAAGGTATTGCAAGGCCCCATGCCTTGGAACATTCAAAGCAAGATGGCGGCCAAGAAGGAAAGGTCAAGCAGCATGCTACAGGGCAAGGCAGCCTTGCTGTCAAAGGACAGTTCCATAATGGGATGGAGCTGGTTTGGAATAATCTAGAACCACCCCACAACAAATGTGAAAAACAAGATGGTATCCAACGAGGGGAGGTCAAATGTCTAAAGAAGGCTCATGCTATCTGGAAAATACAGGAAGATGATCCAAAAGGGACCGACCATGATCGTCAAGGCCTAAACAAAATGTTATTAGAAGATGGCATAGCAGCAGAAAGGACTCTTAGGATGACTTTGAATGGGCATGGGGGACAAAATGTTGACTCTGCAGAAAAGGCCAGAGGTCAACTCCAAGTTCAAAGTAATAGGGGGCTGAAGGAAATCTCCAGTAGAAGAGAACTTGACTGTCAAGGTAATGAGATGACATCTCACCCAGATAACCAGATAAAACAGGAACTTCTGCAGGCTGAACGTGAAAAGCTAAATGGCTGTCAAGGAGAAGTAGCCAAAGATCAACTCCAGTCCCAAGGCATTTATAGAGGGGCAAAACCTACCTCTAATGTAACTGTAACTCAGTTTGGAGGCATCAAGCCATGTGGGAAAAGCTCAGCAGTACAAGACAGTCTAGCATTGAGCCCCTCTGGACGTGGGAATCATCTCAATGGCCAAGAAACACAGGTCAAATCTCAGAAGAAGCCAGAGGCTAACTGGAAGCAAATGGCAACGAAATCAGTAAAGGACAATGGCTTGGTCAAAAGTGTACAGTTGCCTGCAGATAATATATCATTAGATAAACAACCAATTTCCAGTAGACAAGATGGCCAACAGTCCATTGACTCACCCGTGTTGGAAACAGATGAAGGAACTAAAAAGTCACATGTTGAACCCAGCCAGGGAAACAAACAGAAGTTGACTTTATCCAATTCTAGTTGGATAGGGTTGCTTGAAGAGCAGCCCACAGGCACAGATTCTGAGCATGTGCCATATTTCACCCTCTCAGTACTGGAGCCTCAATCTCCAAGTATCCAGAAGTGCGCTGAGATATTCCAGAAGTCTCAGTGGCCACTCACAGATCAGTGCAAAGTCACGCCTTGGGTGGAAAACCTTCCAGATGACAAGCAGAACCCAGAGTCCACGCCAAACCCTTCAAGCTACGTTGCCACAGTGGAAGCTGATGGAGGCAGCTGCAGTCCAGCTGGAGCTCACACTCCTGTGGCTGCCAGTTCTGGGAAAGGGGGAGCAGCGTTTCCACTATCACAAGGTGGAGGAAGCAGTGGAGGCAGCCATGGAAATGATGAGCCCAGTCAGAGATCTGAGTCTAGCGATCTGCTGCCTTCTAAAGCCCACAGGGGGCTCATCAGTTCAGAGAGTAACGCAAAGAACCCGAGTAAGGGGGAAGGGGGAGATTTGCTTGAGAGAGTCTCCGTGGCAAAAGACCTGCTTCCAGAACTCCCCGGAGGAAGCGTGGAAGACATCCTTAAATATGGCGCTAAAGAAGACGACGAAGAGGAGGATGAGGAGCTATCTAGCTTCTCCTCGTTGCTTGCTTCCAAGCTCAGCCTCTCCCCTCACAGTGCCCTTGCGCCTCTCACAAGGGAACAAGGGGACACCCTGTCCTCCTCACCCACGGATGCTGGGAAGCAAGGTGCTAAGACAAGGCATTCCACGAGGGCGCAGGTGCCCCAGAATTCCACCACCCCACCAAACAGGAGTCCGGAAGCCAGCACAGCCACCCAGCACAGTCACAAGAGAAAGAACAATGGCTCAGGTACACGGAGGAGCAAGCGCCTTCGCAACCAGTAGCAGTGCTCCTTTCTTTCAATGGAGGCTAACTCTAGCAAACCCTGGGAAAGTCTCTTAAAGTCCCCATTTTGGCAGCTGCCACCTGTGCTGAGATTTCAGAGCCCCGCCATTACTCAAAATAGTACGAGTAACAGGGAAAAAGACCGCCGAAATACCTTGGCCGAGTCACGATCTGCCTAGATGCGCTTCCCATGGGACTTGACAGAGACCCCCTCCCTGCATTTGTTCAAATTTCTTAGCAAATTAAAAGAGATATTGAATCCAACTTGCTTGGCTGCAAGCCTGGCTCTGAAAGCTCCACCTTAGAGACTGCTAGCTTGCCTAATATTGAACTCATGTTATCCTGTGCCGATCTGTTTTGGAATTGAAAAGGAAGGCAGTGCTTGTTTCTGCATACCTGTGGAAACATATACAGTGGTGCCCCACAAGACGAATGCCTCGCAAGACGAAAAACTCGCTAGACGAAAGGGTTTTGCGTTTTTTGAGTCGTTCCGCAAGACGAATTTCCCTATGGGCTTGCTTCGCAAGACGAAACGTCTTGCGAGTTCTTGCGAGTTTGTTTCCTTTTCTTAAAGCCGCTAAGCCGTTAATAGCCGCTAAGCCGCTAATAGCCGTGCTTCGCAAGACGAAAAAACCGCAAGACGAAGAGACTCGCGGAACGGATTAATTTCGTCTTGCGAGGCACCACTGTACATTTGATTTAAAAATAAAATTAAATAGGGTTTGTGTGTGTAATAAAACAGAAGAGCAACCCCAGCCTGAGACAGGCCTGCATTCAGTGGTTTCCAAGCCTATAAAATTTTGAAATGGTCACTTTGGTTTAAAAACAACAGGGATAGGGATTTGCCTTCTTCAGCTGATAGCATCCTGGAGGCGAGCATTAAGGTTGAGAAGGGAGGATGAGCTTTTAAAAATTCCCCTATTTGAACTACACAGGCCGGCTTCAGGAAGCAAAGGGAAGAAAACATGATACTTCTGCCCTTTCTCGCTGTCCTGAACCTCCTGGCTATATGACAGGTTCAGGGCTGGCAGCCAGTCCCAAATCTAACCCCCTTCCCTGTCTCTGAATAATGTTACAATGCTCCAGTTTCAGGCTGGACAGAGCCCTGGATAGAATCACTCTTGTTAAGAGGCTGGCGACACAGCGCAACCTTTTGCTCTCATCTTACAGCCGAGTTGAATGCAACCTTGGCACGTAATGTGCATATCTTACTTGAGTTCAATGGAGGTTGGTGGCCACTGGGGCTGGTAGGGCAGAAGGCAAGGAGACCCACAGGAGGTGGAACCAAACCCATTGACAGGGCAGAGCCGACTAATTCTAATCTTGTCCCCATCCTCCCTATTGATTTCTACAGAGGCAATACCGAGATTACAGCAGTAGCAGGGAGCGGGGTGAGATGCCACTGCTTACTACTGCTGCTTACTGGGAAGTAAAGGAGGGCAGAAGGTTGGGGAGGTTGGTGTGGTGCAAACGTGCCAGCAGGAGCCCAAGATTGGTTCTGCCAGCGTGTCTGTGCAGCGCTGTGGTTGCTAGTGCTGCTGTGCTGCCCTTGCTCCTCCTAGCATGCAGTAGCGATGCGACCAACCAGAGATCAGGTGAGCAGTGATGGTGTCCCATTATGCCAGCACTGGACAATGGTTGAGGCAGTGATTGGCAGTGCCACCCCCTGGATTGGTTGTAAGTAAGAAGGTAGGCAGGTGGGGGATGGCTGAAAGCAGAGAGAGAGAGTTCTGGGTCTGTGTTCCACTTGCCCACGTGGAGCAACTTCCAATGTTTGAACTAAAAACTCTAAAACCTTCGACTAAAAACCTTGAAACTCAAGGTCTTCTGCAGCCACAGCCCAAACTCCTTCCCCCAGTCTTAGCAAACAAACAAAATCAGGAACCACCTTTGTTTTAAAACTTAATACATATATCTTTTTTTATTATAGAGATATAGATATTTATTTTATATATAAAATAGCACTTTTTATATTTTACAAAACAGAAAATAAAACGAAAAGCAACAGTATCTCACCCTTCCGTCCTTCCCTTCCCATTGACAAATGAACAAAACAGAATATCAACAACGTAAGATAAAATGATATAATTAAAACATAACAAAAATAAAACTTTTAAAATAAACGGAGAGAAGCCCCAATCCCCAAAGAACTTGCGGCTGTGATTCCCCGGTTACGGTTGCCCTGAGATGGGGGTGTCTCCGCCCCCCTTTGCCTAACCACCATGGCGGCAGAGAGCGAGCAAGCGAGCAGGAGGGGCGGGGTCTGCGTGGCCAAGGATGTGGCATGGCTGTGTGTGTTTGTGTGTGTGTTTCGTTGTATACACATGGCTAAAGAGTTTTCAGGGGGTTCAGTCTGCCTTGCTCTTGGGAGGGGAGGCAGGAACGCCATTAGCATAGGTGGGCGGGAGGCTAGGCTTGGACAGAGTGCACGCCACGGGGGGGCGCAGGTACGTGCTGAAGAGGCGGGCATAGTCAGGGTGGCGGAGAGAGAAGTCTTGGAACTCATCTGGGTAAGAGAGAAAAAGGAAAGCAGGGTGAATATTTTACTTCATTGATTAGCTTTATGTACCACCCTTCATCTAAAGATCCCGGGGCAGTTCACAACATAAAAAAACCACGAGATAAAAAGCACAAATAAGGAATATCAGTGTAAAAGTGGTGTATGGGTAGCCCTAGGAGAATCCCCTGGCAGCAGAAGTTGCGTCAGTATGGACCAGGCGCTGACACCCTTTTGGGACCCATGGGTCCATTTGCAAACCTGAGAAACTCTTGTGGGCTCGCCTGCCCGGGCAATCTGACAAACATTGCAGCTATTCTGCCAGCTACAGCAGAATGCATCTTTCACAACAAATTTCAGCAGGGAGGGAGGAGATGACTCTGTGGGCACCAGCGACAGATGCCATGTTGGACACCCCGGGGTTGACACTTCTTCCTGCAACTTGTATCCACCTCCTGACTTTTTGCCCCTTACCATAGCTGTCCCCAAACCCAATGCCCTTCTTCCTCAAAACTTGATGTTAATGAGCCCTTCATGTACTCGACATACGAGACCCGTCACACCTCCCCTTTCCCTTCCATGCCCCGCTTTTATGAGGGATCTCACCGAGGGTCAGTCCATCTTGGCTGTGGTCCCCACAAAGTCGACTATAGAGTTCGGCCCCATCTGCACCTGGTGTGCCCAGCAGGAGGCGCAAAATGGCGCAGAATCCATCTTGGCAAAGCCGACTGTTCTCTGCCTCACCGTCTGTCTCCGTGAAGAGCTGGCGTTGTAGAAAGGGGTGTGTGTGTCAGGAACAGAGATATGAACTCTGAATGCAACATTGCATATAATGCCCTCTTTCCCGCCACAGCAGAGACTCCTCCCCTTTAAACCTTTGGTTTGGTCCACTTTGCCCCAATCCCCACCCCTTTCGTTCTATAGCCCACCCAGACCGACACAGAGACACGCAGCCATGTCTTCCATCGCTCGGATTAAAGGTAAAGGTACCCCTAACCATTAGGTCCAGTTGTGGATGACTGGGGTTGCGGCGCTCATCTCGCTCTATAGGCCGAGGGAGCCGGAGTTTGTCCGCAGACAGCTTCCGGGTCATGTGACCAGCATGACTAAGCTGCTTCTGGTGAAACCAGAGCAGCACATGGAAATGCCATTTACCTTCCCGCTGGAGTGGTACCTATTTATCTACTTGCACTTGACGTGCTTTTGAACTGCTAGGTTGGCAGAAGCTGGGACCGAACAGGAACTCACCCTGTCGTGGGGATTTGAACCGCCGACCTTCTGATCCGCAAGACCACAGCAGCACGCAGCCATGTCTTCCATTGCTTGGATTAACCCCTTTCTAAACTCACAATCCCACTTGTGCTTCACGTGGACAGAAGTCCTGTAGGGACCACCCTAGAGATGTTAGGATATTTCCGTTCCACCTTAAAAGGGAGCAGGCTTTGTGAGTCAGAGTCTGCATATTTCCTGTTTCCACAGGATGTTTCTGTTGTGTCTTTCGTTTTCTCTCTCTGTGTCGTAGACACTAAAGCAGGCAGTCATGTTTTTCTGTGTTCTGATCAACGCTGAATAAACTTGTAAATAATGCTCTCCTGAGTGCGACTTTGGCTGTGCATTGTCTGCTGATAGAGTGTGCATGAGCTCTGGAATGTGGCAAGCTATTTCTCAGAAGTTCATGTCACTAATTGCTGATACTGCGTGACTATGGGAGGTCGATGGATCGTCCGGCAGCCGGCTTGGGGGCCATGATGGACTTTGTCTCCCTGGCAGTATCCCAACAAGAACTCCCCTCCCTGGATGCTTCTCCCCAACCAAGATGCTGAGATGCATTTCCCCCCACCACTAGGAGAAAAATGGCTGGGGGAGTGGAATGCAGGGGGGAAGCAGCAAGCCAGAAGGGCTAGGCATCACCCCATACCCTCTAGCCAGCGCTGTCCAACTCATTGTTTAGATGTTTAGCAGAGAATTGGGTTTCTCTGTCTCCATCAAATCACTAGCTTGACTTTCTCTCCATTGAACTCAACCACAGCGGTTACCTTAAAAGCACGAAACGTCAGTTCCTGTGGGTTGTGCTCTCCTTCCAATGCCTCCAGGGCCAGGGCCACTTCCCGGGAGTCCATGTTGCCATCGGCGTCCTGGGAAGAGATGCAAGAAGGAGAGAACTGATTGTGTTGCACACCGAACCAGATGTTCTCCTGGCTCAATTTTAACCTCAAAAAGTAGCGACACATTGGGCAGGGGGCTGGATTACCTTAAAATCACCTTTTTTGGGAAGCTGTTCACAGCCATAGCTCACCCCTGTTTCACTGTTATTTCCCCCATTCTGTTTCCCATCAGATTTTGGCTATGTGCAGGCAAAACGGAGGGCAAGTTAGGCCTACATAGCTAAGACAATGGCGGCTTTCCCCATGCAGATCACAATGGCCAATCTTAGCCAATCAGGGAGCACATTAACAGTGATTTGGAATTTTTGCAGCCATTTTCACAAAGCATCTCCCCTTGTTTCAGGATATTCATTGAATACCACATCTTTCCATGTCCTTTCTATTTTGGAAAGGCAGTGTGGTGCGGTGATTACAGCGTCGGACTAGGACTAGGACCTGGGAGGCCAGGGTTCAAATCCCCACTTGGCCATGAAGCTGACGCTGGGCCAGTCATGGCCTCTCAGCCTAAGCTACCTCACAGGGCTGTTGTGGGGATTAGATAAGGAGGGGGAGAACCACTTTGATCTCCATGGAGAAATAGTGTGTGTGTGGGGGGGAATGCAATGAATAAAATGCATCATTATTTATTAAATTTCGATGCTGCCCTTCATCCAAAGATCACAGGCTGGTTTACAATATTAAAACAAAACGGAAAAAATACCATAGTAACAAACAAAAAACAATAACCCCAACACGTTTACAGTGGTACCTCGGGTTACAGACGCTTCAGGTTACAGACGCTTCAGGATACAGACTCTGCTAACCCAGAAATAGTACCTCGGGTTAAGAACTTTGCTTCAGGATAAGAGCAGAAATCGTGAGGCGGCGGCGGGAGGCCCCATTAGCTAAAGTGGTACCTCAGGTTAAGAACGGAACTCCAGAACGAATTAAGTTCTTTTTTTTTTTAATTAATATTTATTAAGTTTTCAAAGAATAACAACAAAAATTTCCAAAAAAATTTGAAAATACAAAAAACAAAAATGATAAAGAAATAAAAAAGAAAAAACCCAACCATAAAGAAAAAAAGAAAAAAAGAAAACCAAAGGTATAAAATCATTTACGATCTCTATTAACTTCCTTTCTAGACTTCCTCCTCCTCCCCTCTCTTGTTTCTTAATTTTTAATTTTTACAGCAAATCCTTTCTGTTTTTTCATAACATTCTATCATTACATTTCCTTATTCTATTTTCCCTCTTGTCATATAAAAACTTTAAAACTCAAAGCTTATATTCAGTATTTACCAAATTCTTACATCATTACCTTTTTACAAATCATTTACCAATCATTACTTAAGCCATATAGTTTCATTCAACATCTTTCAAACATTTATGAACGTTCCCAATATTGAAAAATAGAAAAATAAAATAAAATAATAAGTCAGACACAATCCAGTCAGCGTCCAGCGCCCCTCCCCTGGACCCGGGATTGTCAGTCCTTTTAACCTCAATAGTCCGGCTCCTTAACCTGGTTGTCTCGTGTCCGAGGCCCTCAAATCTCTTTCTTGCCCCTTTCGCAGCTCTTCTTGATGTTTCCCTTTCAGTCGTGGGTACTCCAGCAGAAAGATACTTTTGACCCTTTGCAGCAAGTCCATCCCATGCCCATTGTCCAAGCCAGACAGCAGATAATACCACTTCAAGTTTCCTTGAAACTTGGAGGCTCCGACTACTCCAATCCTCTGATGGCCCATCACCAGACTCGGAAAGTCCAGATAACCATATAAAGGGGGGTCAATCCCTCCCCCATTTCCAAATCTAACCACATTTCATCTTTCCGAATCTGATTTATCCCAAGTTCATTTATCAAGTTCAAAGGCTGATCCTGCCGGTCCAAAGGTCCCTCCATCTCTGAAGCCTCCATCACTACAGCAGGTTCATATACTTGTAGATATTTTAACTGAGTTCCATTTACTTGCTGCTGTGCTCTGGTAACTTCCGTCATCAAGGTCGTCTCCTGACGCATCTGGTCCAGCTGGGCACTTAGTTTTGAAAAACCTTCCAGGAACATTTGTTCAAGCCTTTGTACAAGCATTGTCCTTCAAGGTCAAAGAAAATTCTTTCCCACGATTATAGTCCTTCACTTTTAAGCTCTCTGCGTTGCAGTTTCACTAAATCCCACTAGAGGGAAAACCTTTTTTCCTTTTTTTTTTTGTATAAAGGAGAAACACATCAGCAACAGTCTTTCTTTTCCAGATACACTTTATCCAAAGTTCCCCTTCAAAATTCAAGAGGCAACAGTAGAGTCACAATGTTACCTTTCTTTTAACTATCTGTCGAGCTGGACAAGCTTCAAAACGTCAGTTCTGACAGCCCGCTCCTGGTTCAGGGCGGTGGAAAATTACTTTGTTTTAAACTCACTTCCGCAGGGTTAAAAAGTCCAAAACAACCCCCTTCTTCTCCTGCAGTCAAAGGGGGGGTTCAGAAATCTTAGATGTTGAATTCTAGTTCTCTCAGAATTTAATTTTCAAGCTTTAGTATATTTTGTCTTTGCTTTCTTCACGTAACAAAAGAACGGAAGGCTGACTTCCTGTTTAGACCTTCCCGTTCCAAGTCCCAATTAAATTCAATTTCAAGTCCAATTTATTTATTTATTCACCAGTCTTAAAAGTAATTCAGCTCTTCCAAGATCAGGTACTCACGGATAGATGTTTTAGATGTCAAATTGTCCCAGGAAAAAGGCAGCGCTCTCCGGAAACGGCAGTGCGGCTTTGCTGCACGAAAGAAGCAGTCGACTCACAGCACCACGCACCTCCCACTCCGGAGCCCGTTACCGGGCTCCTGTACAAGGGAGAGAGCGCTCACGGTGCCCGCTGAGTCCCACGTCCACAGGCTTCATCCGCCTGTGGGTTTTAAGGGTCCCCGCTGCGCCGTAGCGGTAGGACCCAAGCTTCCGTGCAGCGGGTTCCCTTCAACTTGAAGGGAATTCCGCCATTTTCCGGAGGCGCCACCCCGGAAGTCTCCCGAATTAAGTTCTTAACCAGAGGTACCACTGTACTTGCTACATTTGCATACCGCCATCCTGCCAAAACCCTCAAGGACATTTTGCGTTTAAAATACTGGCTTACGATTGCACAAGCCGCTTCTGTGCTTTCCCTCCTGCTCCCACTTACCTGTTGGAAATAGGTGCAGAGCCCTTCAACATCCTCAGGGCAGGCCAGCCCCAGCCAATGAGCCAGCTCCTTTGGCCCTAGCTGTCCTGATGCACCTGCAGGCAAGGAATCCAAATGACCCTTGACTCCCCCTGTTGGGCACCTGCAGGAAGGGGGGGAACCAATAAGGAAAGCAAGGTTTTCACATTTACCGTAACAAGTACAGTCACACCTCATGTTACATTTGCTTCAGGTTGAGTGTTTTCAGGTTGCCATAGGGTTACTTCCGGGTTTTGCTGCTTGTGAATGCGCAGATGCGCAAAATGACATCATGCGCATGCGCAGAAGCGGCAAATCACAACCCACGCAGGCGCAGGCGCGGGTTGCATTCCTTTCAGGTTGCAAACGGGCCTCTGGAACGGATCCCGTTTGCAACCAGAGGTACCACTGTACCCTTCTTTTGGATTTCCCCACATGCTTCACTCTGCCATGGATGATGAGGGGGCATGTCTGCCCGTCGCGAGAGGAGACTGAAGGGAAACGTAGCTGCCATCAGAAAATGGCAACGTGGCATCCTGCGCACCACCACTGCTTCGACCATCATGCTGTGGCTGGCCCTGATGTGGGACCCTCTCATGCACTCTTGAACTAGTGGCTTTCTCCTGCCAGTGATGTACGCCCCTTGCTCTGCGACAGAACATCTGCTTTGCACATAGAAGGTTCTGGGTTCAATTCCCAGCATCTGCAGACAGGGCTGGGAGAGACTGGGGAGCTCTGCCAGTCAGTGTAAACAACACTGAGGTAGATGGACCAAGAGTCTGATATGAGGCATCTTCCTTTGCTTCCTGTGTGTTCCCAGCCCCCCCCCCCGTTCCTTTTTTTTTAGAGAGAACAGACTCATCTAGACCAGTGTTCTTTGGCTCACAGTGGCTTCCCAGGATCTCAAGCCAAGATCTCTCTCAGCCCCTACTTCCTGATCCTTCTAACTGGGGATGCTTGGAGTTGAACCTGCAACCTTCCTGCACACAAATGTGGCCTCTCACCTGGCCTTCCGAAGCGCTTTGCCCAGCTCCCAGATGCGTGGTTCCAGGGCCACTCTCAAGCGCCCCACGACGGTGACTGGAAGGTTGCCCACAAACTCGCAATCTGTAGCTGGGATTCCCAGGGCTCTAGCCAAAAAAAAGGGAGAAGGGGCAAGAGGCAAAGGAGAAGAGAGGGGGGGAAAGGTCTAAGTAGCAAATTGAGGCCTCGCCTGATAAGAGGAGGGGTTTCCCATCAGCTTGCGTCAAGGGCCAATGCTGCAGTCACACTTCCTGCCCACAAACATCCTGATCGTCTCCCCCAGACATTAACCACCAGGGACTTGAACCAGCTGCCTAGGGGTGATGGGGTTTTTCCTGCTAGCAGAAAAGCCTCTCTCTTTCTCTTTATTTTACCTGCTACTTCTTCTTGTTCTGACTACAGCTACCACATTCCCCATTTCCCTCAGGTTTAAATGCTCACAGTCCCTGCGGCTGCTTCTGACACAAGCAGCAGATGTTTCCACAGCGTGAAAAAGTGGAATGGAGGACTTTTGATCGTGTTTGTGCAACCTGTGGGGCTGTAGTGGGGGAATACCCTTGATTTGGGGCCTGGGTCCAGCTTTTTCGCCTCATCTCTTCCACACAGCCACTGCCTCTCCTCCCCATTTCTGGGCCTCTTTGGTCGAATCTGTGCCATACACAGAAAGCACATCGCTTCCCCTCAAAGATTCCTGGCAACTGTAATTCCAAAGATTTCTGGGAACTGTTAAGGGTGCTGTGAATTGTTGAAGGGTCACCTTCACCTCCCAGAATTCTTTGAGGGGGAAGCAAGGACTTTAAACAGAATTCCGCCCCATGCCCAGCCTACCAAAGTCCCTCACTCCCCCAAACTACTAAGACCCGCTCCCTCTCCATACTTACTTGGCCATCACTTTCTGCACATTGTTAGCGTACAGTGTGGGGTTTACAGCCTCCTCAGCGCTGGGCTGATAAACTGGGAGGAACTGAAAATGACAGGAAGAATTATGAGTGCGATCAGGGAGAGATGGCTTGCTGTGGGTCTGATATGCGATTAAGAGTTGTGATGGTCCACGAAACCTCCTAGGAAGGAAAAAAATCACAGCTTTCCCCCTACTTTCTTTCCCCACTCTGCTAGGACTTCCCACCCCCATTTTTCCACTAGGAGAGAAATTTCAGGGAGCCTTTACTTAGGAGTGAGCTCCACTAAAAAGTGGGCCTTGTCTCTGAGTAAACATCCTTACGATTGCTCTGTACATTGCATGCCATCTCCGCTGCTAAATAGTGCATTCTATGCAGTTAAAGTAGTAAAATGAGTTCACCTTTGGCAAATGAGTATTGCATCTATTTCAGTTCCCCTCAAAAGTTCCCCCCTGTTTTCTCTAGGAAAAAAACAGCAGCAAAACATTTCTCCCTCTCTACGGCTTCAAATTTCCCAGAAATTCCCATAATTGCGTATGATAAAAGAGTTATACCATGTTAGTGGTGGGGATGAGGAGTGTTGAAAAACTACTCCCTTCAAAAAGTGGAGAGCGTAGCTAACTGAATCTGAATTTATGGATTCTGACTCTGAATCCTAAAGAGTTCGGGCAATCTGGGACTTAGGAAGCATGGCACAGTAGGGGGCACTGTGTTGCAAAAAAAAAGAGAAGGAAAAAGAGACATTTCCTTACCTCTACTTCCACTGTTGTGCAGGGCTGAGATGCTGTTAACCAGATGACTTTTAACCTGAAAGGACAAAAGTGGAAGGTGACGCTTGGCTACAAACCAAGCCCCCACCGGCCTGCAGAACAAGCATACTCCACCCCACACATCAGTGCACACAATGCTCCAGTATTTTAATATTTTTCTGGAAGCCGCCCAGAGTGGCTGGGGAAGCCCAGCCAGATGGGTGGGTATACCATATTTTTCGCTCTATAAGATGCACAAGACCACAAGACGCATCTAGTTTTTGGAGGAGGAAAACAAGAAAAAAAATATTCTGAATCTCAGAAGCCAGAACAGCAAGAGGGATCGCTGCGCAGTGAAAGCAGCAATCCCTCTTGCTGTTCTGGCTTCTGGGATAGCTGCGCAGCCTGCATTCACTCCATAAGACGCACACACATTTCCCCTTACTTTTTAGGAGGGAAAAAGTGAGTCTTATAGAGCAAAAAATACGGTAAATAATAAATTATTATTATATTATTATTCCAGATTTGACGCCCCCATGTCAATTACTCACACTCCAGGTCCTCTCCATGCCCATGTCGTCGAATCCTATAAAGAAAAGAAGCACTTTTAAAATAATATTTAGGGAGGTTTGTCATGGCCTCGAATTCAGGTGCACAGCTGTACGCATGTGCGGAGGAACTGAAATACAGCCTCTTCAGCTGCCTCACCATCAGTACCTTTAGGAACATCAGAAATGGAACGATGCAAAGCCAAAACATGGGGTCTATATAGCTTAGCACCAACTGATAGTGGTTCTCCAAGGTTTCAGACGGGGAATATTTCCTAGCCCTACCTGAAGATGTCAGTAATGGAAGCTGTTTGATGTTTGATCATCTTGTTAATATTCTGTTGGGAGCCACCCAGAGTGGCTGGGGAAACCCAGCCAGATGGGCAGGGTATGTATACATACATACATACATACATACATACATACATACATACTATCATTATTCCTCAAGCCAATCAGATGTTCTACCCGCCCTTTCCTAATGTTCTTGTAGACTCACCAGAGAGTTTGGGTATCGAATGAGGACTGGCTGGATGGGGACACCAGATATGAAGGCACCTGAGGATGAAGAACACACACCCTCAAGACTTGCTCTTATGTCCTTCGTTTCATTCTTTTCATGTCACTTTTAATCTGTGTACCGCCTTTCTGTATTGCTATACACAAGGCGGTTTTGCGAGCTGAAGAAACAGCAAAATAGATAGCAAAGGCCACACACCTAATAGCAATCTGACCCAATACTGGAAAAATATCTATAATAAAAACGTAACTTAAAAATAAACAACTTAAAATAAAGCAATATTAAATAATCCATTGGAATATAATAGTAAAGAGAAAACTTAAATGTCTACAAATTAAATTATTATTTACACTTAACACGTAAATGTCTGCAAATTAAATTATTATTTACACTTACACAGTTTACATTTAAGATTACAGTCGTACCTTGGATTTCAAATGCCTTGGCTCCCGAACAGATTGGCTCCCAAACAATTGAAACCCGGAAGTGAGTGTTCCAGTTTTCAAACGATTTTCAGAAGCTGAACATCTGGCGCAGATTCCACAGCTTCTGATTGGCTGCAGGATCTTCCTGCAGCCTTTTCAGAAGCTGTGCTTTGGTTTCCAAATGTTTTGGAAGTCAAACTTCCTAGGTACGACTGTACAATAAAGAATTGCTAAACTGCCAAGAAAACTCCATGGACAAAAACCATGAGCTTGACCAAACTGCGGGAGGCAGTGGAAGACAGGAGTGCTCTGGTCCATGGGGTCACGAAGAGTCGGACACGACTAAACAACTAAACAACAACAAACTACAGTGGTACCTCGGGTTACATACGCTTCAGGTTACAGACTCCGCTAACCCAGAAATAGTACCTTGGGTTAAGAACTTTGCTTCAGGATGAGAACAGAAATTGTGTTCCAGCGGCGCGGCAGCAGCAGGAGGCCCCATTAGCTAAAGTGGTGCTTCAGGTTAAGAACAGTTTCAGGTTAAGAACGAACCTCCGGAACGAATTAAGTACTTAACCCGAGGTACCACTGTATAATCAATGAAAATAACAGCAAGTCATCCTATGGGTGGCTGAAGGTAAACCCAGGCTGTGCCCCCATTTTTGCTGAATTGTCTGCCCAGTGTGAATGAGAGGAGCATAGCTGTCAACGTTTCCCTTTTTAAAAGGGAAATTCCCTTATTCTGAATAGGATTCCTCGCAAGAAAAGGGAAAAGTTGACAGCTATGGAGAGGAGTAGAGTTCCTACCTCATCTAAAATGCCCTGCACCCACTTCTGTTCACAGGCTCATCCGCTCAACTCCCCACAGCCTCTTACCTGGTTTAAACTTCAGTAAGGCTTTCTTGTTTGAGCAGGTTCCCTCTGGGAAAAAAAGTACCTGCAAACAAGAGAAGGGGAAATAAAGTGGATTATCTTACTCAGGGACCCAAACCGGTAACTCAGGAATGCAAACTGCAGCTCCTGTAAAAACCTTACTTGCGGCCATTTCCCCTGGGAAGTTGCCCGTTTCTTCACTTCCTCCACTACCTTCTTGCGAGAAGCCGGATCGTGACGCGAGACCAGGATGGCCTGGTTAAACCTCAGCAGGGCTGGTGGGGGTGGAAGAGAAAGAGAAACGGGATTCAGAAGAGCAGGGTGGACTTAGGGGCATCCCTGGGTCATCGCCAGACACCTCAATCCTGGTAATGGGCCTAAGGAAGCTTTCCCTAAATCTGAAATCGCTGTGGCGATCTGAATGAGTGCTTCATATGAAGAGCCCAGCTGGATCAGACCAAAGGCCCGTTTAGCAGAGCTGCCCAGCTTCCCCAGAAGTCTTGTTTTATTTTAATGAACTTATTTAAGATCTCTGGTCCACCCTTAGCCACTAGGTCCCAGGGGAGGTCATGGTGACACAGTCATATATTTATTCTTTAAAAGCAAAACAATGTATTAAAATTACACACACAATAAAACAAACTTGTTCCAACCTGAACAGTATAGATTCAACAAAAGAAGCACATCCCAGTACAGTGGTACCTTGGTTCTCGAATGTGTCCAATGCGGCTTCCGATTGAGTGCAGGAAGCTCCTGCAGCCAATCGGAAGCCGCGTCTTGATTTCTGAATGGTTCCGGGAGTCGAACGGACTCCCAGAACGTATTAAGTTTGACAACCGAGGTACCACTGTAAATACTTTACTGTCGAAGTAATCTTCAAGTTAGAAGGCAGGAGATTCCGATTAAACATCAGGAAGAACTTTTCTGACAGCCGGAGCTGTTTAACAGTGGAACGGTCTGCCTCGGAAGTTGGTGGACTCTCCAGGTCGCCACTTTCCATGCTTCTGGCAGTGGCAGAACTGCCAAGAGAGCTGGCCAATGGTATTCATAAGCACTGCTGCCTCTGACTGTGGAGGCAGAGCACAGCCATCATGGGTAGCAGCCATTGAATTGGTCTCCAATTTCTCCATGAATTGGTCCAATTCTCTTTTTCGAGCCTTCCAAGTTGGTGGCACACAGTGTGGTCTCAACACCTGAGAGAGTCTCATGGAGGTGGTCCCATCGAAAGCCCACCAGCGAGGCAGGAAGGGGATGTCCACCGGCCACCGTTGTTTCTCAGCCTCTTGTTTATTATTATATGGTGCTTTACTGACACAAACGTTACGAGACATTCTTGATTTCCCAAGCACCTTTCCCTCCTAAGCCACCCAGTCTGCTGAAATTAAAGTCTTTGCCATCAAAGCTTCGACACGAACATGGAGTTATCTAACAGTAAAAACCACCCCCTTGCCAACCCCCCTCCCCAAACCCTGAAAAAGTTGAGATTTGGGGAGAATCAGATGAGTGAGTATACAAAAGTATCTTAAAGTGAGGGCCAAACAAATGGTTACAGGGGAGCCACATGCATTCATTCATGTATCTGCTGTGTTTACATTTAAAGGCCTTTCTCTGGACACTTCCCTGAACAGGAAATGGGAAGATCAAACCAACCTTCCTCACCTCACCTGAATATGCTTTGTAATTTGAAGCGCTCCCCCACCCCCAATCCCAGGAATGAGACTGCAAATTAGCTGGACTGAGGAGAAATTTGCTTCAGTAGGAATGACACGGGGCAGGACAGCACATAGGATTTATTCCTGCTAACCCATACACATCATTTCATGAAAAAACGAGGCTTCAGCCCATCCTCGGTAATAAAATGCTAGGAGATGAGAGAGCCGATATGGGTGTAGCATTTACAATGTTGACTTAGGTATGGGAAGACCTGGGCCCCATCTGCACTACACATTTGGAACGATATCGTGCCACTTTAAACAGCCATTATTTTCCCCAAGGAATCCTGGGAAATGTAGTTTACCAAGTGCTAATAGACCCCCCTATTCCCCTCACAAAGTGGTGCTACAGCCAACCGCTTTTGCTAGAACACTCTAGAAATCACAGCTCTGTGAGGAGAATCAGGGTCTCCTAACAACTCTGTGCAGGGGTGCCAACTTGAATAAAATATGGGGTGGGGACAGGTAAGCCTCACCCCACATAACCGATCACATGACATGGCACACACATGCCATTTGAATGGAAACTTTGAGGTGGGCGGCCTCCTCAAATATTTTATTGGGGGGTGGGCAAAGGAACCTCGGTCCTTAGGAGTTTGCTCCTATGGCTCTCAGCATCCTTAACAAACTACAGTTCCCAGAATTCTTTGTGGGAAAGTCTTGGCTACCGAAAGTGGCATGATAAGAGCTTCAAATGTTGAGTTCAGATGGGGTCCTCATTTCAGAGTCATCGCTCCGAGAGGGCTGCAGAGCAACCTCTTCCCGCCTTGCAAGGCTGCCCCATTCCCTTCACTCCCCACGGCCCTGGTCTGTTGTGCTGGAGTCACTCACCTCCAATGACGGGCACGTGGAGATTCTCGGTGCGAGAGACCACCTTAGGGAGGTCGCAGGGCAGCAGGATGATGGGGTCAAAGAAGGTTGAGTGAGGTGCGGCCACCAGGATGGGAGCTTCCAGCCGCGAAGCCCTTTGACCCCGGACCCGTATCCTCATGAAACCCAGCAAGAAGAACATCAGGCGGCTCAGGAAGTAGACAGAACCGTGAGAAACTGTGCTGAAAAGGGGGGAGAAATGGGGAGGCAGGAAACAAAAGGAAGGGGCATTAGGAGAGCCAAGCACAGCAGGGTCCAAAGGGCCAGGCAACCCATGGAGCGGGGCCCACTACTTACTTTCTCCAACCGGAGAAGGGCTCCTGGAGGGTCTCCTCCGGCAATCCCACCACCTGGAGCAGCGCAAAGGGCCAGATGAGGAACAGGACCACGAAGGCCAGAGCGACACGGATTGGGGCCAGCACAGCTCCCAGCACATAGAACTGCAAAGAGACAAAGTCAGAGGGAGGCACATCATAAGAAGGCAGCCCAGGTCAAGTCCCTTGTGTTGGGCTGTTTTTAGGAGAATGTAAGAAAATCGTAAGACTGTAGGGAGCACCAAGAGGTCCTAAAGACCAGTCTCAGGTCAGCCTCTCTCCCTGCATGAGGAACCCGCCTCAGGGATAGCCATCACCTTAAGTCTGGGGCATAGATAGGGTGGGCGTGGGGGTGTAATATTAATATGCTTATTAAAATGTCCAGATCTAAAATTGTAAAAATTGAATAATTATGGGGGGGGGGGGCTTTGCTCTGTTGCTTGTTGATTACATACATAAAAAGGATGACAATACACAACATTGTGAAATACACTTGAAAAAGTAAACAAAACAAAAAAAAGGAATTAGAAACTGCAAAACCCTCTGGGATGCAGAGGGTGCTAAAAGCAAACTCAAAAAGACTTCTGAATTTATTTTACTCAAGAATTTCAATGCCACATTTTGAAACAAGGCATTTCCCCAAGAGGGCTCTCAGTTATTATTATTATTATTATTATTATTATTATTATTATTTAGAATCATTTCCACACCGCTTAATATTTTAAAAATCTGTTTAAATACAACATAAAACAAGACAATTGTATAGTAACACTGAGATACCAAAAAGGAAAAAGAAAAGCAGCATTATAACAGGAATTCAATAACAACAGGGTCAAATCTTGTGGGTCCAGGGAAAGCCTGGGCAAAAAGATACAGTGGTACCTCTAGTCGCGGACTTAATCCATTTTGGGGTGCCGTTTGCACCCCGAAAAGTCCGCAACTAGAGTGCCTCTTTTGTGCATGTGCATGGCACGATCGAGCGCTTTTGCGCATGTGCAAAGCGCGCAGATCACTTCTGCGCATGCATGAAGTACACAGATCGCTTTTGCGCATGCACGTGTGGCGAACCTGGAAGTAAACACTTCTGGGTTTGCCGCATTCATAAGCTGAAAGTCCGTAACAAGAGCGGAACGCAACTAGAGGTACCACTGTACATCTTTACAAGACGGCTGAAGTAGGGTAACTGGTGGATGATGTTTAGCGTGGAAAAAGCTGAACCATGAGCCCAGGATCAGTTGACATTCAAAGCCAAACCATGGCTTAGATCAGTGCAGTGGAGGGAGAAACAAATTGGCTGCAATCTCCTCTCCAGGAACCTGCTAGCTCACACTAAACTATGGTTCGGCTTTGCATTACACACAACTTGGGCCTTACAAGTGGCTGACCCAGCTAGCTGATACCAGAAGAGCTCACAGCCAAGGGGCAGGCAGGCAGGTTCAAACCGGTGCCAGTGTTGGTGGGCAGCTGCCGGGGCACTTGGCTCCTAGCAGCCACCCAAGGGTGCTGAGTGCTGCCGCCAGCCCAGCTCAGGCATCTGACCTCTCATTAACAAAACCATCCTTGTTTCACTTTGCGAGCCCTCTGCGCTCAACGTGCCATAGGAAATTATTTCTAATAATATCTCATGCTCCGACTTGCAGGCAGGCTGTGCGGTTGGCATCGAGTTAGGCTAATCACGTGTACTCTGCAGGGACCACCAGCCCCGATTTGCACGGATTACAGCCCCGGCAAAACGGTGGCATCTGCCAGGGCACATGTTAGATTTATTCAGTGTCCTGATGGTGAGCCGTACTGCCAGCCCGGCTTTTTTCATCTGTCCCTTTGGAACCCGGTAATGACTGGATTTCAATCCTTCCTTCTCTTTGGCCTGATTCTGTGCTTGCTGACAAAAGGACAATCCACAGAGCCTCATGAAAACTGTCTGTCTGAGCGAGCGATTCCACATTTTGCAAACAGAGAAGATGAATTCTGAAATCCGGTCTTAGTTATTCAATTTAAGAAGAGTTTCCAGGATATTTGCTTAGCATAAAAATGTATTCTGCATCTGCTTTCTCAACCTGCCCTCCCGCTACCAGTTTGTGAGATACGTGCTCAGCCACACACTCCAAAGTGTTTCTCTGAAGTCTTAAGGTCTGGAGACTTACTTCTGTTTAACAAAATAGCAACAAAACTTGAAGCAGAGATTCTCAAGATGTTGAATTTGCTATGCACAACAACAAATTCCACACTTCCGGGGCACAATCATGGAACTAATGATTTGTGTGTTGGTGGTGTGTGTGTGTGTGTGTGTGTGAGAGAGAGAGAGAGAGAGAGAGAGAGAGAGAGAGAGAGGAGAGTCTGTAGAGTCCCTAGTGATTGTTGTAATGCTATAAAATAACACTGCAAAACTGGGTTCAGAATTTCTGCAATAACTCCAGTCTTCAGTGCAGGGTGGAATGTTTAGCTAATTAATTGGCTAGATGAAAACTCCATGAAAACCCTTTCAATTAACTCTGATAAAAGCATTCTTGATTAAAAGGGCAGCACATTTTTTATATAATTGTTTCTAATAAAAGAACTTTAAAAATCTGTAGGTGGCAGGCTCCATCACTGAAAAGGCACCCCCCCGCCCCGCCCCTGAAAACACCCTATTTCACATAAGATGGCATGCATCTTCTAAGATAGCTCCCACTGTGACAAATACGTACATCCTTTATTAACAAAGTGGGGGGAAACAAAATGCTTATTCCATTAATATGTTTATGTAAATAAACTTAACTGATTTAGCATGCAGTCCTATATGTGTTTACTTTGAAGTATATTTGATTGTGCCTAATAGGTCTTAAATCCTGTGATCCTCTGCAAACTTACTAGGAAGTGAACCCCCATGTGGAGCTTACTTTTGAGGAGGAAACATAGGCTCACTCTAGAATTTACTGGTAAAGCAACCATCCCATGCACATTTATTTGAACCCAGTAGGACTTGGTGCTTTTAAAGTAGATGTATTCTGCAACATGTCACTGACACACCAGTATAACCTACAATTGTCCTGGGCAAACCAAAACATACTGTTTTTTCCCGCGACAGCACGGCGGCCAATTTAGGAGCTGTGCTCTCGCGCAATTTCGGGATGCAATCTCACCCCCCCAAAAGTGATTTTCCAGGGCTGCAATCTTGTGCAGCACCCCAAACTGTGTGTTTGGGGCACTGTGCCCAGAAAAAGTGCTTTTATCGGGGCCTCAATGTCACACAAGTGTGCTGCCCCGGAAGATAGCATCCCGGTTTTTCTGTGTGCCGCGTTGGACGATATGCAATAGTAGTGAATTAGGGGTGGATTTATACTGGAGGGTCCACACAGTGTTCCCTGTTGTTTCTTGTTCTGCAATCCTTCCTCAACCTCAATGCACTATTGCTGCCTAGAGGATCACTCCTGCGGTGCTATTGCGCATTAAAAGCGGCACCAAAAAATAAACTGGAGCACTTGTGGTATGAAAAGTTACAGGGATTCAGCAGGGAGTTATGGGGACATGCACTGAGTAGAAGCAAAGCGTCACGTCCTCCCTGAAACCTCTGCAGGACCAAATGCTATTGAAAGCAGGGTCATGTCTAGCCACTCTGATACTATCATGAGCACAAATAATCATGAATGCACAACGGAAAGAATGTCTGGAGGGAGCTCTTGCTTCTGGAATGCATTGCTGACAACCATAATAATAATAAATAAAATATACATATACAGTGGTACCTCAGGTTACATATGCTTCAGGTTACATACGCTTCAGGTTACATACGCTTCAGGTTACAGACTCCGCTAACCCAGAAATAGTGCTTCAGGTTAAGAACTTTGCTTCAGGATGAGAACAGAAATTGTGTTCCAGCGGCACGGCGGCAGCAGGAGGCCCCATTAGCTAAAGTGGTGCTTCAGGTTAAGAACAGTTTCAGGTTACAAATTAAGTACTTAACCTGAGGTACCACTGTAGTTTTAGCTCATGGGTCGGCAAACTAAGGCCCGGGGGCCAGATCCAGCCCAATTGCCTTCTCAATCCAGCCTGCGGACGGTCTGGGGATCAGCATGTTTTTACATGAGTAGAATGTGTGTTTTTATTTAAAATGCATCCCTAGGTTATTTGTGGGTCATAGGAATTCATTCATTTCCCCCCCCAAAATATAGTCTGGCCCCCCACAAGGTCTGAGGGACAGTGGACAGGCCCCCTGCTGAAAAAGTTTGCTGACCCTTGTTTTAGTTCCATGCACTTATACAGAGACACTCTTTGTTTTCATGGCAGTTGTCCCTTGTTCCCTGCAAACACGTGGCTGGAAGGCGGGACAAGCAACCAGGAAAGGAGCATTGTATTTTTCTGCATTGCACTTAAGATGGGTATGTCATTATCTTAGGCAACCTGTGCTTTCCAGGGATCCAAGACAAGACATATACTTACAAGGCAAAGCCAAAGTAGCATCCAGATTCCCTGCCCCCACAGAGACTAAATTAGCTTGCTTTTCTCCATACAAACCCCACTCAATACAGACACAGAGCATGAACCGAGTGGCCAGGCACGCGAGACAGTTTTGGCGGAAATGCACCCAAGCCCCACAACAGCCAAATGGTATAAAGTTTGTGAAGAATGAAACGGAAAGGAAGAGGGCAAAAGGAAGAGGCAGGATGTTGCTTAAAAACAAGAAGAACCTTTCCGTTCAAGTCTGTCTCTCCCGATATGTCTACTGACAAAGACACCATTGCAAACTGCACGAATGGTGTCGCGTCGAGCTATGGCCCTGAGGCTGCAGTTCTCCGCACCACTAACCTGAGGGTAAGCACCCCCTGAACGCAGTGGGATCCAGCCCGCGCTCAGCACGTGCAGCAGAGCAGGATGATACAATGGACTGCACCACTGAAACTGCAGCTGACAGGTCACATTTTTTTTATGCTTCCCTGCACTGCTCACAGACTCTCCTATAAGCAGAAAACCCACACAGGGCAGAGCTAGTGTTTTTCTCTCTTCAGCTTGCAGGGAATTGTTGCTGGGGGAGGGGAGGATGTTTAAACTCAGTTCTCCACCTGAAAGCCAAAGTGGTACATTGTTGTTTAGTCGTTTAGTCGTGTCCGACTCTTTGTGACCCCATGGACCAGAGCACGCCAGGCACTTCTGTCTTCCACTGCCTCCCGGTACAGTTCACTCTATAACCTTGAGACTTTGCCACAGAACTTTCCAAACTTTTCGTGTTGGTGACACACTTTTTAGACACACATCATTTCGCAATACAGTGGTACCTCGGGTTAAGTACTTAATTCGTTCCGGAGGTCCGTTCTTAACCTGAAACTGTTCTTAACCTGAAGCACCACTTTAGCTAATGGGGCCTCCTGCTGCCGCTGCGCCTCTGCTGCACAATGTCTGTTCTCATCCTGAAGCAAAGTTCTTAACCTGAAGCACTATTTCTGGGTTAGCGGAGTCTGTAACCTGAAGCGTATGTAACCTGAAGCATTTGTAACCTGAAGCGTTTGTAACCCGAGGTACCACTGTACAGTGGTACCTCGGATTACAGACGCTTCAGGTTACAGACTCCACTATCCCAGAAATAGTGCCTCGGGTTAAGAACTTTGCTTCAGGATGAGAACAGAAATCGTGCAGCGGCGGCAGCGGGAGGCCCCATTAGCTAATGTGGTGCTTCAGGTTAAGAACAGTTTCAGGTTAAGAACGGACCTCCAGAACGAATTAAGTTCTTAACCTGAGGTACCACTGTATAGCAATTCAGTTTTACTAGCAAACCGGAGGTTAAACTAACCCCTTTCCAACTCTGGGAGGAGAACAGGGAGCCTTCGTACACTGCAGCCGACACACTAACATGTTGTGACACACAGTTTGGAAAGCTCTGCTTTACCACCTCATTCTGCCAGGACGAAGGGTGGGAAAGCCCGAAATCAGCGAAGGCTGGTCCATTAGGGCAAATTGGGCACTGACACACTGCAGGACTAGTTTTCATTTAGTAATGCTGAAGTAACAGTATGTACGTTGCTCAGTGAACTGCCGTTTTGCACTATTAAGTATGAATCAAAAGTGAAAACATGAAAGGGGGCTCCAGTTTCAGCTTGGGAGTCAGAAGTGGGTCTAGGTCTGGAACAGTTGAACAAGGCCAGTATAGTGCAGTGGTTAAGAGTGGCAGACTAGGACTTGGGAGACCCGGGTTCAAATCTCCACTCAGCCATGAAGCTCACTGGGTGACTTCCGTTCACCCTAACCTACCGCATAGGGTCGTTGTGGGAATTAAATGAGGAGGGGGAAGGACCATGTATGCCACTTTGAGCTCCTTGGAGAAAAAGGTGGGGTAGAAATGCAATAGAACCATAGAATCACCGAGTTGGAAGGGACGCTGAAGGTCATCTAGCTCAACCCCTTGCAATGCAGGAGACTTTTGCCCAACAGGGGGTTCAAACTCACGTTCCTGAGATTAAAATTCTAATGCTCTACTGACTGAGCTATTCCAGCAATAAATATATTAACTCATCTTTACCCTTGGTCATACTGGTTATAGAGTTGGGAGTACATAACCTTTTGAGTGGGGGGGAGCAAGTTGGCAAGGACTACTTTATTCAATTCTCTTTTAAAAAATCAGCCAGTTGCAAAGATTACCGTAACCTCTTTATAAGGTAAACGTAAAGGACCCCGGACAGCTAAGTCCAGTCAAAGGCGACTATGGGTTTGAGGTGCTCATCTTGCTTTCAGGCCGAAGGAGCCGGCGTTTATCCACAGACAGCTTTTTGGGTCATGTGGCCAGCATGCTTCTGGCACAACGGCACACCGTGATGGAAACTAGAGCACACGGAAACGCCGTTTACCTTCCCGCCACAGTGGTTCCGATTTATCTACTTGCACTGGCGTTCTTTTGAACTGCTAGGTTGACAGAATCTGAGACAGAGCAATGGGAGCTCACTCTGTCAAGGGGATTCGAACGGCCAACCTTCTGATTGGCAAGCCCAAGAGGCTCTGTGGTTTAGACCACAGCGCCACCCGTGTCCCTTTTAACCTCCTTATAACGGGACCTTGGGAAGGGTTTGGAACGGAACACAAAACAGCTTCCCTGTGGAGTCTATATTGTTTTAGAATTGCCTTTTCCTTTCCCTATGACGATAATCAGCGAGAGGGTGGGGAAACCCCAAAATTAAAATAAATAAATAAAGGAGCAGCCTTAAATTGTGAGTCTGCAAATTAAAATGTGCCCATCCGTTAACTAGCATAGGCTGGCCAGCCCACTATTAAAAGAATCAGGCTAATATTGTGTGATCGCACCGGCGGCTGTTCTCACAAACCAGCCGCAGGAGGAAACAACCCTACCCCGTGTCCCAGTGGCCGTTGCTCTGGAATTCCTGGCTTGCAGAGAAGCTGGTCCCACTCTGGACTCCCCTCTCGGGCCTCTCTGGACATAAATACCCCCCAAAGAACTTGCGCTGCACTGACCGCTAGTAACCTTTCCCCTGGGAAGTGCCTGCATTGTTTACGGGAAGGAGGGAAGGAGCCTGCGAGGGCTGAAGGATGGGAAGGGGAAATGAGGGGAAGCTTGGAGGGGGCAACGGGAAGGCATGCGGGAGAAGTAGGCATGGAATGGTACCAGGGCTGCAGGACAGTGGGCAGATCTGCAGCAATAAATCTGGCAGGAGACAGGTGTGTTTGTGTGTAAGAGGAGGCGCTCGGTAAAATCTACAGCGTGTGTTCAATGGAAGAGCAATCTTCGGAAAGGAGCAGGTGGCAAATAAGCATTCAGCAAGGCAGAAGCAGCACGGGCGGAGGATAAATAAAGCCGTGCTTTTCCAAATGTCAGACAACACGCAGAAATCGTTATTTAATAAAAGGAGAGGAACGCTTAACAGCCCCCCCCCCGGGTTTTACTTTTAGAGTATGAAAAAGAAAGAATTTGCCGTTCTCAGTGGAGCCATGCTTCTGTATGTGTCCTGAGTGAGGTCCCCTGAATGGGTAGAGATGAGCCTAGGGCAGTGACTCATACAGGGTTGCATCAGGCAGACTCTTCCATGAATGGGCTTTTCTGAGGCCACTGCTACATTGGGTTTGACCAAGTGACCTAGTCACACCTAGTGCAAATGCAGACAAAAATAAAAGGAATAAATCGTTAAGAGATACAGTGGGCAGCCTCCTTTGTGGAAGAGGTCACAAGGGTGTTAAATTATAATCCCTGACTGCTATTGACTAAAGGGGGTGTATTGTTTTGTTGTTTTTGTTTTAACTATTTACTTGTGTTTTAATTTTGTATTTTTACCCTGTGAACCACCCTGAGATCTTGTCGTGAAGGGCAGTATTTAAATCTAATAAATTATTATTATTATTATTATTATTATTATTATTATTATTATTTCAATGGGCCTACTCTAAGAGAAGACTCCCTGGAAAAAACCCTGATGTTGGGGAAGATGGAGGGCACAAGGAGAACGGGACGACAGAGAACGAGATGGTTGGACGGTGTTCTCGAAGCTACCAGCATGAGTTTGACCAAACTGCGGGAGGCAGTGGAAGACAGGAGTGCCTGGCGTGCTCTGGTCCATGGAGTCACAAAGAGTCGGACACGACTAAACGACTAAACAACAACAGCAACTCTAAGAATGGCTAAGCCTGGACCCAAGCCCGAGTTATACGATACAAACTGTCCACAAGAGCTCAATCCCTAAATCAGGACAGGAGTGAGGAACTTTTTTCATCCTGAGGGCCACATGGCAGTGGTGGGTGGAGCCAAGGGCCAAAGGGGCAGGACCAGGGGTACGTGGCGCAATGGATGCGACTCTTAACCTGTGTACCAGGGATGAGAAATGTGGCACCCTGCAGACATTGTTGGACTACATCTCTTATCATCCCAGACCCGTGGTTATGCTGGCTAGAGGCTGATGGGAGTTGGGAGTCCAGCAACCTCGAGAGCAGGATTTCCCAAACTTGGGTCTTGCTGGACTACAACTCCTATCGTCCCTAAGTATAGCAGGGCCAGTAGTCAGGGATGATGGGAATTGTAGTCCAAAAAAACAGCTGGAGACTCAAGTTTGGGAAATACGGATCTAAAGGCTCACAGCTTCTCTATCTTCACTTTGTGCAACGGCTGACATTCCAGGCAAACAAATGTCTTTCCTCTCTCTTCTAAACAAACCCGTCCCTATCCTCCCATCCAGAAAAGCAAGAAGAGTTACTTAAAGTTCAAGGACACTTTTCAGTCAGGCCAAAGCACTTGGGGAGGATGTGGAGGAGGACCAGTGAGGGGGGGGGGCATGGTCTGGGAGCATCCTGAGGGCCTGATAAATACTGTATTTTTCGCTCTATAAGACGCACCAGACCACAAGACGCACCTAGTTTTTGGAGGAGGAAAACAAGAAAAAAAATATTCTGACTCTCAGAAGCCAGAACAGCAAGAGGGATCGCTGCGCAGTGAAAGCAGCAATCCCTCTTGCTGTTCTGGCTTCTGGGATAGCTGCGCAGCCTGCATTCACTCCATAAGACGCACACACATTTCCCCTTACTTTTTAGGAGGGAAAAAAGTGAGTCTTATAGAGCAAAAAATATGGTAAGTCTCGAGGGCAGCATTCAGTCTCTGAGCCTGAGGACCCCCACCCTAAATACTTGCTATGGAACCCCTAAACACTGCAAAGGATTCTAAAGCAGTGGTCCCCAAACTTAAAATTTACACACCCCATCTAAAAATTGTGGAGCGTCTGTGCAGACCACTGAACTATTTCTTCTTCTTTTTTTGCCTGTTGTAGCAAATCATAACATGCTGTGCTAGATGCTATATGATTTTCAATTACAGTGGTACCTCGGGTTACATACGCTTCAGGTTACAGACTCCGCTAACCCAGAAATAGTACCTTGCGTTAAGAACTTTGCTTCAGGATGAGAACAGAAATGGTGCTCCGGCGGCGCAGCGGGAGGCCCCATTAGCTAAAGTGGTGCTTCAGGTTAAGAACAGTTTCAGGTTAAGAACAGACCTCCGGAACGAATTAAGTACTTAACCTGAGGTACCTCTATATGTTTTTTATTGTCTTTTATATATTGCATTTTATTGAATTCCACAGAATTCGGATTTCAATGCAACAAAATAAATAAAAGAAGCAATCAAAAATCAGTATGTATATTAAATGCAATGGGTGTGCTCTCTCTCCTGCCTTCAGCCACGAATCCACAGACACTCCTCAGACCACCTGAAGGAAGCTTGCGGAACGCGGTTTGGAAGCGCCTGTTCCAATGTGCACCGCTCTTTCATAGTCCCATATATGGACAGAAAAGCATCAGGAATGACCTTGCTTTGAGTTGGATTTCTAAACTGGAGGTCTCCAAACCGCCTGAAAATGTTGACATGCGCAGCTTCTTCCCGGTGGTAAATAAGGTCTCATTTCATGCCTTCCGGCACTGCACAGATCCCAAAGAAGGGGTTTTTTAAAAAAGGCAGCAGTAAACTGTGAATGTGGGTAGGGACAATGACTCAGGGATCTCGTTTCTGTTTGGATTGCAGGGAGGTCAAGAAGGGGAGAGAGAATAGGATGTGAGTCAAGCAGGTTTAAGCTATTACATTCCTTTGTTTTGAAGTGGTTTTCTTCCCGCTCCACCCCACATGTTCAAGGCAGGAATGGGAAACAAGAAGAGAACTGGGCATTTTCTCTCTCCTTCATAATGCTAGAATGAGCATTCAGCATTGCCTTCCATGGCTGGCCTGCTGAACTTCCAGCATCTACTGAAAACTTTTTAAGAAATCCCATTCATTCATTCATTATTAGTTGCTTGTAACCCGAAGGCAACTAAGAAGATAAAGTGAAAAAAGAAAAAAGACATACAGTACTGTACATAATATCTTAGGAGGGAAAGTGTGTGTGTGTGTGTGTGGGAAATAATATAACACATTAATGTTTCATATAACGTAACATCAATTTAGGACGGGGGTGGCGCTGTGCCGCTTGGGCTTGCCGATCAAAAGGTTGGCGGTTCGAATCCCCGTGACGGGGTGAGCTCCCGTTGTTCGGTCCCAGCTCCTGCCAACCTAGCAGTTCGAAAGCACACAGTGCAAGTAGATAAATAGGTACCGCTCCGGTGGGAAGGTAAACGGCATTTCCGTGCACTGCTCTGGTTTCGCCAGAAGCGGCTTAGTCATGCTGGCCACATGACCCAGAAAAACTGTCTGCGGACAAACGCCAGCTCCCTCTGCCTTTAAAGCGAGATGAGCGCCACAACCCCAGAGTCGTTCGCAACTGGACTTAATTGTCAGGGGTCCCTTTACCTTTTAACATCAATTAATGAAAACTCCATACTCAAATAATAAACAAAGCAATAATCACACCCATTAATTAAGAAATAAACAAAAGCAAACGAAACCTCAACACACAACCCCCCTGTCCAGTGGGCATGCTAAATGAAATTCTGATTTTATAGATTTGACAGGTTTTTATTTGCATTGTATGGCACTCCCTGTATGCTGCTAAGAGACGGATGTGTTTAAGCAGTATATAAATTGTCTAAATAAACCAACCAATCAGGAACCATCCAATGAAACTCACTAGCGGGAGCTTTGAGACATATTTCCTAACACATCACAGAGTTCATAGATGGAACTCACTGCCACAAGATGAGAGAAGCAAGCAAAGGCAAAACCTCCCTCAGGCCTTAGCAAGAGTCCGGGCAGCTAGGCAGTAAACAGGTAGGAGCAGTTGCATTTCAGTCTATGGGCCAAGGGCAGATGCGTAGTCAAAGCCACGCATGGGCCAAGATCGAAGGCGATGTTCTAATACCAGAGACTATGAGTCCCTTTGGACTGTTACTATTTTGTGGAAGGGATTCAAGCACAAACCGAAAATTTAGATCAATGTAATGAAAGTGGGTTAAAGGGCCCTGTCGCCTTAGCGCAACAAATTCACTTTTTGAAAAAATGAACCAGACTTCAGCTGTTTACAGTGGTCTCTCAAACAAATTAAAAAGTTAGTCCAGTCTTTTAAGAATACTTGGTCTTCCTGGTTTCTGATCTTTCCCCCCACCCCACTCAATTCAGGAGCTCCCCAGACCCTCCAGAATGGCTTTTCAGGGCTGCAAGAATAATAGACTTAGAATTGCAGAGTTGGAAGGGACCCCAAGGATCAGCTAGTCATCTAGTCCTGCAGTGCAGGGATCTCACTAAAGCATCCATGACAAATGGCCATACAACCCCTGCTTAAAAGCCTCCAAGGAAGGGGACTCCACAACCTCCCGAGGTAGACAGTTCCACTGTCGAACAGCTCTTACTGTCAGAAAGAAGGTGTACAGTAAAAGAAATATTCCTCCCTGAACTTCCTTAACTAACCATCCACACCATTTAAGGTGCATTTATAGCACATCAACAGTCACAGCTTCTCTCAAGCAATCCTGGGAACTATAGTATGCACCCACAAAGCCCGGTGCCCCTAACAAACTACAGTTCCCAGAGTTCATTTGTGGGAAGCCATGTGCACAGTGTGGGTGTGAGACACTCTCCAGGCTTGAGATCAAGCACTCTAAATATGGCAGGAACTGATCACATAGGGCTTTGTTATCATGGGCTTGATACTGGGGACTCACAAATCATTGCACCTTCCGGCACTGGGAGATATTTCCTGCCTGGGCAGAACTTGCATGCTCCCATTTTTTTTAAAAAAAATGTCCTTCAACCAGAATCCTGCAGTTTCCTCAGTTCTCAAATTGTGAATATTTACTCTCTGTAAGCAGACAAGGACGTTTCCTTTATGTCTTCTGAACGCATAAAACAAGCAGCTTTCCCCTTGATTCGGGGCCCTTTGTCTCGAAACAGACAAAAGCTTCAGGGAGTTGTTTCTTTTTATGGTTTAGCTACTCTGGATTTCGGTTTGCATAGCAGGAGTGTGACTCAGTATGGGAGAAATGAAAGAGGAAGTCTGCTCTCTGTCAGTGCACCTTCTCCTTGCAATTTCACCTGCATATTTAACTGTCAACGGTCTTTAGGGATTAGATTAACCAATCAATATGCATCTTTTTAAAAATAAAAATAAGAATATATATGGATTACCGTTGGAAAACTTGATTTAAACCGGCTTCTCCCTCATTTAGTGATTTGAATCATAATCTAAATCGCCGATTTAATTCAGTCCCCGCCCTGCTACCCTTCAGTGCTGAACAGCATCCACAGGAAGGCCTGACAGACTGAGGATTTAGAACGAAACAGGACCTTCCAGGTCACACAATAAATGGCTCCCAGGCAGATCGGCATCCCAGCAGCTGTTCATTTTGGAAATTAAATCAAAACTCCCAGGATGAAGCAGGCGAGAAGTGAAAGCCAGAAGGAGAGACTGGATCAGGCCAATGATCCAGTGCAGCGCCCTCTTCCAACAGTGGGGTGGATCCACATCTCATCATATTTAGTGTCAACCTGCTGAAATTAAATGAAGCTTTCTTTCAATCACTTGTGTATCTAGCTCAGTACTGTCTACACTGGCTGGTAGCAGCTGCCCAGGATTTTAGACAGGGCTCTCCCCCACCCAGGGATGCCACAGACCAAACCTGGGAACATAGAAATACAAAGCAGATTCTCCGCCACTGAGCCACGGTCCTCGTTACGCCATGGTACTGCACCTATAGTTGGCAAAGGCAGCTGGTTTCAATGGGTCTACTCCGAACACAACTAATCTGGATCCAACCCAGTGACTCCCAGTCCGGACATGGAATGCAATGGTTCCCTTCCTGTTTTTTTGTCTCCCCTGGAATAGGTATTTGGAGGTAGACTGCTTTCGAACACGAAGTCTCCATTTAGCCATCCTGGCTAGCAGCTTTTGGCTGACCAACCCTCCTCAACAAATTTGCATCCTCCCCTTTTGAGACGGATCCAGAACAGCAGGGAGTTCCACAAAAACAATTCAGGTGTTGTGCAAGGTGTTTGTCCCAATTCTGCTGCCCATTAACTTTATTGGGTGACTCTTAGTTCTAGTATTTTGAAAGAGTAAGGGAAAAACCATAGGACCATGTGACCTGCATGAATCTGCTGTCTGCTGCTAGCTGCTGATGGGCAGTGCCCAGGCTTCTCCTGCTCTCACTTCCTTAAGGACCTTTAATCCAGACTTGGACCAGATTGCTCTTCATGCTGAAGCCACTTGCAAAGAGAGCAGCCTCCCCCAAACCTGTTGCCCTCCAGGTATTGATCGACTGCAGCTCCTACCATCCCTGCTCACTGGCCACGTTAGCTGGGGCTGATGGGAGCTGGGAACCCCACAACATCCGGAAGGTGCTAGCTGGGGAAGGCTGAGCTAGAGGAAGGCCCTCTGAAAACCAGGCCACTCTATCTCTCTTAGAAATCTTAACACTGCCACTTCCCTTCACCTGAGCCATTTTTTTCTAATGCAAAAGCCCCAATGCTTCACCCTTTCTGTATGGAATGATGTGCTCGCTCTCTGTCTCTCTCTCTTTCTGTCCATCTCTCTCTCCCCCCAGCTTTGATAATTTCTGTCCCCCTGTTCCAGCAATGTTCCAAATGTGGCTGGCCTGTATAAATGCATTACAATACTGCCTGTTTTATTTTCAGATCTTTCTCTAATAATCCCCAAGCAGGGAATTTGCCCTTTTCACTGTTGCGTTCATTGCCTGATCTCCATGACCTCAAGATCACTTTCCTAGAGAGTTGCTCAGACCCCACCAATGCGCAATTATGAACTTGGGACGGTGGTTTCCCGCCCCATATGCACTAATGGGGGTCTGATCTGGTTGAGATTAGCCATGAAAGACAGTGTGCATTCCTTATGCACCTGCCATTTCAGTTATACAGTGGTACCTCAGGTTACATACGCTTCAGGTTACAGACGCTTCAGGTTACAGACTCCGCTAACCCAGAAATAGTGCTTCAGGTTAAGAACTTTGCTTCAGGATGAGAACAGAAATCGTGCTCCGGCGGCACAGCTAAAGTGGTGCTTCAGGTTAAGAACAGTTTCAGGTTAAGAACAGACCTCCGGAACGAATTAAGTACTTAACCTGAGGTACCACTGTATTTTCATTGCGGGGGGAGAAGAGAGAATTTTGGACTCTATATTCCATCAAATTCCACCTCAAAAATTCCACTTTTTCCATGAAGCTTTTCTCACAACCTCCTAATCCTCTTACCCAATTGTAATTTAAGCCAAATAACTGGGAACTGAAATAATGGCGCATTGTCCCTTCATTTCCTGTCCCTTCTGCTGTTTTCTATCTGCCGCACCTCAGATCAGTCTTCCCCAACTTGCCCCCACTCAAAATGTTTGGGACTACAATTCCCATCAGACTCTGAACAGCATGTCTAATGGTCAAGGTTGGTGGGTGTTGCAGTCCAAAAACAGTAGTTTTCAGCATTTTTCACAATGAGAGCCAGTGTGATGTAGTGGTTAAGAGCGGTGGACTCATAATCTGGTGAACCCGGTTCGCTTCCCCGCTCCTCCACATGCAGCTGCTGGGTGACCTTGGGCCAGTCACACTTCTCTGAAGTCTCTCAGCCCCACTCACCTCACAGAGTGTTTGTTGTGGGGGAGGAAGGGAAAGGAGATTGTTAGCCGCTTTGAGACTCCTTCGGGTAGTGATAAAGCGGGATATCAAATCCAAACTCTCTCTCTCTCTCTCTCTCTCTTTCAAGCCAAAGACCCTGAATTAACCCAAACATGCATTTGGGAACCAAATTCTCCTTTTTTGATGCTCACCTTAGATCAGGCCTTGAGTTGACCCCAGTAGTGGGTCCCAACCAGTGTTAGAAATTCAAATATATAATCTACGTGCCAAATGGCTCCTTAAACCAGGATTACGGTTGCCAACATGGATTGCCTAGTTGCCATTTTTGTGCCAGACGGCTCAAAGGTTGTATTTTTCAATACGACTTTTTGGTTCCTGAAATTCATTCTGATGGTGCAGATAAAATATAGCGGCTAGACTTCTACAGGATGCGTTGCTAGTGTGCGGAAACAGCCAAGACCCAAGGATCCCCAGGCATGCACCTCCAGATGGTGGAGACGTCAGAAGACATCCTGGCACCTGGACCATCCCTCACTTGGTCTCAAGTGGCTGATAGCCAAGGTGCAAAATGCACCTGTCAAATTTCGAATGCTGGTCCCAACACGACAGCTGAAGACCAATGGTCCAAAACATCTGGCTAGAGATGGCTGTTCTGCATTGCTGGCCTTAGGGCAGGGATCTGCCTTCCTACCTCTTTGCAAACTTTGTAAACACATAGAAGATAGGTGCATTAGAACGACGCAGGAAACATGATTACACTGAGTCAAGGCATTGGTCCATCAAACTCCACTCAGCCTACACTGACTGGCAGTGGCTCTTCGGTTTCAGACTGGGAGTCCCCCTCCCCACCCCCATCTAACCTGAAGATGCCAAAGGTTGACCCTGTTGCCTTCTGCATGTAACCATATTCTCTGCCACTGGGCTACCAGCTCTTCCTACAGCAGGGGTAGGCAAACTAAGGCCTGGGGGGCTGGATCCGGCCCAATCACCTTCTCAATCCAGCCCGCGGACAGTCCAGGAATCAGCGTGTTTTTACATGAGTAGAATATGTCCTTTTATTTCAAATGCACCTTTGGGTTATTTGTGGGGCTTTCTTGCTGTTTTTACATGAGTAGAATGTGTGCTTTTATTTAAAATGCATCTCTGGGTTATTTGTGGGGCATAGGAATTCGTTCTCTCCCCCCCCCTTCAAAATATAGTCCGGCCCCCCACAAGGTCTGAGGGACAGTGGACTGGCCCCCTGCTGAAAAAGTTTGCTGACCCCTGTCCTACAGCAAGGCTCTCTTTTCCTTCTGCACCCCCAGCCCTTAAACTGGGTGGGGGAACCTCGTTTCAATGTGAAGGACCAATGCCACTGGGCGGGCAGGCAGGGACAGAAGCAAAAGTGAGTGGGGACGACAAGTGTAAATATTACTGCCCTTCCTTAGGCAGATTTCTACAAATAAACCCTTCTCGAAGCTACCAGCATGAGTTTGACCAAACTGCGGGAGACAGTGGAAGACAGGCGTGCCTGGCGTGCTCTGGTCCATGGGGTCACAAAGAGTCGGACACGACTAAACGACTAAATAACAACAAACCCTTCTCTTATCTCCCATCCAGACAACCAAGTGGCCTTAACAGAGATCAAGGACTTGTTCTGCCCTGACATAGACCCTCAGGGTGTGAAGCTGGGGCCACAGATCTCTCAAGGGCCACATCCGACTCACAGGGGCCTCAGGTTCCCCTCCCCTGCCTTAAGCTGGGATAGCTCCATCAGTAGAGCATGAGGCTTTTAACCTCAGGGCCGTGGGCTTGATCCCCATGCCGGGCAGAAGATTCCTGCATTGCAGGGGGTTGGACTAAATATCTCTTGGGGGGCCCTTCCAACTACAGTTCTAAGCTACAGCGAAATAAATGGAAGTGTGTGTGTGTGTTTGTTTATGTATGTTTGATGGTTTATATATAGATATGTGTGTGTGTGTGTTTATACATATAATTTGGGAATTGTGTCTCTGCACTCTCAGCGCTATGGGAACTGAAAAATTCAGTTTAAATCTGTCCAGCTGACAAGCACAAATGGGAATATTTAGCACCAGGCAGCAGGCGGGTAGTGGGGGGAGGAGAGAAGGAGGAGGAGGACTCAGCAATAGAATAATAAAAGAGTTATTGCAGGGCAGGATGGCAGGGGGAGCTTGCATACTGGGGAGTGGGCATACGACCCACCGTGGGGAGGGGAGAAGGGGCAGGGGGGTTTCATGCCAAGGCTAAGAAGAATAAAGGCCAGCAAGGCTGGATGTGAGGAAGGGGGCACCTGCCGTCGCCCTCCAAACAGTCCCTGTTGTTGCCAAGGAGAGTCTTAACAACTGCGAGAGCTAATACAGAGTCACGGAAGCAGAACTAGGAAGACAGCAAACGGCAAGGGCTGCTTGTGGTGGGGGTGGAAGAAGAGATCAGTTGCTGCTGCCTTCGTTCTGTGGTATTGCTTTTTTGGGGGCCACACTGCCGGTGTAATCCAACCACCGGGCTTCTTTCTCTCTGTCTCTCTCCCCCCCGCCCCGCTATGGGGGTGCACCAAGATCCAAGCCCGGTGCAGCAACCCCTGGAAAGACGCACAGCACTCCTGCTTCAATAGGCCTCTCAGTCATTCTCCACTGCCTCCCTTTTCTCCTCCGCACCCCCCTTCAAAAATGCCGCATGGCTAAAGCAAAAAAAAGGGGGAAGCAGCAGAGAGTCATCACTTTGACTTTAATTCTCCCCCATCTCCTTTCTCCAAAAGCCAAGAGGGAACCCCCTCCCAAAAAAGTGACCCTCATAAGGAGGCATCATGCACTTGCTCTATATAGAAATCCTCTATTCTACCACTTTTTGTCCCCAGTGGTTTGGGGGGCGGGTCTTTTCTGCATGTGTAAAACTTGCCCTGCTTGTTTGGGGAGAGGGGGCAGACCCTACAGCAACCTTGTCGCTCGCTAAGGACTGCATAATCACCCACAATGCACTGCAGCGGCCCCCACAAAGCCCTTGCCCTTTCCTGACCCTATAAAGGACTCCCGAATCTGCTGCTGCCTCTCTGAAACAAACGGCGCCTGTCCAACAGCTTAGAGGCTCTGCAGAGATCCTGCTGGAGAGGAATCCCTAGGATCTTCTGGACCCCCTTGGCGCTTCTTTTGGACCTATTCCAGTCCCATAAACCCGATATGGCCCTCTTATACGGGACCCCCCTTCCATGCGGTCTCGCCCTGCTAAAACTCCAGTCCCTCGAGGAATCCCATCCATCATCATGACAGGCCTACAGTAGCCCCCTTTAAAAACACACACACAAACACTCCGGCAATCTATGGGTCCCAGTGTCACACACAGCTCAAAGTAAACTCCTGCTGGAACCCCCAAAACTGCAAAAACCTGGGAGGCAAACCTTGCACACACACGCCGACACATCCACCCACCCAGAAATGCCTTGTCCTCTGCACAAAACCCCTTTTATACAACTGGTCATCACCTTTAAAGCCCTATAGTACCCCCCCTCATCATGCCCCCCCCCCGCTCCACTAAGGGCATCCCAACTCCAGAAGACCTATATAAGGCAACCCGCAGCTTGGCAAAACTCTCTTTCATTTCTAAGGGCACACCATAGCAACAGAATCACCCCCCCCAAAAAAAAGATAAGTCAAGCTCCATAAAATAAAATGCTACCTGGGGATGGGGGAGGGAAGACTGCCTGCGAGACCCATCAAGAAATCGCACCAGCCCCCATATGCGCTGCAGTTCCTACAGGACAGCCCACGGAGGCACGAACAGATCGCCCGCAGTCTTAAACAACAACCCTGCCAAGACCACTGAAACTCCACCAAAACGCCCCCTCCAGGGGTCTCCTCAGATGGCCCACGGGCCTCCCCTCCAAGCGCCCTTCACTTCCAGGAGACCCACAGCCGAGCAAGGCCACTTCAGAAAAAAAGCCCCACATCTTCGACCCACGGAGCGCTGCCCCCACCCGTAGGGGAAAACACAAACACGCCACACAGCAACCTCGTCCCCCTACAGGGGACCGTTCTTTCCTAGACGACGCCACCCCCGGCACCCCACATTTCCAGAGAGAACCGACCGATCGCCGCGGCCCCATATATTCCCCCCCCCCTCGACGTCCAGCAACATTTCCCCGCTGTTCCCTTCCCCCGGGCGCGCCCTTGCGCTCCGCCCGCCCCGTCGGAAAAACGCGCGTTGGGTGCGGGGAGCCTCCCTCGCTCGTCGCCGCCGCCGCCGCAGCTCACCTTGACTTTCTGCAGGCGGGTCAACTGCAGCTCGTGGACGAAGGGGTTGGGGGCGGCGGCGGCGGCGGCGGCAGCCTCTTCCTCCTCCGGGGCTGCCCGGCTCGAGGCCCCCTCCTCCATGGCCGTACCCCCCTTCCAGGCTGCCCTTCTTCCAGCCTGGGAGCTGTCCCCGCGGCCGGAGCCCGGGGCCCTGGGCAGGGAGGAAAGGATGGGGGGAAAGGATGGAGGGATGGATGGATGGGACAGGCGGGCGGCTGGACGGACGCCCTGGCACCGGACCACGGCAGGAGGGAGCCAGGATGCGAGGCGAGCGGGAAGGCGGGGCCACGGCGCGGTCGTCACGGCGACACCGCCGCTGGGGGACGGACTTTCGCTTTGGAGGGGCCGGATGGAGAAGGGAGGGAAGGAGGGAGAGAGGGAGAGAGAGGGCCCAGGCTCCAGCATCTCTCCATCTCTCCATCGTCCCTCCCTCCCTCTTTCTCTCTCTCTCGCACCTGCATCTTCCCACTAGCAAGAAAAGATGGGTTTTAAGCAAGGGAGAAGCACCCGTCGATTGGCTCCTTCTCAGAGACGTCTGAGCAGTGCAGCGGTGCTCACTTGTATAACATATTGGGGGGCGGCAAGGTAAGCCCCACCCCGCATAATCGACCACAAGACGCAGCACACGCACACTATCTGAATGGCAGTGCCCATCAACTTTGGGGCGGCCCCCTCAAATGTTTTATTGGGGAGGAGGGAGGCGAAGGGACCTCGTCCTCCAAGAATTGGGCTCCTACGGAGCAGTGTGTCCCTGTAATCCAATCCCCACCCCCGCAACGATAAACCTCAGATTCCCCCCCCCAGAGAAGACTAAAGTTGTAGCATTTGCAGAACCTCAAAAACTGAGGCAGAATGCACACGCGCTATTATGTATCTAGATAAAACTGATTTTATGTAACAAACCAATACAGATCCCCAGCCCCCAAATAGACCCATTCCTTTCCCCATGGAATAATATGTACAGCCAGTGCCGGGTTTACGTATAAGCTAAATAAGCTATAGCTTAGGGCCCCACTCTCTTTGGGGCCCCCCAAAAAATTAAAGGAAAAAGAAAACTTTGATAAAATACATATCTTGATATGTGCAAATGGCTTTCGATACCTATTTGGTCTTAAATTACCATACAGCATATATTCAACACAAAAAAACAACAGTGACAATTTGTGGTTGACAAAGGACAGCTGGGCATATATAAAGGACCCAATTACCTTCATAGCTTTGGGCCTCATCAAACCTAAATCCGGCCCTGTGTACAGCCACTATTTTTCCTCAATTTGTGTGTATGTGAGAAAGTAGCCTGCTTCCTCCCACTTTAATGTCTTGCATTGCCCCCCCCCACGGAAAAATCATGCTGACCCCCCTGCACCTCCTCTCTCTGCCCCCCCCTCTTTTCGTTGCACGACTATTTCCCTCCTACTTTCTTCTTTCTGCTTTGGGAGGTGTAATCCTTTGTATATATTTGGGAGATAACATGTTTCGGAAGGCTGCTCAGTGCCCATTGCGAGTTCTGTGTCACCGAAGCTCATTACTATGCCTCATACAAGTAATGAGGCCGGTTTTTTAATTGCAGCTGTCTGCTGATCCTCGCCACAGCCTTGCAAGGTAGGAACGAGCAGAGGCGCTTGTTGCCGGCACCAGGAAGGGCGGGGAAACGAGGTTAAAGTTGTTATGCACAGAGCATAGGGTTCTTCAGTCTATAAAAGACGCAAACAGCCTGCAGGCTGCAATTACATATGGGCATAGGAAGAGACTGCTGGATCGGGTCAATGGCTCTTCTAGCTGGGGCTGTTGGGAACTGGAACTGCAATCTGGCAATGACTGTAGGGCTATAGGTTCCCCCGCCCCTACGTTATATCATTATTCGCAGAGAATGAGAGAGCAGGTCCCTGCCCGCAAGGGGCTTACAATCTAGGCAGTGACACAAGGGAGATAGCAAAATAACAGGAGGGCAATGGGGGAGAATGGGGGTGTTTCTGAACTGAGTGTGTATGTGTTAATATTACAAACACACCATTTAAATATTGCAATTGTTTGCTGGCATCAGATGTTTCCTTTTTAAATTTCCTTTTTTAAAAATTTACTGGATCCCGCCCCCCCCAAAGGGTAATGTGGGTGGGGGGTTGTAGTTTTGTTGCTATGTTGTCATATGGACTCTGGAGGCGCGGAAAGCACCTTGTGTGTGACTGCAACACCCACCCCACACTAAGCACCTGTGAGGAAACAAACTCTGTGACTGGCAGTTGTCCCAAAAGCTTTATGGGTGCTGAACAATAGTTCCTCCACCTTCCCCAAAATTTCACTGATAGCCCCAATTATAAACCCTATTTTACAGGTGAGGTATCTCAGTCTGAGGCAGTTTGATGAGATTCAATGTTGGCTGAATAATAATAATAATAATAATAATAATAACAACAACAAATTATTATTATTTATACCCCGCCCATCTGGCTGGATTTCCCCAGCCACTCTGGGCGGCTTCCAACAAAATATTAAAATACTATAGTCTGTTAAACATTAAAAGCTTCCCAAACAGGGCTGCCTTCAGATGTCTTCTAAAAGTCTGGTACAGTAGTTGTTTTTCTCTTTGACATCTGATGGGAGGGTGTTCCACAGGGCGGGTGCCACTACCAAGAAGGCCCTCTGCCTGGTTCCCTGTAACTTGTCTTCTCTCAGTGAGGGAACTGGCAGAAGGCCTTCGGCACTGGACCTCAGTGTCCAGGCAGAGTGATGGGGGTTGAGATGCTCCTTCAGGTATACTGGACCGATACTGTTTAAAATTACATAAAGTAGATTTTTTGTGTGTCTTGAACAAATCTGGGTTTTATTCCGAGCAGCTGTTTTAGGACTTGGTCTTGAGTGTAATGAAGGTGCTTGCTTGCCTTTCCTGCCGAAATAGCAAGTAGCAAACAAGCAAACAATAACACAATTAAAATATCTGGAAACAATCCCACTACTTACGGAAGTAGACTGTATCCTATGCAGATTTTAGATAATATTAAAATATTCTGGAACCAGTCATTACTGGAACCAGTCATCCTGCACTTTTACATAGTGCCAGCAAGTGGCAACTTGCAATACAAGCTGCACCTGTTGGACTTGAGTCCTTTACACAGCTAAGAAGTTTGAAGAAACCCTGATCTCTTTTGCCTTGAGGTGCTGCATGGGCAGCGGGAAGGTAAATGGTGTTCAGCACATGCTCATGCAAATCGTCACTCATGTGCCTTGGTTGAATGTCCCAGCATTCAAACAGGTTTCTTGGAAAAGACCTAATGATCTTTGCTCCTAAATTATATCCTGCTTTTCGTTCACACCCTTCGTCCACCCTAAAAGTCTGGTGGTTTGTTCCTCATTCCACCTGCTTCTCTCCTTCCTGCATGTCTGATGATCTGAACCTTTAATAGTTGTGTAGAAGAGGGAAGATTCAACAGGTGTAGCTTGCCATGCAAATTAAACCTGAAATTCCTTCTTCTACACCCTTTGTCACTGTTAAGAAAGAGATAAAGAGATAAAAGTGTAATATGAAAACTTCAGTAAGTTAAAAGTGATGTTGTGTAATTTTTCTGTTACTATTTGTTGTTGTTGTTTAGTTGTTTAGTCGTGTCCGACTCTTCGTGACCCCATGGACCAGAGCATGCCAGGCACTCCTGTCTTCCACTGCCTCCCGCAGTTTGGTCAAACTCATGCTGGTAGCTTCGAGAACACTGTCCAACCATCTCGTCCTCCGTCGTCCCCTTCTCCTTGTGCCCTCCATCTTTCCCAGCATCAGGGTCTTTTCCAGGGAGTCTTCTCTTCTCATGAGGTGGCCAAAGTATTAGAGCCTCAGCTTCACGATATGTCCATATTGTTAAAATTGGTTAATTGTAATGAATTGATGTTGCAATTACTGTGGTTTCCCCCCCTTTGTTATTGTTGAATTCTAAATAAAGTATTATTATTATTATTTTTTAAAAAGACAAAGGTGCAGTGTATGCTTGTGTGTGCACGCATGCTCAGGAGAACTTCTCACACCTCCTTCCTTTCCCAACTGCTGTACAACAACCCTGTAGTGTAGGCAATTGAGTCTTCTCTCCGCTAGTTGATGCTACTACCCACTTCTTCTTTTCACCCACAGCTAAGGTTGCCATATTTCAAATAGTGAAAAGCCTGTAACAAAAGCTTTTGCAAAATCTCCCCCCCCCAAAAAAAAGTAAAAATAAATTTGAAGTTTTAAACCAAATTGCCAAAAATAAATACTTCCAATATGGTTTTCCCGGACACTTTTTTCCTGCTTTTCTAAAATTCTGCCCAGGTGCCATTTTCGACAGACGAATCCCAGCCATATCTAGGAAATTACAGACATATAACAGCCCGACCCACAGCCCCAGAAACACCCCCCCCCCCAAAATGGAGATCTATGATTAATGGCTAAATCCTAAGATGCTGGACCTGTGATCCTCATGCCTACAGCCAATCCCTTGCAGTCTGCACAGAGCATAATGCCAGGCTCTCCAGCCCTCTTCTTCTCCCTGTAAAGGGGGAAAATTATTGGCTTTAACATCCCTGGTGGCCCAGGGAAAGTGAAGGATCTGAAGCTGGTTTTCAATACCAGTACAGTCGTACTTTGGTTCTCGAATGCCTTGTGACTTGAACGTTTTTGGCTCCCGAACGCCGCAAACTGGAAGTGAGTGTTCTGGTTTGTGAACGTTTTTTGGAAGCCGAACACCTAACATGGCTTCCGGTTGAGTTCAGGAAGCTCCTGCAGCCAATCGGAAGCCGCGCCTTGATTTTCGAATGTTTTCGGAAGTCGAACCGACTTCCGGAACAGATTCCTTCTGAAAACCAAGGTACGACTGTACACAGCCCGAAGGGGTGAGCTGTCTAGCAGCTTAAATGAAATGTCTCTGAACATGCACAAAGTGAATTTCGGCCAGTATTAAGTCCCCACAGCCTTCTTTACTCACCCAGGGATTAGATTTTCAGGGCAAAGGGGTGTGAGTTCCCAAAATGACCCCAAATATTTTCTATCTCTCTCCTTTTGAACGTGGGTACTAGTCACAATGGCCAGCCTGTCGCTGAATACCAGTCACCAGGAATCACAGGTGAGGAAAGTGCTGCTGTGCTCAGGTCCCGCTTCCCATAGGCATCTAGTTGGCCACTGTGAGAACAAGATGCTGGACTAGATGGGGCTTGGGCCTGATCCAGCAGGCCTCACATGCAGACTCTGCTGCATATGTAGATCACATCTTCCATATGACGACCTGAGAAATATATTGTCCCAGGCACCAGGCCATAAGGCACCATAATAATGCATCTAAGAGCATAGTACAATCAATAAAACAGTAAAAAAGGGGCCGCTGAGGGAACGGTCTGAGGGGATGCGATGCCGTTGATGTGTTAACACTTAGAGGATCCACAGGCTGGTAAGTGCCAGAGGCTGATGGGAAACCACTTTGAGGTTCCTGGAGGAAGCACTAATAAATAAGT